GAATCACTCTGACCCCCGATTTCCACCACATACGGAACGGCGGCGAAAAAGCCGTATGCATCGATCGCAGCTTGTCGTTTCCATTAAAGTTAATGTTTTAAGTTCCACCGGCTTCTTTCCGTTTCGCTGTGGTTCAGCAGACTCTGCAGCCGATCACCAGAGTTCCATGATTCGTTAACACGTGATTGCATGTGAATCCGCAGGTTGTTGTGAGTTCTCACGATTCCCCGCTGTCTGAAATCCGCCACCAAATTTGTTGCACAAACACATCCGGTAGGAATCGACTTACGGTGAAAATCTGCCGTTCCGTAGGAGAGCCGTTCCAGAAATTGGGGGTGACTCTTTTCTTCTTCAGAAATGCAACAGTGGTCTCAGATGTGTGTTTAGGGTCGTTGTCATGCTGGAAAAGCGCTCAATGACCAAGGGCACGGGGTGATGGTCACATCTTCTCCTTCAATATAGAACAGTCTATCTGTGAAGTCATGATCAATAAAACGCAGCTCCATGACACCAGCAGCACTCATGCAGCCCGGAGTCTAGAGTCGAAGTAGTCTTCATCTTCTCCAGCATGGGAAAATCCTAGGCGAGCTTTAGGAGAGGCTCCCTTCGTGGACGACATCCTCTGCAGTGTCACAGAAAACAGTCACCCCACTTTGGCTTTCTTCTTCTTGCATGGTGGTTTTCTTCAACCCTTCTCATCAGAAGACGCTCCTGTCCTGGTGTTAACTTCCATGGACGGCCCGGACGTCTCTGTGAACTCATTTTTGCAACATGGTCTGAAGGAACCAAATATGTTTGATGTGATAACCTGAAACGAGCTGCAATTCACTTTGTATGCCTTAGGTGTCGCTGTCCTGTTATCTGAGGCTCAGGTATAAAGGTAGCTACGTCACTGTTGTGGACAGGTGATCGACACTGAAAGGCGAAAGGTTTTTGACGGCTGTAGTGCTAAATGCCAATGTTTTTCTTGGTTTCATCAGTGTTGCTCGATGTCAATTGCAGATGGACTTTTACGTCCGGACATTCACTGATCCTTAAAGATTTACAGTAGAGTAACAAACCAGTAGTGCGGCGTGTCAACCAGGTTACTCTAGGTCAAGCATCTCAGTAGCTTAAAGTATTGACTTAGCTCCGACGTGGTCTTTAAAAAATTAAGAAAATCACTTCTTTTGTTTGTGCAAATTAACAAATCTTGTTTATAATCATCAGCCCACATTAGTCAGAGTATGTAGTTGTGTAGGAAACATCGACTCTGAAAAGAAACTAAAGGTTTTCTTACAAATCTGTTGGGAGGTGCTGATTTATGCTGAGCACTGTACATGTGAACCAAATATTGATCGAGTTTGTTGGCTTCATTTCTCAGCTCCAGTTGTTGTGTCTCGGTCACACACACACACACACACACAGACACACACACACACACACACAGACACACACACACACTGCAGGCCCATGAGGAGGAAATTACCTGGCTGTGGTTACAGGAGCCGAATCAAAGCTGTGATCTCGGGGTCGTGGGGTTTTGGGTGGCGTTGGACTTGCTCTGACATTTTCAAAGTTTATTATAAATTTATGAATATACTCGCTCCCTCTCTGCCTCCCTCTCTCTGAAACAAACACACACTCTGTCGTAGCACGCCGCACGGTTGTTTTTCCCATGGTTGGCGGGAGGGTTTGTGCGGTCGGGTCACCTCTGAAGCTTTCATCTGCACCCCCCCTCGTCCTTCATGTCAGAGCCTCAATTTGGAGAAATGTCAGTGAGCACAATGAGGCGGCGGGGCAGGGCGCTGTGTCACCGCCGCGCAGACGGATACAAACACATCGGCGACACTCATCATCTCAAACCGGCTGAAACAAAGTCCAACAGAGAGAGAGAGAGAGGGACAGGAATATCAAGAGAGAGGAGCCGGCGTGTCAGATTGGGAAACACCTCAGCAACATCTCAGTCACAACTGCTAGCCTTACTTGCCTCTGTTGCCATGGCAACGAGGGGGGACTGTCAGGCATCCTGGAGGGATGGTCCAAAAAATCTGCAGCTGTCACTTATTTTCTGGAGAGAGGGGAAAAGAGATGCTGCGTGTGTGTTTGTGTTTGTGCGTGTACAACCTCACCTCGCTTCACTTCACGGAGACACACTTTAAAAGAGCCAATAGGGACATGAGATGGAAAAATAACGCGGCGTTTTCTGTTCCAAAACAACTCAAAGCGGCGGTGTAAGTGCTGCTTCCTCTGCAGGTTTATTTATAAAGAGCCTCATTACACACTGAGGGGAGGATGTTAGAGCGAGTGTTTTAAATTAAGATACAAATACAACCAGAGAGAGGAGGAGGCGGACGACTACTTAAACAGCAAATTTAGATCATGGAGGAACATCTGTAAAAACAAGGAGGCCAATTAGGAACTGTCCTGAGATCTGCGAGGTTCAAACCTGCAGAAATAAACCCTGACAAAGTCCTTTTGTTTAATAAACTCGTGCAAAGACTCATCTCTCAAGTCATACTTAGAAATTTCCTTGCTGGGTGAATGAGGGACGTTTGCAGAACTTTGCTAAATCCAAATCTCATAGATCATATTGCGGCTTTCCTGGTACCTTTAAAAAAAGTCGTTTGAGGCAGAGGGCAGAAGAAGCACCTACAGTTCATGGAAGTTTTCGGAGCTTTAACAACACTAAAAACGCTTCCACAGTGGCCAATGATTTACACGCACATCAGATGGAATATTTGTACACTTTACGTCATGTGTCATTGCAAACAAAGAACATAAAGACCAAGCACTGGTGAGACCGCCCCTTATATAACTTACCAGCTTTCAAACACAGAGCCCACGTGACCCAAACCCAGTGAAACCAATGACAACCAGACAAAAGTAACTGAACACAGAATAAGCAATAAGCAAAGAGACATAATGGCTCCTACAGATCACTTCTTTTATGATGGTTGGTAATAGTTTCAAATCACTAAAAAATTCCATTTAGCACCAATTCTGTTGTAAATTTTGTAGACAAGTGGATATTTTTCCAACCAGAGCTGTGCTGTTTTTCTCACAATAACTATTCCTCCTGTCCAAACCAAACTGCAATAACTTAATTTTTACAGACAAAGAAGAAGAACTACAATCCCATGAAACCTAACCTGGCGAAAACCACTTCCGTAATTTGTCCGGACCAAACACTATCTTCTACATCATCCGAACCAACTTCCAGTCAATCATATAAACATAAACAAAAATCATGACCAAAACAATGAAATATAAGACAGAGTTACGCTCTTATTTTGAAAGCGTGTGCGTATCGTGTGTCATCATCTATCGGCACTGGCAGCCCAAACACATCTGGTACCTACACCAGGGTTGACTTTTACTTCCTGATACTTTAATGCTAACTTTCGAGTAGCTGAGAAACCTGAGAAAAAGATATTCATATTAACTTCCTGTAAACTTCACCCCTGCAGGTTTTTTAAAGATTTGCTAAATTGCTCAATAACTATAAAACAAATATGTACAACTGTTACTCTAATTTACTCACATTTAATCTCCTGTGAGGAGTTTTTAGAGGTTCATGAAATCAAACAAGACCATCAATGACAAGATTTACTGTTTTTACATCGTAATTTTAATGCCAAAGGGGGGTCGGTGTCGGTCAGGCAGCCGGAGAAACCGCCCACAATAAGTCAGGGGAATCAGATGTTTTGTCAGAAGACGTTTAAGTTTGCAGAGGACGGACTGTTTTGCCACCAGTGGGCGCCAAAGTTGACACAAACAAAAGTTCTTTGCAGGAGCTTTAAATTCTCATAAATGCTAACTCGTGACCTTCAAAATAAGAGCGTAACTCTGTCTTATATCTCACTGTTTTGGTCATGATTTTAGTGTATGTTTACGTCCATGAAAAGTCTGAGAAAATTCAGGTTTGACCATCTTCATATTTGCTCTAACATGGTGTTAAACTTTGGTGCAGGAGTGTGTGTGAGCTCTTTTTACTCAGCAGAGCCAGTAGACTGAACCGTACTAGTCCTCCTCCTCTGATGGGGGTCAGATCGTCTTCCTCCCACTGTTGTGATCTGGCCTATTGATTAAAAACACGCTGGATGATAGTGGGTATTGATCCCATTGTAATTGACTGTGTGCATGTGGAGACTTTTTTGTTAGGAGGACCCAAAGTGCTTCACATTGACTTCTTTCTTCATTGATGAGCGGCTTCATCGACTTCCTCAGAGATCTCAGATCTGAGGCACATGAGCAACAAAAAGCAAGGTCATCCACCAGGCCAGTGAACGCCTCTGGATTTATGTGCTGCAGGCTGAGGGGGAGAGGTTTAGGGTGCTGTCTGATGGGGCTGAGACATATTGGTAATTCATTGGAAGGGAAATAAAATATGATTCAGTTTGTGTAGTTGTTTAATCATCAGGCTAAAGAAGATGAGAGAGCATGTATTAAACTTACTTCTTTTTTCTGCAGATCTCCGCAGCGAGCGAGCAACTGGAGAACAGAACAAAACAGAAAACTGGAAACTGGTCTTCTTATCATCACGGCCTGCTGTGATCCCTGCAAAGATCTCATGCTCTGAACAAGCTTATAAGACTTGGTGTGATGAGCGCAGATACGGACTGAGCAAAGAGTCCGAGAATGCAAATGATGCAAACATGAAAATTTAATTCGGACAAAAACAACTCAGAAAACTGGAGCACAGACGTCATGCAGCGGTTGTTATTTTCGATCTTTTTCTCTCTGGTAAGTTTCCTGATCATCACGTAACAAACTCGTCAAAATGAACCCAGAAGAAGTCGAGAGTTAAACAGCGATTTGGGGATAAAGTTGATATCAGTAACTGCTATGGAGTTACTAAACTAAGACAAGACGTCTAATAGATGTCTAAGGCTCAGTGGATGAGGTACAACGGGTGAAACCATTTTTAAGTCCTTATATTTTTCAATTATATCACATTTCAGATGGGTTTTTAGCTTCCATGATGTCTTTTGCTGTTATTGATCCTGCAGCTGAAGAAATCAGAGAGGAATATTTTTATTGATCAACACAGACACATATTCACATGCACACTTTTGGATGAATTATTTGGAGGTACAGTATGTTAGCCTAAAAACCTCTGCTGTAGTTGAGTTTTAATTTTAATTTGAGTATTATCTTCTGTCGACTGCATTTTGTTCCTGCAGCTTTTTTTTGCACTTCCAGTTGAATTACATTTGCATATAAATGACAAGGCAAGTTTCTTTTTTCCGCTGATGTGCTTCTCCTTCTGTCAGTGTGTGTTCTGCAGAACAGACTACATTTATCATCAAATTAACTCACATTAAATACCCCTCAGCAAGGTGCAGCGGAAATTTATGCACAAACTATGCAAATGGGGCTCAAACGCACGCTCTCATCCGTAAACTGACACTGGTGCATTAGATTTTGAGATGCACGTCATCATTCCTACACTTCCACATTTAATTCAGGAGGCAGGAAGAGCTATTTTTAGTCTCCCCGTATCACCAAAACCTCCTCTCCTCTCTCTCTCTCTGCCTGCTCCTTTAACTGCAGATTCTCAGCGCAAAACGAGCACTTTGCCCTGCAATAAAAATATACGAGAGGGGAAGAGATGCGGGAAAGACCAAATTGTTGCTATATTGGACCATCCACCGGTGCAGCTGCTCTATTTTTAGCCGGGAACTACATCAGCTCTCACTGCTGCAGACACCAGCGTGAGGGGAAATCACCACCAGCGCTGCTGTTTGCTGCTGCTGCTGCTGCTGTCTTCAACACAAAAGCACTGACATTTTCACTCCTGCAAATTAACTGGAGACACTGGAGGGGGGGGGGGGATCATATCTGCTGCTGCTGCACGTGTATGTTCATGTGTGTGTGTGTGTGTGTGTGTGTGTGTGTGTGTGTGAGAGAGAGAGAGAGAGCTCAGAAAGTAAACAGAGAGCAAATGTTGTCAAATGATTTTTGGAGACTGAAGCTGTCAATCTGAAAAACGCACATCTGAAGCTTTTCTGTTCATCCTGTAGGAGCGCAGGATCACCAGAAACCCTGATTGAGGCACCGCAGGTGGTCCGAGAGGGAGAGAGAGAGAGAGAGAGAGAGAGAGAGAGAGAGAGAGAGAGAGAGAGAGAGAGAGAGAGAGAGAGAGGCGTGCTGCATATTGGTCGGGCTACTTTCCTGACGACACACCAACAATCGTCAACCTGTGGATAGGGCGCGCTCGCTCGGCGCTCTGCTGTCTCCAGTGCCACCCTCTCCCCCCCTCCTCTGACACCGTTAAACCAGGACGCATGAACCGGGAGGGGGTGCAGGGTTCGAGAGGGACCGGAAAGTTGAGTGGCTCGTGCGCCATCCCCGCTTCATGAATGGCCGGAACATGGAGGAGGAGGTGCCATTCGAAAGAGTCAAGACCCGGCGGAGGATGGGTCACTGCCCGGCCGGTGCGCCCCTGGGCGCCATCGCCTGCGAGGACGAGTTCAACAGCCACGAGCTGGAGGCTCTGTTCCAGAACTACAACCTGAAGCTGGAGCAGACCGCCACCCTCAAAGCGCTGGCGGTGCTGATCGTGGCGGCGTCGTCGCTGTCCCTGGTGGAGCTGCTGTCCAGCCCGCGTCTCACCTTGTCCAAGGGCTCGTACCCGGTGCACTGCGTGGTGTTTCTGTCGCTCTTCATCGTCACCAACGTCAAGTACCTGCAGGTGACGCAGCTGCAGCAGATCGCCAAGCTGACGCTGCTCTTCAGCTTCACCTTTGCGCTGCTCTGCTGCCCGTTCCCGCTGGCCCTCGGCACGTCGGAGCTGGTGAAAAAGGGAGCCCCTGAACAAGGCGTGTGGCAGCTCATGCTGGTCACCCTCGTGGCTTACGTGCTGCTGCCCGTGCGGACGCTGCTGGCGGTGCTGTTCGGGGTGATGCTGGCTGCATCCCACTTCATTGTCATAGCGACGTCGGTCACGGGGAGGAAACAGAGGCTGTGGAGACCGGTAAGTGCTGCACCCTCAGACAACAAGTCTCTCACGGTTTGTTAACTGCGATCAGATCAAATGAGGCAGACCCCCAACCCACTAAAAAAACTCCAGAGTGGGAGTCTGCAGGTTGACCTGGAAGCTCCCCGCTGGGCTCTGGAGTCAAACTGTGTGAATGTGAACCGGAGCAGCTTACTCATCCATCAGAGGACAGAGTGTAAACAGCCTCACTGATCGATCCTGGAGCTCCGAGTCTGGAAACGCGTAAAAAGTTTCGAGGAGCTGTCCAGCAGCTGGTGCTGAAACTGGATCCTGCTGAGACAACTCAGGGATCCCTGCTTTTTTTGAAGAAATGAGGATGTTTTTAAAGATATTAATGGTTTTAAAAGGTTCTCAGTTGAGAAGAAGCTAAAGTTAGGACCCCTTCTCTGGTTATAAATATCACGTGGGAGCCGAGCAGGTCATGTAGAGATGAGGCAGGTCAAGGCAGCTTTATGGAAAACATTTCACAGACTAGGACTGTTTCAGACAGGAGAGGAAGATTAATATTAGGAGAAACAAATGATTTAACAGTGCACAAATCAGACAAAGCTGAAGTGCAGTCAAATTTGTCAGGATTTAATGGCTAATTCTTCCTCTTTAAATTGATTGTTTGGTTGTTTAAAAGTGAGGACTGTCAAAGCGTCAGAAAAATGAATGAGATTTGGTGCAGCAGGACGGTATTTTGTTTGCTTTTCAATCCTGTTTAGTGTCCGTGGCCCCCTGAGATTTATCCTGACCTTATAAGACACCAACATTCCTGGGATTCATAAGAGTTTCTCAGACCTCGTGCATCAAATGCATTTACATAATGCATTAAATCAGCGGTTGTTAACCTTCTGAGGCCTTTAACTCTTTTGAAATGAAGCGATGTCGACTCGTGACTGCTCGCTGCAGGATGAAACCAGAGAGCGGGTAGTTTTATGTTTTATTTTCAAGGCCCGAGGAGAAAAATTTGCAAGTGATTCTGTGAAAAACTAACAGAGATTAGAGGAAAGTCTGAAGGGATCAGCAGAAGTTTGTGCAGCAGCATTAGTGAGGTTTATTCTGTGGTTTCTTGTTACAGTGTGAGCTGCAGTGAGTCTTATTTATGAGACGGTAGGGGGTCTAAAGTGCCATCCATCTGGCTGCGCTGGATTAGAGTGTTTCTGTGACCTTTGACCTCTTAACCTTTCAGGAATCGACAGCACAAAGTGGCCACAGAGTTCATCTTATAAATGAAGTGCTCGGCCGGATCAATAGCTCTGATCATTAGCCAATAATGCACCTCATCGCTCAGCTTTTCCACTGGAGAGCTTTTGTTCTTGAAGTCACACCTACGATTCGTATCGTAATCGATGTGCCGACCTTGATGTCTGCCGTTCAATCCATGCCGTGGATTAATCACGGATTGTGGAGTCTAATCTCAGGGTGTATGAAGCGCACATATGGACATGTGTGTTCCTCCAGGCCCACACTGCACACACACCCACACTCACACACACTGTTTGTTTGACATGTCTGTTCTTGTTTGCGTGCAGCTGGTGGCGAACGCCGTGCTGTTCACCAGCGTCAACTTGTCCGGGGTGTTTGTGAGGATTCTCACCGAGCGCACCCAGAGGAAAGTCTTCCTGCAGGCCCGAAACTGCATCGAGGAGAGGCTGAGGCTGGAGGATGAGAACGAGAAACAGGTGAGGCGTTAATTAATGCACACACACACACACAAACACACACACACAGGCAGAGGCAGACGAGCTGACGGGTGAAATTCACAAAAAGATGTTTAAAAATAGCTACAACTTGATTTGCATCGGGTCATTTCTGCAGGGATGCATCTAAAAAAGCAGAATGACAAACTCAAATGAGGAGAAAACACCTAAACAACTTAATTAGACTCAACAAATAACATAATCAGTTTATTTACCTTGTACATTGCAGGATTACAACAAATAAAAGCCATAAAATCCTGATTTTATTTAAAAAATTTTCTTAGTTTAGGTCAGAAGAAGCCAAATTTAATAAAAACCGAAGTCTTCATGGCTGAGAGATAATGTTTTTACAGATCTGTCATAAAAAAAAGTGAGATACAATGAACCTTTGAACCGTAAAAGACAGGCAGGGTGTTGTTTTGATAAAATAATGTTGTGTTTGACATTTTAAAACATCTCCAAAAATCTCCTCGGCGTCAAAACAGACACTGGAATTGAGTTAACGTCCAAAATGATTCATCAGAGACGGTTTTATTCAGTCTCAATCTGCCAAACTCGATCCCCTCCAGTCTTAAAGGCAAACCTTTCAATGAGTGTAAACGCTAAGTGATCGGTTTGAGATGGTTAAGAGGCTGGAATTGCTCCACAGGTTGATGATTGAGTGTTTGTTGTTCGGAGCAGTAAAAACTGAGGGTTGCCTCAGCGTTTTTTAGGATTTTTAAAATGAAGACAGTAAGAGAGAGGAAGATAAAATGTGAGGCAGTCGGTGTAATAAGAAGTTGTTAAATTATGTAAGGCCTGCAGATGAGTTAAAGGAGATCAATTTGACTTGGGGATAGAAGAAACCAGAGTGATGAAGAGATCTGTGAAAATCAAGCCTGCAGCATCCCCGAATAACACGACTTTACTGAACGTAAAAGAGAGTTATGATGATTGAAGCAGCTGATAATTAAAGGTACAGTACGTAGAAATGGGAATATCTAGCTGTCAGATTCTAGATTGAAAGCTCCCTCATTTACTACAAACAGAAGTAGTATAAGCCTCTTAAACTGGCCTCGCATCCCGGGACTAATGGACCTTTGAGAACAGGTCTGGGACTACGTTTACACCTGCCTGGCTATTTCATAAACGGACATTTCACTCTCTCTGTTTACATAAAAAATTGTGTGTTCACCACTACGTTTTCAGAAAAGTTTCTGTTTACTTGAACCTGTGTATATATGCCATCAAGAGCATGCCAAACCAGTAGCGAGATGCTCAAGCCCACATTAGCCAATCAGAATCCCGCATAGCAACAACAACAACAACGTCACTTCCTTCTGTCGTACAATCTGCCGTGTTCCGTGTTCTGGGCACGTCCAACTGGGAGGAGATCTTGGGGTGTAGGTCCAGAGCAGTCACAGTCTGTGAACATCTAGAAAATGCCGCTATATTTTAGAGCCAGTTCCACTTCTAAATACTAGACCTTCATTGGTTGGGTGTGCTGAAGTTGGACCCACCTGTTGGACAAAATCACTATCTGATCTGGCTGATGGTTCCAGTGATGCTCTGCTAATTATGATCATGCATTTACTGGTTTGTCTGTTTTGTGCTACGGTAGAAAGATAGAAGTGCGAGTTGGTTTTTATATGTAGGAGATCAAGTGATAATTTTAAAGCTGCTGCAAGGAGCTTTTGATTTGTGTGGGTTTTGGCGCCCCCTGTGGACAAAGTGATACTTCTTATCTCTTGTCCTGCATGTGTTAAAGTTCTCAAAGTATCCTGTTTCGTTCTCTGTGGAAAACTTTTAAAAAAGTCAGTCGCTCAGGCACTAAAAGTTAAGACTTATGTGGCGACCACACCAAGCGCGAGTAAAATCATCTACTCACTTAATTCGCGTGAATGTAGACGCGTAAATGAATAGTTTTTACTCATTTCATTTGCATGTCAATGGTAATTTCAACGGTAATCCCTGCCAATTTAACCGGTGGGATCAAGTGATAGACAAAGGTTTTTTACAATTTACCAGGTAATCCGACCTCCTCACTCACTTGCCACCTTTCTATTCCAGTTTCAGTAATTAAAAGAAAAGGTATCATATAATTTGGAAACCAGTGAGCAACGTTCCGTTTTCATACGTCACCTGGCAACCTTATCAGGACACGAATATCCGCTAAAGTTGAGGCATTTTCAGCCATTCACGCCGCCAGAGTAGTAGGAGCGTCTGATCGCGTCTTTGCATTGACTTAACATGTAATTCATTCGCGCGAATGGTTTTACTCTTGCTTTGTGTGAGGACACAGTAAGAAATGTTCAGCCTTGTTGCTGCTGGTCTGGTTTGATTTTGAGGATCACAAAGAAACATCACCATCCGTTTAATGCTCCATCTCAACCAGTTAAAAACTCCCAACTGTACCTTTAAACAAACTGAGGGGTGTTATATTCCTCTGTTAATCACACTAAATAAGGACATAGCATCTTCTGGTTTAAAATTATTCTCCCAAAGTTTTTCCACCTCGTCTTTGGACACGTATGTTGGTGAAATCTTCACAGTCTCTGAAGAAGTTTTTTTTTTTAAAGGTTTCAGGTGCCAATGTATTCTAACAACCTGCCCACAGGCACGCAGTAACTATGACAGCAGCTATTTAAGGAAAGAACAATTACTGTGGCACATGCACCGGCACTGCCACACATGCCTCCCCCTCCACACACACACACACACACACACACACACACACACACACACACACGCACGCACACCTACATGTAACAATTTAACAAAGGAGCAATCAGGCAACTTTCACACACAGAAACACTTTGTTATGCGCCGCACCCCCCTCACCTGCCATGTGCACGAAAAAACCCACCTTTACCGGCTGTTAAACAGAATTAATTATCCCGTATATGTAATGTGACTCCGTACACGTCTCACCTTCATCTGCAGCACGCTCGCCAGCGCACATGCACACTTTTAGCACCTGTGCTTTGTAGATTAGATGATGATACACTGTGTTTTCCCCAGCAGTAACAGGCTCCCTTCTGACAGGTAATTACACAAGCAGATTGCTTTCATGGCCTCACTACTCCACTAAAGGTCACGGTTTATCTGGGTGAGTGAAACACACACGAACCTCTGATTGGGATCCATCAACAGGCAGCAAAACGGGCACAAAACTGTCTCAGATGTAAATTTCACACATCAAACGAGCCTCTGCTTATCTCCCGGATGTTTTCTCAGGTTTGTGCTTTGAGCCGGATCCATAGGATGTATTGATCCCTGAACATGTGTGGGCTGTGTGCTGTATGTCTGGATGTCTAAATTGACTTCTCAGCTCAATAGCAATCTAGGAAACCGGGGATGATGGGTAGTTTTCTAGTAAACTCATAAGGAGAGACGGCATTCCTGGAAAAACACTGAAAAAGACCGCGCTTAGCACAAAGACGGTACAAACTGAGTCTGATAGTTTGACGCAGTCTCGCCCGTTTGACTGCAACACTTTCACGTTTGTCTTGAACATTTTAGCTGCAGGGAGGTTTCTTTAGTGTTCATGGAGACGGATCTGATGGCAGACAAGCTACAAATGCCAAATTAACCCCTTAACCTGCATGGATTAAGGGTTACCCACCAAACACCCAACAACATTTAGCCGTCTTTTTTCAGGGTGAATCACGTTGGCCCATCATGGCCGTAATTTAGCCCAAAAAAAGACGTTGAAACTGGGCTTTATTTAGACGGTCTGAATCCAGACGGTGTTTAGACGTATGGTGGGGGGTTTGTGTGTGGCATCATCTCGTTCAGCCGCCATAACTGTGTTGGCGAACTCAACGTCTGCCGCTGTCTGCAGACCACGTGGGCAGCTGGATTAAACACGCTACACAGCTGCTAATGGAGCTAACTAAATCACATGATCTTAGCAAAAGTTATCATATTAGACGTCAGTTACAAAAGCATGATACGCTCCTGTGAGGATTTTTTTTACATTGATGAATTCACAAAAATTCATATTAATCAGTGACAAGACTGAAAATGTAAATCAGGGTGTAAAATATCCTCCTTGAGTGAGGTTCTTTGTTTAGTAAATTCAGCAGACAGTTGGTCCATAACCATCACCGCAGCTGCAGGTTTTTCGGGTGTCGCAGGAGCTTCTGCTGTTGTCGGAGTATTGCTAGCTGTAAAAGGTGCTAGCTTGCCTGCAGCACGTGTGGCCGGAGTTTCTACGTTAACTGATTTCGCGTGTTTAGAAGTGCTCATTTCTACGGAATAAGTTAAACTGACTTTAGATTATTATGTCAAAATCTGTACAGAAAACTTGTTATTATAGGAGGTTAACAAAAAGTGAACCGGGAGCCTTCGTGTGTACGTCCTCTCCTTACATGTCACAATTGGAAGTCCAAGACTGACAATTTAAATATCGTAGTATTGACGCCTTGTTCACTGATGCATCTTAAACAGAAGGATGTATCTGCTGGTGCCTTTTCAAAGCTATAATCCCATTAAAGTTAATTTGTAAAAATCAGCTGTCTATGATAAACAGAAGCTGCTATTTTTGTTTTGGTGCATCGACCAATCAGAGGACATATCTGCCATCAGCTAATTGTCTAATCAGAAGCAAGTCTTTCATGTCTCAGTAGAGCAGAGAAGTTAATAAAACTCATATTGACATGTATAGTTAAAGCTCCTATCAGGAACTTTCAACTTGTTTCAGTTTGGCGCCCCCTGTGGACAAAGCCTGTCTTGTTCCCTACATGCTTAAATGGCATATAGAAAATAAACAATCATGCTGCGGATGTTCTCTCTTGCCTTTGCACATCATAGAAAAGCAGTTTATTCCATTATGTCAGAAAAACGCTTTAATTCAGAACTCCTCGGTCCATTTTTTCCCACTCAGAAAATTTTCAGGTTTTAATAAGAGAGACTATAAAGAATTGGATCCATCCCCCCCCCCATCATGAGACACCCACTCATGCTTTGGGAACCTCTGGTTTACTTGAAGAAAACTTCAGACATCTACACTCAACATAAAAAATTCTCATAACATGAAAAAGATGATTTCTCTCAGGGGTTATATATAACTTATAAGGGTTGGATTTCTTGAGTTTGAAACTGTGGAGAGGTTAAAGGAGAGTTTCCCCCCCTCATCTTTGTCTGCAGGGTTGTATTATTAACATTAACGTGAGGGGAAAGTGAGCCAGTGGTTCATTAATAATCCACTATGAGGAGAGCCGTATTCAAACAGAGCACACAGTGAATTAAGCTCGGGACAGATCAGAGAAATGGGAACCACTGATGTGCGATTAAAACACGCTTGAGAAGGAGATTAAAAGAGCCGGTGATTTAAATTTCTGAATATTTAAAAAAAAGTACCTTCACACTCCAGCTGGGATTTCTCTTACACCTGACAGAGATGCGTATCAGTGCAGAAAGCTGACACAGAAGCACATATGTACAGACGGCCTGACTCACACTCTCACATCAGAAAGTGTGAGGCTGTTTGTGAGAGCGGCGCTCCCGTTTGTATTCACAGGTGAGGGAGGAGAAGCCTGATGTGTGAATGGACGTCTGGAGAGCGACACTCCAACTGCTTTTATAACCCCGGCCTCTCAGCGTCCATTCAGGAGAGCCGCCTGATGATTCACCGCACATTCACGAGCGTTAGACATCCTGCTGCAGTCGCTCTTAAAGCTGCTGTAACTGAGACGATTCACACAAACAGAAACTAACGTACTGATTTGTGTAAATGTTACTACAGGCTGGAGCTGAGGAGATTAGAAGATTAATCCATCTATTAACCCTTTGTATCTTACATCTGAGCCTTTGATATGAGAGCTTTTAACCCGTCAGACAGAGATGTCTGCTCAGAGAGGACAATAATCTGTACGGTCTCAGTAGTTAACCTATCAGATTATGAATGCATCAGCTTTTAAATGTAACATCAACTCAAAACATGTCTTTAAAGTGTTGATTTAGCTGAATTTTAACTTGGTTTTAAACATTACTGCTGTGAATCAGCAATTGTTTTGTGCTGTACTTAAGTATAAATACAAGTACATACTCTACTACAGTATTTTCCAACTATTAATATCAAACTGTACTGGAGAGTATCCCACTGTACCGTGTTTTATTGTGTTGTATCATATATCGTACTGCATCATATCAAATCATAATGTCATATCATGAAATATCACATCCTTTAAAATCGTATCATAACATATCATATCATATCTTGGTTCTAATCGTATCATATCATAGAATATGTTTCTTATTGTATCATATCATATTATATCTTGGTTTTTATCATATCATATCATGTTTCTCATTTTATCATATATCTTGTTTCTTATCATATCATATGCCATCTTAAAGGTTAGCCTCTTCTTGTATTGTATCTTATCGTATCGTATCATATCATATCATAACATATTTCTTATTGTATCGTATCATATCATATCTTGGTTCTTATTTTATTATATTATATCTTGGTTCTTATCACATCATATCCTATCATATGCCGTCTTAAAGTATAGCCTCTTCTCCTACTGTATCTCATGGCTTCGTATCATATAATGTCATAATGTATTGTATCGTATCTTATCATATCACATGGTATTATATCATGTTGTATCATATTCTATCAATCATATATATCATCTAATATTGAATCATATCTCACAATCATATCACATTATTTTGTAATGTTTTGGTTCCCCTGGTGTAGTATTATACAGTTTTGTTTCATATTCTGTTATGTTGCATTGTAACATACTGTATCTTTGCAATCACACCCTATTGTATTGCATCAGATTACATCACTGGATGGAGTCCCATATTGTTTTCTATCCAGTCAAATACTCCTCAAAAACTTAAGTAGAAGCTGAATCAGTGTGAACTCGAAGCCCCATCAGCGACGTCGCCTTTCGACGACATTCCCGGTGTCCCCTCTTCACACTAATTAAGCAGCAGTTCAGTCCACGTCCTCGGGCGTCTTCTCCCTTTTCTCCTTTACAATAACTGCTGCTTCACACTGTCAGCTCTAACTCCAACACAGTACAGTGGGATTCAGTCAGCATGGTATCCTGTTCAAACTGTAAAAACCAGGCTGGAGAGCGCCGCCCTGGTTCAGTGATTGATATCTTTGATGATGCAAACACAGAACTGTCTTGACTTGGATTTTGCCTCATCATAAACTGCACGAGTTAACTTAAAAGTCCTTGTGAGGCTCAGGATGGGATCTGCTCTGTGTTGTTGGCATATCATCAGTTCATAACTTCCTTATTGATCAGCACCTGACATGTCATTGATGGCTTTCATGGTTTGGTCTTTGGTCATTAAAGCCTGAGTTGAGGGTGGGTCTTCTGCAGGTTCAAAAGTAGAGGACCAGAACAGAAAGTGCACTTCCTCTCCGGAGTCTAGTTATTAGTTTTGGTTTATAATCAATGGTTATTGACGACTACTGCAGCATTGCTTGATTAAAAAACCTCCATCAGTGCCAAACCAACCTGCGGCTCCAGGATAAATAAACTTAGATACTCTCAATTATAACTGCAATGATATCAATTTAACTGGATAACTAACTTATGAGTAAATAACAAAAATCAATAACAATAACTCCAACAGACGGGGAAATGGAGGGACATATTTCAGAGCTCATTAGCTGAAGTTTGACGATTGAACCACTTCTTAGAGACGCTAGCCTGCGTGACGAATGACTCCATTTTCAAACCGTCTTTGTTGACCGATAACGTCAACACACACACAGACACAGTCTCCAGAAAACGCTTTATGACTTTAGAAGCAGCTGCATGACACACACTGTACATTTATATCTCTGTTAATGCAGCTCTGACTCTTCCTCCTCCTCCTCCTCTGTTTTAACCCCTCCCTCCCCAGGAGCGGCTGCTAATGAGCCTTCTGCCCAGGAATGTTGCCATGGAGATGAAGGAGGACTTCCTGAAGCCGCCTGAGCGGATCTTTCACAAGATCTACATCCAACGTCATGACAATGTCAGGTATGGGGGTGTCATGACAACAGTGGATGGTGGAGGTGTGCGTAGAGGCCGGGGCGTTTTGATCCAGGTGTCACCTGCTGTGACGTCAGGGTCCAGAACAGAAGGAGAGCAATTAAGATTGGACGTTAACGGGGACGCAACCAGACCAGGTGAAGGACCTGCAGAGAGAAAACAGAGACTCCTCAGACTCAGAGAGAGGTTTTAAAGAAAGCACTGACTTTCTCTTTAATGATCAAATATTAAAACTCTCACTGGTGAGGTTTCACCAACAAATGTTTTCCAGTGTAGGTAAAAAGCTCCATCAAAAATGCAGGAGAGGCAGTTTCACAGTTATCTACGCTGGAATGATGCATCAGAAGCGGCTCGAGGTTTATCTGTGCATGAATCTGCGGCTCCGCTTAGTTTTACTGAAGTTTGTAAGAGGAACAATATAAAGCAGCTCTTAGCAGCGTCTTGAATGCAAATCAGAAAGTCTGTGACATCGAAAGGAAATTGCTTTTAACTTGTTCTTATTGCATTAACTTTGGCAGACTTAATTTGGGTATAATAACATCTCCAAACAGATCTGCAAGCCTGCAAGACCGTTCGTATAGTTCCTGGAGGCTGTGTCATCATCAGGAGAAAGACCGTCGCAGCCTGAATGACCTGCTCCCTACCGTGATTTGATAATTCTTTAACAGAGGGTCATTTTCTGATAAAATCCTACGAGTTTGCATAATGACTCTGAAAAAAATAGAAGAGTATGAACAAGTCAATCAGCCTCCAATCATAGAGAGAAGTGAAGAGGTGTTCATATTCCTGATGTCAGCAAGAATTAAGTCATGCAAAGACCTGTCAAGCTGATTTCATTAAGCTCCACAAAGAGGGTGTTTATTCCTTACAGAACTATAAGCATGAAGTTCTCCTTGAGTTGTTTCAGGGAACTTTCTGGAAACAGGATACAGAAATCCTCTAAACCCTCAGGATTGTCTTCTTGCAGGCTTAACTCTGAAAAGTACGTCCAACTGTGTGCAGGAAGCTCAATCTGTGGTCGGCTCTGAGAAGAAAACATCGTCACATCGTCAGCATATTGACTCACTTCATGTAAATAAGACTAATCCTTATCAACGCATAAGAAAGTGAATACTTTTTTTTTTTTTAAACAATATTTTTATTCGTTTTTCATCATACAGGAACACAAAGTTATACAATTAATAATGGCAAATATTTTTCATTAGATCAACTCAGAAACAAAGATGAAAATAATAATATATAAAACCCAAAATAATAATAATAATGATAATAAGAAAAAAATTAACAAAAATATTAACAAAAAAATCTATATATATGTATCCAAAAAATAAATATAAATTAATATAATAAATAAAAACACATAAATGAAAATAAATGAATAAATAAAGTTATTAAAAAAAAAAATAATAATGTCACACTTGCGTACAATTATGACATTATTGTTGCCTGTGAATTTCCATCAAGGAAAAAAAAGTGAATACTTAATGAGTCAGTAAAAAGTCCATTCTTAAATCCTGAATCACAAATTTAGCAAATGATTATTGTTATAGACGAGTACGGTGGCCAAGAGGTCAACTGCAGATTTTATCATCACTGCAAATAACGTTTCACTGTTAGATTTGTGTCTTTTCTTTTCTTTTGTTTTTGATGACGTACTTTTGAAATCCTTTCTTCTTTTTCTAAATAGTTTTCTGCGGTCATGACAGGATTTTGCCGTCGACCTTCAGGGCGACTGTAGACCATTTTTTAAGAGCTGCTTCTGTCAAACCCGATGATAAAACTCAGGGCTTCATGTTTTTATTGGACAAGAAACTGTAAAACTTCCTATAACTCATCAGAAATTGTTTGTCATTTATCAGTTTTGTTGCAGCTTTCATTCCTCATTTCTCATTTCTCATTTGTTTTGTTTCGGGGAGCTTGCGAGGTGCTCTCTTTTTTTAGTAACCATCATGCTTTTGGAGCCACATCCCCGAGCGTTCCTATCAGCCTCTTCAGCAGCCACCTCTGTTGGCCCCGTAATGGAGAAAATATTAGCGAGCGTGAGAACTGGGCCTGACTTTGAGCTGATTACAATCCAACGAGGCAGTAAAGAGAAGCTGAGAGCGGCATCAGTGCTGCTGCTGAGTATGAGTGGAGGGCTAGGTAGCATGTCAACAGCACTCCTGTCAAAAGACAATCCTCTCCACCCTCTCTCTCTCTCTCTCTCTCTCTCTCTCTCTCTTTCTCTCTGTCTGCTTTTCTCCCACGCTCAGCCACAGCGCGGGAACATCACCGCCTGTTTTCCAGCCTTGCTGCCTCTCTGGCACTCATCCAAACATCACGCCGCTGCACACAGCGAGCCAGCTCCCGCGCGTCTCCGGGGAGCTGCTACAAACACACACACCTTCACACATGGCGGGAGGAAAAGAAACATCAGCTCTATTTTGCCGAGCAGGGGCGTGACATCTCCCTGATACGGCCTTCCTCTGATGTGGCCCCGAGAACGTTTGATCACATACCTATTTAGCTTCGCCGCAGCCGCCGCCGCTCTGCTCCCCCATCATATTACTCCCCCTCCTCTACGCCCACCACACACAGCTTCATTCAAAGACAAGTCACTCATGGGAGCTCTTCTGTCGAGCAGCAGTCGTGATCCCGGCTTTACATACATTAGGATCCTGAGCAGCTGTACCGCAGTCTGCAGCTCAAAAAAAAAGGACTCAGTCACGATGCAAACGGAGCTGGGTGTCAAAAACCTGGACTTCATGGTGACTAGACAAAAGTTTCACCGATGCAAAGTCTGTGAAAGGGTCAAGAGGTGAAATCTGGCTCTGAAAAACAATCACAACTATCGGCAATGTGCTCACAACGCAAATGGAAAGTCTCTTCTTATACCTTAAAAACTGATGCATCAGGACACTTAGTTTCATACTTTTTGGATCTATAGAGACTGTGTTTGTCTTTTTCTCGGAGTGATCAATCCGAAAGTGTAACTTCACTGTCAGGAAACAAAACAGCTTGAATGATACGCAGCCCACAGCTCTCGCCCCGGCGCCGTCTCTCCTCCGGGGGCAGTAATGTTTTTATTTTTTAGACTCGGAGTCGATAAGATCCATAACACCTTGTTTGTTGCCATCTGGCCTGCCTGTGAGCAAATGAACGAGGAGCTAAGTAGCTTTCAACACCTCTCTCATCCCGTTAAAGCATCTCGCCGACAGCCAGCCAGGCGTTTCACTCTGCAGCTGATTTAGTGTTTGGACTGAGAGACGACGCTTTCGCTGCTCAGATAGTTATTGGATTGTGATTTTCAGTTTTTATCGCCATTAGCCATTTTCTGCCCCCCTGCTGTGATCCGAGGGTGTTTCTGTCTGAGCTGGAGAAACAAACTGTGCAGTCACTGTGTTTTTATTCTCAGCAAACTGAAAACTACATTTGTCTCTATCTCTCGTTTTTCTCGCAGCATCCTGTTTGCAGACATCGTGGGTTTCACCAGCTTGGCCTCTCAGTGCACCGCTCAGGAACTGGTCAAACTGCTCAACGAACTCTTCGGGAAGTTTGACGAGCTTGCTACAGTAAGTGCTCGCCATCTCTTTAAAGTGATGAATAAAAGATCAGTGACATCCTTCATCAGCATGGAAAAACATTTGATGATAATTGATTATTTATACTCAAGTGCAGTTTGTTTAAAGGATAATGTTGACTTTGGAGTCATTTGAATCGTAACCAGGGTAACTGCTGCGCTGTTTTTCTAATTTCATACTTTTAACTTCTGGTTTTGCATCATGCAACTTGGATCAAACGATGTAGTCCAGTGTGCAAAGTTGCAAAAAATCTTAATTCTTAATAATGATGCCCCAACGCTTTCTTCCTTGAAAGGTATCCTTGCTAGTATTACTAGTTTGTCAAATTTATATCAGTTTATTTCATAGTAAACCCAAAATGATGGTCATATGTCGTGTCTAAGCTCTTGTGTTGCCACGTGCCACTCGTTCAGGTAAGGATCTAGTTTATGGCTCTACAGCTCAACCACCCGGATGTAAATAAGCACAGATGACAGAGAGTTTATCAGTATGAAGTTGTGTCCTTTAGTTAAATGCAGGATGTGTCTTATTTAATATAATATAATCACTTGATGCAACTCTGAGTATGTGGACTAAAGGATGGGGGTGCTAGGTTGCGATGTTGTCCACTTGCAGACTTTGTCATCACGTGCTTAATCGTGCAAATGAAGTTGTGCTCACGTGAATTTGATGCACCAGGGTGACCCACATGGTCTGATCCAGCAGTGGAGCTACAGGAGCTCAGGGTCATGTCGGCGTCCCCTCTGATAAACCCATCTGACCCTCTGTTGTTCAAACTGCTTAGTCTGTTTGGGGTCTCAGGGGGCTGGAGCCAATCCCTACAGTCATTGTGTTGCACTCAGGTCAGGTCATCAGACAGTCTCAGGGTTGACTTAAGAAGTCCTTTTGACACATTCACTGCAGGCCTGAAAAGTTCAAGACTTTTTCAGGACAATGTGTGAATAAAAGAAGGCGGAGTCTATTCTTAAAGCCCCCAAATCAAATATCCAAAACATCGAGGCATCTTCTGCAGGCGGGTTTTGATGAGGCGGTGGATTCACCATCAGGTTCAGTTGTGCAGACATAGTTTTCCTACAGGAGGAGATGACTCACTGTTCTTCTGTTAGTGGACACGTTGAGGCTGAGGCCTTGCTTTTCTCCCTCTCAGTGGGAGTGGAGGCTCATGCTGGTCAAACATAAATGAATGAACGGTGCGCTCAACTCTCAACTCTGCAAAATGCTGCTGAACCATGTGACCTACATAAACGACCAAGATTCACACATTTGCACATATTAAGTCGCTTAATCTGCAATCCAAGTCTTTGGAAGTCTTTTACACGAGAAGGCCTGAGCTGAGTTTACAAACCAGGAGACTATGAAAGACAATCTCCCTGTTTTGCAGCTCCACCTGCCTCCCTGTGAGACATATCCGCCTCTTTGGCTGAAAAATGTTCTTCTTTGTTTACCAGAGAGTTTTTCAGCTAGAATGAAAAATGCAAATCTGCTAACAGCACCGAGAGACTGAACTACTCCTCCACAGGACAGTGAAGCTGCAGCTCCTAAATCTCAGCGTATGACCTCCCGTCTCTCGAAGCAAAAAGCCAAATATATTATTCAGTCGTGGAGCTCATTTAAAATACTGAATCATGTATTGATCCAATGATGAAAGTTAAGCAGGAGGAAGAGGAGGAGGAGGAGGTGAAGGTCAAGAGAGGAGAAGAAGTGGCTGGTTGAGAAAGGAAGAGATGAGTAAACAGATTTTTTTAGACAGAGGGGAGATAAGGGAGGAGGAAGAAGAGGAGGAAGAGGAGGAGTTTCTAGTGTGTAGAAAACTGCACTTGATAAAGAGAGAGGAAGATAGCTCTCCTCCTCTTCCTCCTCCTCCTCCTCGTCTGTGGGTATAAGCCGGTGCAGCGTTGTTTTCAGAGAAAACAGATTAGGTGAGTAACAGGTTATCTGCAGCCAGACTACTATCATCATCATCATAATACTCCATCACACGCACACACGCACATGCACATGCACAAATGTTTGCTCACACTTTTAATCTCAGCAGGTTATGTAATCTTCACAGTACAGCAGGCTCAACACATGGTCGGGTCGTACACTCAAACATACAGTTAAATATCCCGACTTTACTACCAACCATGAATCCTCGGGATGCAAATTTATGATTTCTGCAGGGAGACGAATCAGAGCGTTATCGTGAGGTCGTGGCCTGGAGCGGTTTTAGTCAGTTAGTGAGTGAAGGCAAAGGTCACAGTTAGTCCTCGTCTGTGTGCGTATAAATCACACCAACGTCTTTACCTGCAGACTTCTACGGTGGCCCTGAGGTCTCTTTTGCCGTTTTTTTGCCGTTTTTTTTTTTTTTTTTTTTTTAATATATGTTTATTCAGTTTTCCAGAAACAAAACAAGAACACATGACAAAAAACAAACAAACAAACATACATTTGGCTCACACACACATGTAAGTTCAAATTTATACAGGCGAGAGATTCAGGAGTCATCTTATACAAATAAAATCGTCGCCAACGTCGCTCCACAGCAAGAAAGTTAAAGTTAAAAATAAATAAATTGGACCAACAATGCAAACATTTGTGAGGCTGATGATGCACCTACACCAAAAATGAGAGGATTTTGTTGGTTTTAAGAAATAATTTATGGATGTTTGGATATTTATCGTTCAGAAGAAGAGAAGGGTGAGGAACCAGAGCCTGGATTGAGTATTTCAGAGCATGAGAGCGGTGCTTTTTAAAGACCTACAGGACAAGGCTGGTTACCAGAATGTCTATAAATAAATCCTGTAAAAGTTTAAGCACACTTCTCTTTAATTTATGGCACAATTATTTGAGTATGTATCATCAAATATCACTCCTCTGTTGAACTCAACGCCACTACAATCCAAAAAATCCCTTTGCACAGTTAACTCGTGCTTCCTCGTTTACTGTACACACTCACACACACACAGAAACGCGTGCACAAAAGTCACATGATCAGCGGGATTATCCCTCTTGAGTTCATTCTGCATCTCAGCAATCAGTCATGGCTTAACACAGGCGGAGAGATAGACAGAAAGAGCAGGACACAAGGTGATATGTGGCTGCCTATCTCCGCTCCCACACTCAGACAGCTGCTCCACGGAAATCTTGTGAGGAGGATTTCTCGTGTGCATGTGTGTTTGAGCGTGTGTGAAGAGCTGCAGCTGCATCCTAATTGAGATTTATTCCCTGTCATGTTAGCAAAAAGGGAAATTCACTTTCAAACCAGCTCAGTCACAGCTGCTGAGCCCGTCTGACTGCACATTTATCCTGCAGAGGCTCAACCTGAACTTAACCGCCGCAGCGGCAGCAGCAGACGGGCATTCAGCTCCACGCTAACCTTCACTTCACCTTAAAGCCTCAGGAGGACCGCAGCTGTGATGGATGAAGTCAAGCAGAGCAGGAGGAAGAGGAGGAGGAGGAGGAGGAGGAGGGGATTGTTTGAGCTTGTTGGATTTAATAACTTATTCATGTATTAAAATTTCTCTTCTATTGACACAGGGGAGACTTTTGTGTCCTCACCTTTAAGAGGAGATAAGAGGAAAGAAAAGATCCCTTTAACCTGATCGCCTCCTTTTTAAACGAGGTTTGTCTTAAATGTAGGGCTGTGTGATTTTGGCCAAAAATAAAATCCAGATTTTTCGACTTTTTATTCAGTCACAACTTCACCAAACTTCACTTTAATAATAAAAAGTTTTTCTATCATCTCTTAAAACCACTAAAAAAACTATGTAGTGCATATGCCAAGCCAGTAAGTGGCGCTGTAACGCTGCACAGGAAATGAACAAAGGACAGAAGAAGAGTACAGAACATGCGTATAAAGGTTGTTTTGGCTCCATAAAAGAGTTTCGCTGTGTGTCACATGATCATTTCCAGAGATGCAGATAGACATCCACACGGAGATGAAATGGTCGTCGTTTACAGATTTATTCACTCTCTGACCTGTTTTCAAAAAGTACCGTTTACAGTCACCTGAAACGCCGATACAATAAAAAACTTTAGCGTTTACTCCTGAATTCGTTTCCGTGGTGATGGGTTGATACCGTCTTCAGACAGACTTTACAGCGGGGAGTGGTTTGCTCTTCATCCGAAACTCTGAAGTCGTACCAATTCAACACGACTGACTCGCTCTTGTCCTATTTACCCATGTAATCAATAACGGTTTAAAATCGATTAATCATGCAGCCCTAGTTAAAGGCACTGTGAGGAGTTTTTCACTGATTTTAAAATAATGTGTCCTGCACAGATGATTCTTTATGATGGTAAAATGAGATTTTAGTGTTTGTTTTTTCATGGAAATCTGACCAGAAAACAGCTGATTTTTGGCGCTCCTTCAGTGTCTCATGCTGTCAGGTTTTCAGTGAGGAGTTCGTTTACATTAGTGGTTGATTATGGAGCAGGATGAGCAGGTAGGAGTACATTGTTGGTTGAAGTCGGATGGAGAAGCTGCTCATTTGGCTCTGAACAGGATCGAATGTTTACCCTGATCTGTAGTCGTCTCACCTGTCTTTATGTTTCTCGGCTGTTTCCTTAAAAACAGAAAATCCTGTCGTGATGTTTCCCAAACTTTCCCTCAGATATGAAATAAAAATCTAAACCTGAGCCTCACCATATGGTTGGTTTTGGTTTGGTGTGGTCTTGCTCTTCATTTTGGGAGCCGGTTGAGTCTCTGCATTCAGAAACTCAGATGTTGAGACTGAGACGATGTGGTGTTTTTACTTTACTTTCGCCCCTGATCAGCAGGCTTGAAAAATCCCAAATCCAAAACCTCTTACATACACCACGTCCTCCTGAGACTCGGTTCCCTGTCAGCTGATAATTTCTCTCTTATTTCTGTCCTCACACACAAACACAAAGACTTCACAACGCCGGGATAATCGTCCACGTCCTGGATTCTCATATCCTCCCACGCCAGAATCTTTCTGCTCTCATGAGCAGAAAACCAGAGCACCCCGACTCCTCTCTTTTCATCTCCGCCTCTTACCCTGCAGTTGTCATGAATCCTCTGTATTTGTGAGCGTGTGTGTGTCTGTGTGTGTGTGTGTAGATGCATGCATGTCTGTTGCTCAGAGGTTGCCTGCAGGCTGAGCTTTGTAGGGTCCACCATTATAGTTTTTTGATGAGTGTGGGGGACAGAGTGCACATCAGAGAGACCTGCAGAGTCTGTTTGCACGCGACCCAACATGCTGCTCCTGCTCTCCTGCAGGTATGTTGTGTGTTTACACGTGTGTGTGGAGTGTGTGTGTGTGTGTGTGTGTGTGCTCTCTGTGACAAATAGCTGATCTGTCTGGGAATGTGTGGGTGGGATTCTACTTCAAGAGCATGTCGGAGCAATTAGAGTTGGCCCCGACTACAAACACACACATGGCTGCACAACTACACACATCTGATTTACATCCACCCCGATCAGACCGCGTACAGTCGAACCTCTCAGCAGCAGAAACTGTAAAAGCAGTTTTTCCTCAATGTGTTAAAAATAGAAACGGAGCACAGATGTTCTTCATTAACTGAAGCTTCTTATTACAAGAAAAATAGATCAGGAAAAGATCTTGTTGATTGGAAACCTGGACTCAGATCTGGGTTTAAAGGGATATTCCGGCGTAAAATTAAGTTAGGGTCAAACACGCGTAACACAGAGTTAGACCCCCCCTCCAGAGATGAATGTGGTCGACCACTTGCTTCTCTAGTTATACCAACTTTAGCAATGACTGCAGGATTTTTTGATTGACCTGATTTCTTTAGCAAAGAGACTAAACACAACTCACCTACTCTCTTCCAGCAGCCGCTTGTTTGTAGCAAGACCTCAGGCCAGTCCATTACGGACTACAGCGGGGTGTTGCAGCTCAAGGAAGAACATTTATGATCATTTCTTAATCATTTCCTTGAAGTAATAATCATCATATTAACCATTTTGCACTGGAGACACAGTAGTTCTTCTGCCTTAGCGTCTCGGTCTGATTGTATTTCCATGAAGAAATGATCATAAATGTTCTTCCTTGAGCTGCAACACCCCGCAGCAAAGGGAGGACTCGCCCGGAGGTCTACGGACAAACAGGCGGCTGCTGGAAGAGAGTAGGTGAGTTGTGTTTAGTCTCTTTGCTAAAGAAATGAGTCAAAGTTAAAAAGATGTTTGGTGTCTAGTACTATGTCTGTGACCCTATATGTCCTGTTGATGAAGTTAGGTGCTGTTCTGAGCATTATTTGTGGCTATAGAGTGGCGTTTTGGTTGAGCGCGTGGCTCTCTGTATTGCTATCCTGCGGTCGTTACTGAAGTTGGTATAACTAGAGAAGCAAGCGGTCGGCAACATTCATCTCTGGAGGGGGTGTCTAACTCGGTGTTATAGTGTGTTTGACCCCAACTTAATTTTACGCCGGAATATCCCTTTAAGGTCTGATTCCATCCAGAAGACTCTATGAAGACCTTTAATGTTGAGCACCTCTTTGTGTCTTTGTGTCTTTGTAGGAGAACCACTGCAGGCGGATTAAGATCCTCGGGGACTGTTACTACTGTGTGTCCGGACTGACCCAGCCCAAGGCAGACCACGCCCACTGCTGCGTGGAGATGGGACTGGACATGATCGACACCATCGCGTAAGTTTCGGTTTTGGTTTTCTTCGGCAAATCAGAGGCACTGTTGACATGACTGACAGGTGGGAATCTTGGAGTCGTTTAATGCTGCAATCCAGTTACCTCGGAAGTTGGATGCTAGAGGTGGGAATGGCGTTCCAGTTAATAAGTCGGAAAACTAAGATGGACACATACATGGGGACCATAATCATGCTCAGTTTATCGTCTGTTTTGACTGTGTTGTTGTCGGACCTTTTTGCAAACACGACCGAACAATACAAAACAGACTGAAGGAGTTCAGCTGCATCAACTCCTCCTCTCTCAGAGACTGCATGCTGCAAAGCAGTGTGGGAAATATTGATCTAAGTTTTAATATCGTTCAGCGCTTCATCCTGTGAACTCAATTTGTGATGAGCTCGACACTTGTTGGCAGACATGACCCTGAATCCTCCCCGACAGCATGTTCACACACTCACAGACACACACACTCAGACTCTGAGCCTTTACCCCATTTCTCCGTGCAGACACCGTCCTGTCATGTTCCCTCTCCCTCCGCTCCGTCTGAGTGGATGGATGCTGCTGGAGGAGTCTTTTATCTCAGGGGACAGGTGCAGCCGAACACGCTCATCCCTCTTTCTGCGTGTGTGAGACATTACTCCTTCAGCCTGACGGGGAACGGCGTTTTCTCCTACGCCACCCAGTAAACACACACGCGAACGCCGTCTGAAGTGGCTGACCTTAAACGAGTGAGGATGAGCTTTGTGTGATGATTTAGAGGAGCGCTTCATCTTCAGGGGAGTGCAGACCTACATGGATACATGTGTCTGTGCAGGTTCTCATTCATCCAGATCTTCGTTGAAAGGGCAGCGGACCTGTTTGAGGTTCTTGAAGATGTTTCGTGTCTCTTCTAAAAGGATTTATAGCCTCTGGTGGTGGGAAAAGGGTGGGTGGTCACCTGAGAGTCGTCAGCATGGTTGTTGACCTGGATTCACCTGGAGGGGATCCTTCCTGGGTTTCTGCATGATGTTGGAGCCTGTGATCCAGTACAAAAGTGTTGTTTCTATTGTTGTCGAAACTAGCGGTGTCCGAATACAATATTGATATCTGATATCAGTCCAATATCAGCCAAAAAAGCGAATATCGGATTATATCTGCTTGCATCTAAAATCTCGGAGATAAGCACTCTGATACAAGCAGTCAATTCCAGATTCCGCTCCGGTACCTCTATCTAGCAGCATCCAGCAGGCCTTACCCGAGAATCCCACTGGATCCGGATTGGCTCCGCTCTATTCTGGACCAGCAGGCAAATCAAATACGCAAGCATACAGCGCCCTCTGGATCCGATCCGCTGCCACTACTGGAGGAGAAGCGCTCTCGAAATTACCGATATTTCTTGTGAGACTGGACGAGATCTCATAAGATCTTGCGTGTTTCCCCGGGTGTCATAGAATGAGATCTGCTGATCGGTGTATATAAACGGCGGTGTATATAAACACCCACATCCCACAACCCTGGCCTCTCCCATTATCAAGTTAAGAAGTTCAATGAATTGACTTTATTTTATTTTGAAAATTAACCAGATATTTTACTCTGTAACTGCGTACAACTTCTGCTGCTGCTAATGCTGCTCTGCACTGAATTGATGCGCCGTGCTCTGGCGTCCGGCAAAAATAAAAGCCTTCATATATGATACGGCTGCCGGAGCCGATCCGCAGTGGAGCCAGACAGTGGATTCTGTGGAATCACTCACAATAATTAGAATGTTTGCGTATTTGATCCGCCTGCCATACCGGAGCGGATCAATATCGGTATCAGCCAATACCAAAGGTTACAGTATCAGTATTGTATCGGAAGTAAAAAAGTTGTATCAGGACACCCCTAGTCGAAACAACACTTTTGTACTAAATTAGGGTGACTATATTCTGAATCACCAAAAAGAGGACACCACTACACAGGGCAGAGTAGCGCACAAAATTTTGAGGGTGAGGTCAAGTGTATTTTGCGCAGTCCTAACTCGGTTAGTCCAGCGACACAAACTCGAAACTTTCATACAAAACCTCAGACATTTGAATGATATTAATAAAGTCCCCGGACAAAGCCAGACAGCCCCCAGAAAAGAGGACATGTCCAGGTAAAAGGGGACATATGGTCACCCCTTACTAAATCACAGTGCAAAACCAAAGAATTGGTTCTACTGTATGTGGTGCGTGCTGGGCACACTGGATACATGGTTGGGACAGACTGGGTTCAGGTCGGGCTTATGGTTGGCAGGTCTTGAAATCCACTGTTTGGATGCACAACACTGAATTAACCTCATGTTCGTTTGCCTCTGTGCTCAATTGTTAAGTGGTGTTGTAACCTTCACTCCCTTCACCCTTTTTCCTTCGCAGGTCGGTGGTGGAGGCGACGGAGGTGGATCTGAACATGCGTGTGGGTCTGCACACAGGACGGGTGCTGTGCGGCGTGCTGGGCCTCAGGAAATGGCAGTATGACGTCTGGTCAAACGATGTCACGCTTGCAAATGTGATGGAGGCCGGAGGGCTGCCCGGGTCAGTGCTGACTGTTACACCCCTGGACGCCACAAACACACAACACAGACTCACACTGACACACAACGACGAGCGCGTGCAAACCAAAGCAGGAAGCATCCGTGTTTTCTTTCTGCACATGTTCTACAAATAAACACGTGTAAAAGAAATGAGGTTAATTCTTTAAGGATCAGTCAATTATATATATTATAAACCTGCTGGAGAGACTTCAATTAAAAAACGAGGACATACTTTAATCTCTGTTTTATAAGAACTCAAATACAAGATATTGGAAATTAATGAGCATCTTTTCAGAAATGGATCCTTTATTTATAAGGATAATTATTATACAGTGTTTACACCTGGGCATTAATTTAGTGCATAAAACCAGAAAACTTCAGTCCAATCATGTTTTCACTTTGACTTTACACGATTTATTCCTGCAAATGGTTTTATTTTCATCTGGTGGAGACAGCACATTCATTTGTTTTAATTTGAAGTATAAGGCGCACAGATTTGAGCTGTTTCTGGATTAAATAGACGCTCTGTCTTCTTCTGTGGTGTTTTGACCTGATGGACTGATAACACGTTAATTCTACCCACTGGAACTGAGCGTTTTCAATCCTTTCTGGCTGGTTATACAGACAGAGAAGTTTCAAAAATACTTAACGTGTGTACAGAGTTTAGTTTTTGAGACCAGATCTAAATAAAAATCTTTTCTCTAAAATCTGGACACGTGGCGTCGGCGTAACTCGACTGAGTAAATCCAAGATCCTGCAGCCGCACAGCTCCTCGTCTCCTCAGCGGTGACTCAAAATAATCCGAAACCTCTGCAGACATTAGTCACTGACACACAAAAACAAAAAGGGAGTGGTGTCCCGATTACAAGAAACTCAATGGACCTTAAAGTTCTTGATAAATGTCAGATAAAAATGGCACAGAGCTCTGTCAAACCAACAAGATACGAGTTTATGCAAATGTTGTGACTGTCCATAGAGATGAGGAATTTACATTTTGTTAACTAGACTAAAAACTGCATCTATCTGTTAATGCAGTTTGTTTATTACTAAAGAAAAAGACTGTTGTCCCCTTAATTCATATCGGGTCTTTAAACAACTGTTTGGATGTAATTAAAGCAGATTTATGCAATGATTTTAATTTTTAAAGAAAAGAGGGTACAGCGGTTTAAAATCAGGACCACCCACATTAATTTAATGTCATGTCATTATGGAAAACTCCTGTGCAGAAAGAAGCTGATTTGCATTTAAAAAGTGGTGAAATAAGGTCAAATTATCGGCTCCATTTGATTTTGTTTCAAGTGAAGTAATAAGATTTTGGGACTCGTTAGCAGATTAAATGAGTCGTTTGGATGAAAATTTTCCGTGCTGAATTTTGAGCAGGCCGGGGCGCCGTGAGGCCGATAAAAATAATGACTTGAGACCTCATAGTGCTGGTCTTTTAACACTTTTATGTCTTTTCTCAGGAAGGTGCACATCACACGAACCACCCTGGAGTGTTTGAACGGAGACTACGAGGTGGAGCCGGGATTCGGACACGAGAGGCACGCCTTCCTGCAGAAGCACCACATAGAGACGTATTTCATCGTACCGTCACACAGACGCAAAGTACGTCAGAATTTCTCTTTAACATTTCTTCCCCTTAGTGACATGTCTGTGTTGATAGTAAATCCTCTGATAGGCTGTGTGTTCAGGCTGGTGCACACATGGTTACCACGTGTCCACTCAAATTGCTTGTGCAAACAAAACTAAACATTGAGGTTGTCTGTTGTCGCACACTCACAGGTCAAACAGATAAAAAAAACAAATCCAACTTAAAACTGAATTTATTTCCAAGAAAAAGTCAAATCTCTGGTCTTTGAAGCACAAAGGTCACGTCCTCCTTTTCCTCCAATCCCTCAGTAATGTTTATATCTCAGCTGTTTTACTTTATAGCTTATCAAAGTGGATGACAGCATTTAAAGAGTTTGGAAATTAAGGGTTTTATGGTTTAATGTTGGAAACTATGAGTTCTTGGAAAGCTGTATGAGCTGAATGTACTCCGAGGGTTTAAAACAGAGATATTAATAAAGAACAGACAGTTTAGGCTGAAAGATTTCCATGAAATCAAAAGGAACAAATTCTCCCTGTATTTGATAAATTTCTTATTATCCTGTCCAACTTATTAGTTCACAAACTACTAGATAAGGTTGGGAATTGTTAATAATTTAGCGATTCTGATTCCATTATTGATAATGCTTATCGATATGATTCCTTATCGATTCTCTTATCGGTAAAACAAATGGGTTTGTTCGCATTAACTCTTTAATATTATCATCTTTGGACAGAAGAAATGACATATCCATGCACTAATAATTCGTTATGTGACCTTCCTTTTGACCATGAATCTGTTCGGTGACATTCGTTTATCTTCACCTCTGTCATTTTACTCGTCCCTGCCTCCATGAACGGAGCCGCCAAAGGTGCGCCAGATCTACCCGCTACAGCCGCTGAGCTAGCATGACTCAGGCAGTCATCATCATCGAGATGTAATTTAAGGAGACGGAGAGTATTTATATAGTCAAAAGGCGGCTAACATGGCGCCAACATCTACACAACAGACACGACCTGGAGGAGTTAAACGTTACCTTGATGACATCGAGACGTTAGCTCCGCTCCTGCTTTTGCCTGTACAAGTCTCGCCTTCGCTAAGTAGAGTATCAAACACGTTACACTTCATTAACTGCATGCTGGGAGGACAAATGTTTCCACATATCGGAAGTATTTCCCCTCTTCGATGAAATCTGCAAATGTTGCAAGTAGCCCCATGAAATACAGCCAAACTCTGGAGTGCTTTTTCTCGACACCATTCTGGAAAGTTCTGAACCAAAACACACTTCTCAAGTACTACGTCATCACGCATAAAGACGTAAGAGGAACCGATACGCAGAATCGTCAAGGAGGCAGACAAACAATTCTTCAGAATCGAATCTAAATCTAAAAAGGGACCAGTTATCGATTCTCATCCCTACGACTAGATGACACGCTAACTTGACAGAGGAAGAGGGTTTGTTTTCCAAAGATAGGTTAGAAAAGGCTTCGAAAATTTTTGACTTGTTGGATTTCATTGAAAAATTGCGATAACTTAAATACAAATACAAGCTAACTAGTAAAAATCTGTTTATTATGGAAGAGGAAGAGTGACGATGGCGTTCTGCTAACAGTAGGGTAACCTTGTTTTGAATCCCCAAAAATAGGACACATGGCGGAGTTGTGCGCAAAATTTTAGGGTTTTTCGGGTCGGGTCAAGTTTTTTTTCGCACTTCTAACTCAGTTAGTCCATGTGACACAAACTCAAAACTTCCAGACAAGACCACGGACATTTGAAGGATTTTATAACCTCCCCCTGGACAGACCGGACAGCCCCCAAAAAGACAACATGTCTGGGTAAAAGAGGATGTTACATTAACTAACGGTTTACATTCAGAGTTAAAATCGAATATTTGCATATCTTCAGTTTTTTCTTTGAGAGAGAGAAACCCTTAGCCGTACACGTCTAAATCTGTGGGAATAAACGCTTTCAGAAAGATGTAGCAGATACTTTTATCAGTCGAACCCTGACTGCCTAAGTGTCGGAGCACATTTGCAGTAAAAAGGTTTTCGTCTGTGTCTTTATAGACTCTATTTTTCAGTTTTTCCTGCTCGGCTCATTACCTCCTCTGCTCTTATTTCCAGATCTTTCCAGGACTAATCCTGTCAGACATCAAACCAGCCAAGAGGATGAAGTTTAAGACCGTGTGCTACCTGCTGGTGCAGCTGATGCACTGTAGGAAGATGTTTAAGGCCGAAATCCCTTTTTCCAACGTCATGACCTGCGAGGATGACGACAAGGTACGTGACCTTTCCAGTCAGTCGGAGTCTCTGAATGAATAAAAAATGTTTTTTTTTCTTCTTTTGGTTTTTTTAATGTGTGTGACTCCTGCTGCTGCTGCTGTGGAGGAGAGGTCTGAGGATATCTGGGTCATGTAGTGGGGAAAATCCTTTTTAATGGTTGTACGTGCATTTGTGATGAAGTGAAATCCTGCCTGGATTCCTAATCTGCTGCACACACACACACACACACACACACACACACACACACACACACACACACACACACACACTCTGTCACACTATAATCTGGATTTCTAGATTTTGCAGCATCATTAATTCTGCAGCACAGTGCATTACAACTTCATGTTGACAAGTGAGCAGGTGGAATGGATATTATGAGCAACTTATACCAGCACTTATAGTCGCCGCTTTTAGACCTACGAAAGTGAATCACAGGATTATAACGGCAGCAGTTTTTATTTTACGCTGCTTTAAACGAACGCTTCTTTCTTTCTGATTCGTCACATTCAATGGAGATTGATGGTTTTATTTGATAAATCAAGAGAAATTACAAATCTTCCAAGCTTTAGACGGCAGCGGTTATGTTCCTACATCCTAAAAAAGTCATATCAAGTTGTTTGGCTCTCAAAGTAAAATATCTAAAATTAAAAAAAAAACACAACTAAATAAAATTAAATAAACTAAACTAAAAACTAAATAAAAAGCAACAAAAAGAGAAAAATCCAACAAAAGGCATGGGAGCAACGTTGCACTGATTTCACAATCTGCAGTCGGCTACCTAAATCTCAGTTTTTCTCTGTTTACATGCAAACAGAGTTTTCCAAAATCTCTACTCTGGACAGAGTTTTTAAAAAGCATCATTTTCAGAGGGAATTCTCAGTTTGCGTTTAAACGAAGGGTAAAAACAATGGTTAATGTCTCTGTTTTTAAAAATAACCAGGTACATATAAACAGGGCCCTAGTCTCATAGGAAATCGTGAAACACGTTGTGTGATTCGGCCTGTCTTCCACACAAAGCTGCACAAATACGTCATTAAAACTGGTGCTTTTGGAAAACTCCAGCCAAGGTAAAGATTTGGAAAACTCCTGTATTGAGTTTGCATGTGGACATGGATAAACAGACTTATTCCCAAATGTTAGTTTTCGTGACAACTATTAGATAAACGTCCTTTGTTTATGTCAGGCAGTGGATGGCCCAGATATCTACAGAATATATATTTTTGTGAGGAGCAAAGGAGAAAGAGTGCTTTGTAGTCGGTTATTCGACACCAAATAACCGTTCCTCCACCTTTCTTGAGTCTTGTTGACTTTGTACTCCAAAACGGCGCTTTAAAGCTATTCCACCTGTTTCTCTGGCCACACGAACGGACAAACGGACTACACAGCGCTTTGTTTCATGTTTGGGGAAGTGACGATGAGAAAGGGAAGCTTGCTCTGATTGGATGGAATGGATCTAACTTTTTGGCAAATACTACCAACTCCAGGTTTGGCATGATTGTAACAGGAGTCAATTTTGTGTGGATGGGATTTTATTTGAAAATGATGATGTGTGTACGTGCCTTTTTTTTTTAAATGGTGGGGGTTTGATATTCATTTATAAAAATACATGTGTACAAGGCCTAACTGGAGATCCAAACATACACTGACAACTACATACATACACAGACAAACAAATACACAATGAACCAAACAGGACAAAGAGGAAGACAGGGACTATATACACAGACTGGTAAACAAGCAACAGGTGAGACAGACGAGACACAGGTGAGACTGATGAGTGATTAACAAAGGAGAGAAAACTAGGGAAGTAAAACCAGATGAGAAACACAAAGAATCAACTCCTACAAAATAAAACAGGAAATAAACACTGAAAACTGATCTAAAGAATAAAACACTGAGAACAGGAGAGAAACAGGGTCAAAGACAAACTGAAAAATCCCAAGACTGAACTACAGGGGAACAGAAACACGAGGAAAAACACACAAAACCAGGAAAAACTAAATTAACAGAACATATCAGGACAGAATTCTGCCAAATTTGGAGATTTTTAACCAGAATGTTTTGAATTTATCGAGTAAAATATGAAATAGACTTAGACAAACTTTCAGCACAGGTTATAAATGATCTAAAAATGCTCCAAGAAATGACATTAAATGAGTTAAAATAACCATTTTAACAGCTGAGATTATGTATGTGAGCATATCTGCATGAACAAGGATACCAGCTCCATATTTTAACTCCTCTGTGCTCCTGCAGTCGTTCACAGAGGTGGTCCGCTGCCTGGCGGTTGATTATTGGTGTCGTCATGGCGTCACAGAAATAGCCAGTTACCCATAATCCCCAACCGTGAGCTCGGCCAGGCGTTAGTACGTCATGATTCTGATGAGGTTGCATTACGACTGCTGGTAATGGTTCCATCTCTGCTCACAGCATTAGCCACACTCTTACATGATTATACAAGCGGCCAAAAACCCGTGCATTGTGACACATTTTTATAAGAGAAGAATTATTGGATTTTTTTAGCACAGAGAAGCCCAAATTTATTGGATTTGGATATTAATCCAATGAGGTACTGTCTTTTATGAATAAATATGTAAACAGAAATTAAATACAGAAAATCAGGACCTTTAGTGCGGCCTTTTGTGGCAAATTTTAAACATTTTTACGCTTTAAATTTGATTGCACCTCGACTATTATTGCACATAATTGACTGTTTTGTATGTTGAGTCTGTAAAATTAAACTTTTGCATATTAACTGCATGATAATCTTTGACTGAAGTTTTATTTTCATGCAGCTGGATGCTGTAACCCTGCTCTGATCGACTGTTATGGTTATGATTATAAAGGCTGCGTCTGTTACAGTCTCTCCATGTTAAATTTCAGCAGAGCTTCAGATTAAATCCCAACACTTCTCCGTATCTGCAGAGTTGGTTACGGGCATAATTACAGTAATTTCCATCTCGGGCCTTATTTAACTCGTTTATGGCATCACGATGCCTGAGTTTCAGGAAAAGCATCTCCACAGGATCTATGCGAACTCCATTAAACCCCCAAAAAGCAATTACTGTAAATCACACAATAACATCTCCACCACAGTGGAATCCACCCACATCTCATCTTCTGATTAACCTCGGCCTGAAACTACTTCACTGTGCGGTGTGATTAGAGTTAGATTAACACGCTGCTGGCAGAACTATTCAACCTCATGTAATCAAATAGTAAATCTGAGAACTTCACCAACATACGAGACCGGAGTGACCTCGATTTGGTGATAAACTAATGTACGGACTTAGCAAATGAATTTAAATGTGGATAAGGTGAGATTTCTTTCAGGAATATAACTAAATATTTACGTGCTGAAAACGTGCAGCTTAAACAGTGTTTGAACTACAGAGTGTAACAAACGACCAATCAAAACGTCTTAAGAGGGGAAGTTAGAGGTGCTTATGGCGTCCCAGTATCTGCAGTGATGCACCCGCCTGCCGCTATTTTGCAAATTCATGCAAATTCAACACCTTGTATACACAGTAAAATTGCTTAAGACACTTTTTATGACTTTTTATCATTGAATTAAAAGTGAGATGAGTTCTTGAGTCGTGCCACTCAACCCAGAATCGACTCTTTCAGTGTGTTTGCATGCCGGCGAATCAGCCTTGTGGCGCCACATTATGTTACGACCATAAATTAAGTAAAATAAACATGAAAAACTCCTTGTGAATATTAAAAAGGGGGTTAGGCAAGTCCAGGGATAAAGGAGCTACACATCCACATAGAAACTGCACATTTCTGGACTTCATGGACATCTTTACAGAAGCAACCGAGTTCAAACCGTTCTCAAGCCAATTACAGATTTGACGATTTTTCTGTCTAAACAGGTGTGCCATAAAAAAATTACCTTGTTTTAGGGCTGGGCGATATGGGAAAAAGTTTATCACTATAAATTTTTTTCATATCAGTCGATATCGATATATATCACGATATAAAAATGAAATTTAACAGTGTTTATTGGTAGCATGTCTTTTGCAATACAATAAGCTTGTGCATCTATGAGGTCGTTTTGTCGTAAGGCGTTGAGCTAAAGAAAGCGGACTGAATGGTCGGCTGTTTCGGCTGCACAGGCGCCATTGCCCGTGCTCTGTGGCGTGGCGCTGCAACAGGTGGTGAAAAAGTTTTGAGGTATTCCCCGACTTTATGAGAACATGAACTCGACATAATTTACAGTACACGTCACTCTGCTTCATGTCCAACCTCAAAAAAACAAAATACCTCCACACCACCGATGTTTTTGTGCCAGTGTCATCGCCGATTGGTTCAGCGCGAAGTGGACCTGGAGCAACTCCGCTTTTCATTGGCTATTCATATTGTTGACCAAAACATGGCAGAATGCAAACAATCGAAAAGCATGTTAATGATGTTTTATATTGATATTGAGGGAAATAAATTTAGATAAATATCATTATTGTTTTATCGCCCAGCCCTACCTTCTTTACAGTAAACACAAATAAGACATTGATGTATAAAGACCAAAGCTAGCCGTGTGCAGTCTCATTTCTCAGCATGATGCCTGCCTCAAGTGGTCAATCAAGGAACTGCAGTTTTGTTGAACTTTTGCATTAACCTTATTTCTTAACACCTGAGGCTGCTGATTGGTTTAACCATCAGGTGATTGTAAAGTAGGCGTCTAAAGCTGTAGCAAACTTCTGTTAAGAGTGTAAATCTGTTTTTTCTTTCTGACAGAGGAGGGCCCTGCGGACAGCGTCAGAGAAGCTGAGGAGTCGGACGTCCTTCTCAGCCACCGCCGTGCAGCACTCTCCGGCGACACGAGTCAACCGATACATCGGTCGGCTCATCGAAGCTCGGCAGACTGAGTCGGAGACATCAGACCTCAACTACATCACCCTGTTTTACAGGAGCAGAGACAGGGAGCGCCGGGTGAGGAGGAGCACACAGATTATCTCACAGCTGATCTCTCTGCAGGGAAATCAGTCATGTGGGTTTTTTTTTCTCTTCTCAGACAAACACAGATGAGACGTAACGAAGGTGGACTTTTCCTCATTACACACACACACACACACACACACACACACACACACACACACACACACACACACACACACACAGTAACAGGCTTCGTGACTGCAGCCTCTCCCTCCCTCTGTCTTCTTCTTCTCTCTCATGCTCTCCCTACACAGTCTCTAATTCTCTTTCTCCCCTTCTCCCTCTCTCTCCCACGCCTGTTGTCTATGATGTCTGTGTGACTCTATATGTGTGTGTGTGTGTGTGTGTGTGTGTGTGTGTGTGTGTCTATGCGTGTATGAGGAATCCACCCACCCTCTCAGGAGGGGGTGCAGATAATGATTTAGGAACGTCTGAGCGGCACACGTGATATCTGCTCCTATGTGTGCGTGGGTAGAGCCATAGAGGAGACAGAGCAGGGGCTGGTGTGCGTATGTACGTGTGTGTGTGTGTTTTGTGTGAGTGTGTGTTTCCTGTGTGTGATCTAGACATCCAAACATGGGAGCAGGAGAGACAAACCTCTAAACAAATCAAGAAGAAGTTCATTAAAACTCATTTTGAAGTCTGGAAACAGCTGATTTCTAAAACACCAGACCTCCAGATGATCTCTCTGTGTGTTTTTACAGAAGTTTATTTGGAGTTAATCTTCAAACATTAACAGTTAAAAACGACTTTTTCATTGTCTGTTACTCTGTTGGCGTTTTCTTTTCCTCGGAATTGAGCGTTTGTCGTGTTTCATCAGAAAATGAGTAAAAGTGATAATAACGAATTTATTGTTTGACAGATGATTGACGGCTCAACTTATCTTCACAGCTTTGGACAGTTGGACAGACAGACGGACGCCCCTCGTGTTGACATCTTCTCTGTCTTCTCTCAGTATCACCAGGTGTACGACGAGCATTTCATCAGCGCCGTGGTCCTCTCTCTGATCCTCGCTGCTCTGTTTGGCCTTATCTATTTGCTAATGATCCCGCAGTACGTGCACACACCCTGACACACACACACACACACACACACTCTGACACACACATTTTCAGTTTGCCCATTTGTGCTGTGTAATTGGATCGATCTTGCCGGGCTGTAGCGAGACAATTAAAGAGGAAGGTGTTTTCAGAGCAGTCAGTGGAAAACAGGGGAAGCCCTCCTCTCTCCTCACTCCTCTCTCCTCACTCCTCACTCTCTGCTCGTCTCTCTCTCTCTCAGGGGGATGCTGGTGCTGCTGCTGCTGGTGCTGTGTGTGTGTTTCCACGTGGCCTGCGTCATGTACCTGCATCTCACCAGCCTTCAGGTAGGACACTCACATAAGATGAAGCGAGTGAAATGCCGATCTGGTTCAAGTCTGAGGATCCAGACTTGGCTTGTGACCCGGACAGCAGTCAGGAGCAGGTGTTTGTTGTTATATTCCCCCTGCAGAAGCTCAGCTGCACTCTCACCTTGAGTGTCTGTGACGTCTCCCGCTCTCATATCCATCCCCTCTCTCTCTATATATAACCCTCATGCTACATTGAACTGTCATCATATCCTTAAAGCGCCTCCTCTAATAGGCCCGCACATAATGAGCCGCGCTGCCAAATGCGCTCATTTCATTTCCACTCCTGGTTAATGGCGTGTTCAAAATGCTATTGAGGTAGATAAACAGGTGCTTCATTCACTCGCTCGCTCTGTTTTCTAACCGCTTCTCTCTGTCCTCCTCCTGTTTTAGTGCCAACCGGGCTGCCTCACCATCCAGATCCGAACCGTCCTGTCCGTCTTCCTCGCTCTGCTCACCTACTCCGTAACCCAGGCCTGCGTGGTGAGTCCGAGATATCCGACCAGATATATCGACAGCTGCGAGACAATATTGTGATGATGAACATAATGGAGTCGGAGCACTCGAGTTAGAGGAGTGAGAAGAAGAAGCAGAGTCATCGTTTCATTCCCCATCCTGTTACAAAGTCTCTGCAGTACTTGAGTTGGCAGATTAATGCTTAACGGCTGAGCAGATGGTGCTGCAGATCCTCCCAAGAATAAAACATTTATTGTTCGGGTGTAAAATACCCATTAAGATCTTTTAAACGCAAATTGGTTGGTGTCAGCATCGGTTCTCGGTGTGTATGTGTGTGTGTGTGAGGCAAAGGTGAAGCAGGCGTCAGGGGGGCAGTGAGCGGCTGTTCCCTGTAGCTACAGCCTGTGAGGGTTTTAATTATTGGTTAATCAAACCTGTGTGTGAGTGTGTGTGTTAAAAAGAGAGAGAGTAGGAATGTGAGAGTGATTGTCCGGGTGTGTGATTTTTAATTACGTCTACTGAACGTCCCAGATCAGTCGGTGGAACAAGAGCCTGGAGATCTGCTCACTTTTTTACAAAACAGACTTTTTAAAAAGTTGAAGAAAATATCAGCATGAACTTAGAGGAAGAGTGATTTGACCGCTTCTTTAAACAAACTCGCTTTAGCCGACATTTTTCAATCAATCAATCAAATTTTATCTATATAGTGCCAATTCACAACAGTCGTCATCCCAAGAGCAAGAGCAGGTCTAGACCACGCTCATCGTTTGATGAATTATCAAGACCCAAACTAAGATGGGATTTGGACCATCTCATCGAACATGAGAAGAACTTCCTTCTAACAGGCAGAAACCTCGAGTAGGACCAGACTCATGCTGGACTCATGAGTTATCGTGTCGTATTTGAGGTTTTAGTCTAGGAACACATCTGATCATCTCAAACTCACTGCAGGTGTCTCACAGGGTTCCCTTTTGGGACGAGTGTTGGGCACAGTAGTTCTTTTAGATGTACTGAATCACTAGAATCGGTTCACTAAAAAGATTCGTTCAAAAGATTTGTTCACTTCATTCAGCTCTTGGTGGGAGGAGCCTCCGACTCTGACTTCCTGAACTGATACACAGCTGAACGGTTCAGGATTCAGTTCAGATTAAAGCTTCTGGGACCAGGAAATGAGAGTAAATGAGACTCAGTGAATGATTCATTCACTGAATGTTTACCCCACAGTACAATCAGTGAGGAATTCAAACTGAAGACCGTTCCCTCGCAAATCGCCGTTATGATAGGATCAGTCACGCATTTCCCAAACGGCGGCTTTTATACACTACTTGTTACACGCTGTGTCCTACTGAATCCGTTAAAACAAGAGTCATCATGAGAGTGTTTCCCTCAGACAAAAATGATTCCAGAGGGTGCAGGTCACTGCGTGATTCGTTCACTAAGTGATTCAGGTGTTGGTGTGTGCAGTCCCTTGCTCACCCCTCAATGCTGCGTTCTATTGCGGCTGCGCTACTGACAGATCAACTGAAGTGAAAAACAAACAAATCACTTGATGAAGTGATTCGGTTCTGTACGTTCACAAAAAAGATTCGGTTCTCTTGAATGAATCATTTACAAACGACACACCACTATTTAGGACCCATTCTGTTCCTTATTTTTATAAGTGAGCTGAGTAAGAACGAGTCAGTCAAAAATTCACCTCTATGCTGATGATACCATCATCTCTCCCTCTGTTATAAAAGCATCAGACAGGATTTCACAGTTTATTCACAGTCTTAATGGATTTAAATTTAGTTTTAAAAGCTCAGAAATGAAAAGTTCTCAAAAGTTCAGAATCAAAAAGAGGATTAATTTAATATTTCACCTCTAATTTCAAGTCACTTTTTCATTTCTTCATCCCTCTCCTCCAGGTTGGATGTGTTCCTTGGGGCAGATTTGGGACAAACTCCACCCGCTCTGTGGAGGGCGCCCCTGCAGACTCTCCCCCCGGGGTCGGACCTCCTAACAGCACTGCTGCAGACAGAGCGTGCACCAACATGGCGTACGCTCTGCTGTCCTGCGTCGCCGGCACCCTCACCGTCGTCCCTTACCTCCGAGTGTCCTCACTGCCCAAGATCCTCCTGCTCCTGCTCCTCTCTGTCACCTACACCGTCGTCATGGAGACCAGTGGATATCGGCAAGCTGTGGGGTGAGACGGAGCTGCATGTGATGTGTGGTTAGATATGAAGAAAGAGGCGTGTTCGTGGTCACATTTGAGGTTTAGGACTGAATTATTAAAACTGAAGCGTGATGGTTTTCTGTGTGTGTTTCAGAGGAGGGTTCCTCCACACTCGCGGCTACGACCCGGTCCTGGCTGTGTTACTGTTTTGTGGAGCTTTGGCGCTGCATTCGAGACAACTAGACCTGAAGCTGCGGCTGGACTACCTCTGGGCTACTCAGGTGAGCGCAGGTCTGATATGAGGAGAGAAGGAGCTGGTTTGAAAAACGTAACGCAGTATTTCAGTGATGCTGCCAAAGCGGCAAAGCTTCAGTGTCAAACAAAGCGGTGAGGCCGCCCTCGCCGGTGTGAAAACATTTCATCACCTGCAGTAAACCGAGGCAGTGCTGCTGATCAGGCTCTGGGGTTTTATGTCAGCTGTAAAGAAGAAAAGAGACAAAACCAAACCTTAAAAGAGATGAAACCAAACCTTTAACGCCTCAGGAGGAATTTGTTGTGAGAAAGCACGAATGACAAAGACAAGAACAGTGAAATTTATCTTAACATGGATTCAGATGTCTGGAGATAAATAGTTAAAACCTTTAATCTTTTCTGCAGTGATTATATAAATAAGGAGAGACAGATTCACATTTGTTTTATAGTTTTAATGACATAAAAAAACTTTAATGTAAATGCTTGAAAATGTTGCTGCAAGTAAGGTTGAATCGTGTCATTTTCTGTGTATTTTCTGCTCTCTCTCTGTGTTCCTGTGCTTCAAATATTCCTCCAAGCACAAAATAATTAGAAATAAATTAAAATCACAATTATACAGTTGACGCTCAGTTATATTTGGATGTTTGATGTGTGCCACAGTCACAAATGCTAACTTTGGCCACCCTCCCTCACATATTCTGAGCTTTTATCGATCAATCAATCAATCAGTCTTTATTTATAAGGATAACTTTTATACAAAACCATGAAGCACAAAGTGTCATACACAAAAAAAGGAATAAAAGAAACAAAGAATCCCAAATCTACCCCACCTCACGATCTAAGCACAATAGAAACATTTATTAACATACATTAACTTGAAAAGGGCCGATTTCTTGAAACAGGAATGTGCGCACTGAGGAAACGCCATTTTAAAATTCAAGATAAGGAAACACTGAAGGTTAAAATCTAAAAACAAAGTAACATAAAACGAAATATAAGAAATTATAAATAAAATAAAATAAAAACAAGAGTAAAAGATGCTAAAATAAGACCACCAAAATAGCTAAATTAAAGACGATCCTGTCATTAAAACTAGAGAGATAAATGCTAAAACACTTAAACAAAGTTAATGATATAAAATTTAGTTCAAAGCAAGAATGAAAAGGTATGTTTTGAGTTTTTCAGATTCAGATTATTCTAGAGAGCCTTATTAAATAACTTAAAGTAAAAGAAACCTCCTCTTGTTTAAAATAAACCCTCATACATAGAGAGAGGTTGAACTGATCAAACTTTTCTTAATTTAATGTTTATTTTTATTCTGCATGTGTCTGAATTGTGAGAGCATGCTCAGTCTTGTCGAGTCCCACGAGTGTTTCTGCTTCTATTTTTAGAATGACAGTGAACATTTGTCTTGTTTGCAAATCATTATCTCCCTCTAGTGATAAGACGCCGTAATTACATCTGCCTGTGAGCCACAATAAAGGATCTCCAGAGCTTCGGTTTCTCTGTGGATCCACAGTCAGGAGTTCATGTGTTTGTGTGTCCCTGATGGTGTCCGCAGGCGGAGGAGGAGAGAGGAGACATGGAGAAGGTGAAGCTGGACAATAAGAGGATCCTGTTCAACCTGCTGCCGGCTCATGTGGCGCAGCACTTCCTCATGTCCAACCCCAGGAACATGGTGAGTGTCTGCAGAGGTTCGATGGTTCAAAAGTGGGTCGAACATGAATTAAATCCTCATGTTATTTGATTTTATTGGTCAAGATTCCTGAAAAAAAAAAGGGTCAAACCAGGAATTTTCACTTTTTGGGTGATTTCCTGACGATTTTTACAAGCCTAAGGAGGAACGATTAAACAATAAGAGCAAAATTTTAAAAAAGTACTTTATGGACTAAAGTTTTACTGCAATGTCAGAGGGGTCAGTGTGCAGCCGTCCTCACTCACACACATCCACAAGAAGATAAATAAGGAAAACAGGTTAATGTCCAAAGGTTAAATTATCTGTAATAAAATACAAACTAAACATTTTAATATCAGTATCAGTGACTCTAAAGTAGTTTCTCTTTTACAGTCGATCTTCAGTAAAAATATCAAGTTTATTTTTTTTCCTAAAAGGTCAAAATGAATTAAATTTCAAAATATATTAATTCAAGATTCATTACAGTTTGACTTGGATGTTAAAAATCCTGTTATTTTGCATTTTAAAATAACCTTTCAGTCAATTTTAACGATGTAAAGTGTCTTGATTTAGGAATCAGGTGCATGCAGTAAAATCCGCTTTATGATAATGAAATAAAAGCTGCACCAGTGTCGCTGAAACCATGACTGTGTCCGAAATGAATCACTCAATCCCTAACCTCCATTATGGGGTTTCACTATATATCTGACTATGTAGTGAACTCAGTCACCGGAGGTTACGGACACTACATGGCGCACTGTTGTGACGTCACTGCTCAGACTGCCACGTCTGAAGTTGCACCTGTTGTTTTCACATCTCTTGAATTTTATGATCTTGTATAGATGTTTTTGTTTTTCCAGGATGATCGTGAAATAAAAAAATTATAATAAAAAAACAATAAATTAAAAATTTATTTAAAAGGCCTTATATGACGCAGCAAATGATTGTTTTTCGAAAACTGAATGGATCACTTGCGAGTGAAGATGAAAAACTTACGCTGAAAATGACAAATAGAGATCGGGTTCGGTCTCTACCTGCTCTCGTCATGAGGCCTCTCCTCCATCTTTAAATTGCCGCTGGAGACACAATGCATGACGGGATGCCCACCACCGGTGAGTGACCATCTGATGGTCACTACATTTTGCAATGCTTTATGGGAAATTTTGAGTCGCCTATATGGGGCATTGGAATAGATCACTCAGGTTTCAGACACCCCTCAAAACGGCGCTAACCCCCATATAGTCGCCTATATAGGGGTTAGGGAACGATTTTGGACACAGCCAATGACTGAGTTTCAAAGCGTTTCTAATTCACACTATTTAGATATTTTGATTCAGTTTCTTTTGACTGATCACCTGAGATATCTGGGCGATGTTTTAAAATCTTAAAAAGTGCAGATCTGTCGTTATAGCAGCAGGAAGCAGGAAGACTCTGCAGCAGACCAACTATGGTGAGCCTGAAGGTACAAAATAGCACAAAAAAAACACAAAAGAATAAAGTATTAATTTCAGACCTGTACGCCATGATGAGGAGTTTTATCTAGACTGAACAAAACACTGTTTCCATGGTAATAACTTAGAGGAAGTGTTTTGCTGTTAAAAGACAACAGCGTACCTGCATAGACGATAAAAGCAGAGGCCCAAATCTGTCACTTTTCACCAGAGCATCGTCTGCTCCAGCAGGTCATCCCGTCTTTTTTAAGATGCGGCAGAAATCTATGTCAGAAGCTGAATGTACGGCGGAGGAACGCCCCACATGCCCTGGAGGTGTTAATGTGAGAAAATATCTCAGCTGTTCGGGGACAATGGCGCAGCTTCCCCCCTCCATGTGTTGGAGTGGAAGTGTGAGCTGACAGCGCTGTGTGTTTCTGTATCCACTGATTGATGAACATCCCCTCCACTGATCTCGGTTCCTTCCTCGACCCCCTCTCCCCCCCTCTGGCATTTTTTTCAGGAAGTGATGAAAACATACATCCTTTGAGGAAATTCACGGCCTCTCAGGAGGACCGGCTCAGTTTGTAAACACTGAGGCTGCGTCCACGTTCTTCACACTGTGTACTCGGAGTGTGGAAAATGTCTCTCTGTTGGATATCGTCTAAATTTAGTGCATTAAAGTTATAAATAAACACACAATAAAGACGGAGAAATAAACATTTCACCACATCACCTGTTAGGACACATGTTCAGTTACTGTGCTGCTTCATGTCCTCTTCTAACAACACTGGAAACAGTTGGGATCTCAGGTTCAGGGTCCACTTTGACATATTATTTAGTTCGAGGTGCTTCATGATGATTGCCAAGTTTAGCAGCAGGGCTCTTCTACTGCAGAGCTATACTGTTGTGACACATGTGCAACGTGGTTTGGCAATGCGAGGTCTTTCCTGCATCTCTGAGCCATCCAGGATTCGAGTTTTTTAGCCGTGTGCTGCTGAAGAGCTGGAGGGTCCCCCGCTTCTTCAGCATGGCGGATGTGACATCCATGATTTCCAAAAGGAAGGTCAGATATTGATTCATAGTCGCCATCCTCCCTGAACCACATTTATACGCCGATATGATTGTGCATCCCTAATATAAATAAGTAAATTATATCATATTAGGGTTGTCCCGATACAACTTTTTGACTTCCGATACAATACCGATATTGTAGCCTTCAATATTGATCGATACCGATATTGATCCGATATTGGTGCAAAATTGGGCATGACAAGTTTTTCACTCAGCTGTAACATCTTTTTCGGACTTCAACCAAAAATACCACCACAAGGCAAACATCACTCTGACTCCTTTGTTCGTACCTTAGTACACACTGTTGTTGTGATTTTGAGTGGAGTCTAGAATGGACTGCTTGTATCAGAGTGGTGATATCAGAGATTTTAGATGCAGGCCGATAAAATCCAATATTTGTTTTTTTGCTGAGGACTGATATATCAATATCGTACCGGGACACCCCTAAAACAAACTAAAATATTTATTCTAAAATCAGTTTTATTCTCAGAAAGTTACAGTTTTTCATCTGGACTTGTTTAGATTTTCTTTGTATTTTGTGCTTTTTAAGTGGAAAATACTGTATTTTTTAATTTTCTGAGATTTGATTTTAGTTTAATTTAGCGCATACTAGAACGAAATATGGTAAAAAGTGTAGTATTTAAAGTTAAACATAGGACACCAAATGGCACTACATTCAGAGGTCTTCATTTGCATCAGGAACAAACTAAATAAAACATTAAGTTACACGATAAGTAGAGATGAAGGCTGAACAGCCATCGATCCTAAACCCTCCTAACATTCGTCGCTCCGTTCATCAGACGCTGCAGAGACTGTCTAAGCCTGAGATTAGTAAACACAGGGGCAGGAAGTCTGGAAGGATGTTTCCGGCACATTGGTGACCCCCTCAGAGCTGCAGAGTATAGAAAAGCTTCCTCTCTTTCCTCTGGGCTAAAGTTCACTCACACACTGTATTCATAACACGACACAGTGGGACTCTGCTGCCTGGAACAAAGTTTGACCTGCTGCATCACAATGATTGGAAAAACGGGTTTTAATCTAAACACGTATTTCTTTATTGTGGACGAACTCGACCCATAAAGGCCTGAAAGCTTCTGTTTATTTCCACCTTTATTCTATACGTGAAGGACCTGGTACCAAAAGTCCTAAAATCTGGATCCTGTCCAGCAGCTGTAAGACCTAAAAGGATTTCTTAACGCTGTTCTTTCCATGTTAAATCCACTCCTGAATAACAACATCAATAAATCCTCGCGGTGTAAACACTTCTTTAAAAAACAGCAGTGTTCCAGCTTTTTTCTTTTCTGAGCATAACCAGTGTTCATGAATATTTCTGTACGAGCAGACTTCAACAAAACGGATGGCGCATGCATAAGTAAAAAGCCAAAATAGTGAGTGCGACGGGGGACACTTCATCTTAACGCAAGGGCAAAAATATCGGGGTCTTTTTTCCATCACTGAAAGAAAATTAAATGTCAGCTGGAGACATTCAGCAGGAATTGATGGACTGCAGGACGGAGTACGGGTGCTCAGTTTGAGGGGGAAAAAATACTATTATAGCTCTGACCTCGATACAATGAAAGTGAAAACAACCACAATGCAATGCGTCCTCCTGAGAGAGTTTGTCTGTCACAGCTGTTTATCCAGAAAACACATTTTTCTGAGCAGGAATGAAAACTGTATTTTTACTTCTCATTCCTCTACTCATGATTTCTGGTTTTTAGGCTCATAAATTAGAGGTTAAATACTTGATTATGATTGGTCTAAACCACATAACAGCAGGGATTCATTCTCACCAGTCATCTGAGCTGGATTTACCATAAAAGACATCTTCAGTCTAAAGATATGGTTCTGCTTGTTAAAATGCCAAAACGTTTTGAGACGGTATAATTCTTGTTTTTGTCACAGTCCAGGGTAAAACAAAAGAAAATGCAGAATAAAAAGGATTTATTCCAAAAGAATTTAAACAACAAAAACTCAACTTTCAAAAATGTCCAACAAAAAAAAAATCCAAAATCAAACAAAAGAAACTGGGGAAAAAAGGTGGAGACACTGGCATTTGCACACCATGACAAACACACAGACAATGAATTAACAGAGAAACAGAAGAAGACAAGGACTTCATATACACACAGAGAAATGACCAACAGGTGAGACAATTACAGAGGAGGGAAAACTGAGGAAGTAAAACTAGAAACACAGGAACTAAACTACTACAAAATAAAACAGGAAATACTGAAGACTGATAAAGAGAATGAAACACTGAAAACACGAGGGACACGGGGTCAGAAACAAACTGAAAACTACAGGGAACAGGAACACAAAGAAAATAGAGTCAAAGAAAACAACACGAGGAGAAAACTGAGTTAACAAAACATATCGTAACAGTTTTTTGTTTTTTTTATTGTAGAGATGAACGAAACATAAAATATGTTCAGGACAGGGTCTGAATTAAGTCCCCCAAAGGGTTTTCTGCAACCCTCCACCTCCTGTCTTTGTGTTTGTGAACATATGGGTAAGTTAATATGGATTATTATGTGAAACGATAATTAACCTTAACTAAACCAAACTTAACTGAACCAAACTAACGAAACTGATTAAACTTAAACCTAACCCTAATCCTAACCCCTAACCCTAACTTCCTTAACTGAATGACTAAAAGTCACCAAACTAAATTTATTAACTTTTCCTACTAAACCGCACTAACTAAACTAAACTAAACAAAGCTGTTAATTAACTAGACTAAATGACTAAACTAATGTAACTAAAAATCTTAACTAACCTAACTTGAACAAACTGAACCAAACTTTTTGAACTAAACTACTAAAACTTACTAAAACTTAACTCAACGCGACAAGACTTAACTACAATTAATGAACTAAACTCAAATAGAAAATGAACTAATCTAACTAAACTTAAACGAACTGAACCAAATTTCTTATACTAAACACTCACGTTACTTAACTAAGCTGGGTAAACTGCAAGTACTGAACTTGCTAAACTTACTGAACTTTACATGACTAATTAAACCTTACTTAACTTACTTAACTCAATAAATGCAAACTTTCTAAACTTGACTAAACTCCATTTCTGATCCCTGACAGTCTGAGTCTTTAGAAACCAGGAAGGAGTTTCTAAAGTCCAGTTCAGATAAAAGTGAGCTCAGTACTGGCACTTTTACTCGCTGCCTCTAAAATGTTACAGCTGCTACTTACTCCTCTTATCTCCTGTCAAGATAAGGAGGCTAATCAATCCAATGTGAGTCAGACGAGCCTCTTCTGAGCAACTTTTTCCAGCTGCTCCTCCAGTCTTCCCAGGCCAGATGAGTTAATAATTCCTCCGGCATGTTCTCGGTCTTCCTCGGGGTCTCTGACATACCCTGAAAACCTCCAAAGGGAGGCGCCCCTGAAGGATCCTGATCGGTTTCCAAACAAACCACTACAGATGGCTCTGGTCCAAACTCTCACTGGATTTACAGGTTCCTCCTCACCTCAGCAGGTGGAGTTGAACCTCGATCATGTGGTTACTGGTCTTGGTCTACCAATAAACTTCCCACATATTTCCATTTGGTTGGATCTGGATAGGAAGTTCAGACGTTTGGCCAGCTTGAGTTGATGTAGGACGCTTTAACATCAAGCTAATCTTTACATCCTGTGGGAGCGTAACGGTTTGATCATGACTCTTTTTTTCCCACGGCTAATTTTTGAACCACCAGATGAAGCTCAGATCAGAGTTTTGACCCTGTATTCGTCTTCCCTTCAGGACCTCTACTACCAGTCCTACTCTCAGGTCGGCGTCTTGTTCGCCTCCATCGCCAACTTCAACGACTTCTACATCGAGCTGGACGGGAACAACATGGGCGTCGAGTGTCTCCGGCTCCTCAATGAGATCATCGCCGACTTTGATGAGGTCGGTAGACTCATCGTCCCGTCATAAATCTAGATCAGAATTTTCTGTTTCTCTCTCTCTCGCAGGTTTCTTTGGGGATTTTTGGGGAAACTCTGCAGCAGCGCGACCTCGATAACGTCATCTCCAAAGACGACACTGTGGCCAGAAAAAAAAAAAAAGAAAAAAAATCTGTTTATTGATGCAACATGATAAGCAATGGTTGCGGTTGGGAAAGTTCTGCAAAATAAGGAATTAGAAACAGATGAGTTTGAGCTTGAGTGGATCTGTAATCATCAGTGTGAAGCATTAATTTACTAAATGATGACACTGTGGCCGTATCTGGATGGACTGCAGAAAAATGTTGATTTGTTTACTAGAAGAAGCGATGATAAATATGCTCTGAACTGAACTTTCTTCTCGTTTCTTCTTTGCAGCTGATGGACAAAGAGTGCTACAGGGACATTGAGAAAATCAAGACTATTGGCAGCACATACATGGCTGCTGTAGGGCTGGTTCCTACGACTGCCTCCAAGGTACACACGCAGCAGCAGCTAAATTTAGACCCTGCATTAGTTTTCCGTGTGTGTTTGCAGAGTATTAGCATGTTTCTAAACAGTTCAGAGTGCACTATTTCAGGGTAGGTCTTTTCTGCACGACGATATTTAGAACACTGTCACGTTTCACTCTGCAAATCCTCTTCGAGGGATTACCCGCCTCGGTGGCGTCAGCATGTTCCACATTCATAAAGTTTCTTTGGTGAAAATCCTGCAAAGCTGATAAACAAAAGAAGCTTTTTGCTGCAAAACTTGACGCAAATGTGATGGTCGCAGACGTGATTGAACTTGGAGGGAAAACCCTGGTACATGGTTCTCGCGGTCTGAAGGTGCTAATGTGTGTAAGACCGAACAAAAGGGATCTGTAGCTGGAAAAATACAGCTGTCTGCAGATTTATTTACACTTCAGAGAGAGAACACAGAGTTTCCTCCTGATCGATCACAGATGTTTGCAATGATATTGTCTGTATATGATTAACACATCTCAGACTACCAGAGTCATGCTTCACTAATATCACAGATATAAAGAAATGTGACTCTAATCTTAATTACTGACTTGTCTGGACATAATCTTGATATTAAGGTTGATTGGATGAGAGAGATATTTGTGTAGATCAGGATTGATAGGGTGACCATACGTCCTCTTTTACCCGGACATGTCCTCTTTTTTTGGGGGGCTGTCCAGGTTTGTCAAGGGAAGTTTATAAAATCCTTCAAATGTCCACGGTGTTGTACTTAAGTTTCAAGTCTTTGTCGCGTGGACTTACAGAGTTAGAAGCATGTAAAAGACACTCGATCCAACTCGAAAAACTCCCAAAATGCTAAATTTCGTAGTAGCATGCAGGTTTCTCAGGTGAGTGTTGGATTAAAAATTGTTTATCTTGTTTGGTTAGAGTTCCTTAAATATTTGTCAGATCTACAGATACCATGAGGACCTCGTGTATGCTGTGTTTTTTATGTCAACTCAATAAGCTAGTTTAGGCGGGAAAATCAAGCTGCACTGATTTCACCCTCAACAAGTGTTGTTCTCGCTGCAGGATTTCCAGTTTCTGATGTTACCAGCACTGCCATGCATGAGTGCTGCACTCAGGTTTTCAGCCTAGCATCCAAATACGATAATTATTGTACACCTGGCAACCCCGGCTAGAGGTGCTACATTTACTGGTGTGAGACACACTCTGCAAACAAATACACCTCGTTCACCTGCAGACTTCATAAGCTCTTTATTAGCGTTCTTTATTGTGTTATTCTCAGTTTAGACTATTTTTCTTTAAATTTTCTGTTTGGACAACTAGAATTTTATCGCGTGAAACAACCCCGACGATAACATTATGTCGGTGTTTTTTCTTTTGTTTACAGGCAAAGAAGTCCATCACCTCACATTTATGCACAGTGTCCGACTTTGCCATCGAGATGTTTGACGTCCTGGATGCCATCAACTACCAGTCATACAACGACTTCGTCCTGAGAGTAGGTAAGGGAAAAAAGAAACCCACGCTCCCATACGCACACTGGTCTATATAAACATCGCTCTGGAAGCTTGTGACCTATTGCACTGGACACCGTGGACGCTCAGTGCCGGTAAGTTCTGGAGGAAATGCATCACAGAAAGAGCGCTCCCCTGCAGGAAGCTCGTCACAGCGAGACCTGAAGTTCTAGGTTCCATTGTGTTGGGTATCCTGTGGGGAGCCTGCAGCAGGAGCTCGTGTTTAATCCCAGCACAGCCTGGTGTACACAATGCCATCCTGTCTGCAGACTGAGGGGCTCCATGTGGAAGAACTGCATATGTTTGTGTTTTTGGCTGAACCCTCTTTTGCAGAAACGCAACATTTGGGAATCTGAGTTATGTTGGATTTCCAGTCAGGACAGAAAAACAAAGATTGGCCCCGTTTTTTATTTGGTGTGCACATGCCGTTCTGTTGTCGTAACCTCTGAAACCTCCAAAACCGTGTCTGTAAAAATGAAGCTGTGTTATCTCAGTGGTGCAGACGTGCATTGTCTTATACATTTTTTCATCCTTAACATATGCATGACATGACAGCAGAGAGCAGGAGAGCAGCGTTTGGTGGAAGGAACTCGTGGTGCGTTGTGCAGAATGGGTCATGTTTACATTTACACATTAGAAAATATATGAAATGGATGACTAAGCGCACGTTGAACAGACGTAAGACAGTCAGATGGATATTATCCACTTATCTTATGACTCAATTCATTGATGCAAAATGAAACTAATGCACCAAATCCTCTTTGAAAACACTGAGAGATTACAGCGTATAGGCTTGATTTAGGGCGCAAGTAACCTTTGACCTTTGGCAACTAGCGTCTAGTTTAAGTGTCCTTATGAAATCAGAGCATGCTCTGTGCAGCTAGTTAGTTGCATCTTGCAGTAGGGGTTACACTTACCCCCAATTTCCACTGTATCTGGAACAGCTACGCAGCTGATCGTAACCATTCAAGTTAATGTGTCAATTTCCACCGGCTTCTTACTATTCCACTGCAGATCACCGGACTCCACAGCTTTACAGCTTTTGTCTTTATAGAGACAACTCGTTATTGCGCGATTGCATGTGAATCCGCGGGTTCTTGTGAGTTCTCGTGATTCCTGCTGTGCGTAATCCAGCATGAAATTCACCTCACAAATGGATCTGGTAGGAATTGGCGGACGGCGAAAATTGCCCCTGTTCTGAATGCAGTGAATATTGGAGGTTACTTCTTACTTCTATACCAGGTCGTGTTTCAACTCTGACTGTGTGAATTCTAGGAATCAACGTAGGACCGGTTGTAGCAGGAGTAATCGGAGCCAGAAGACCTCAATACGACATCTGGGGAAACACGGTGAATGTGGCGAGCAGGATGGACAGCACAGGAGTCCAGGGGAAGATACAGGTACTGCAGTCATCATAAGATAAAGTAAATCCTGTTTGTGTCAGGGGGCTTTGAGCTTTTCTAAACATGCTCTGTTGAAATCTATTTAAATATATGAAGGTTTTCCCCATAAATGTGATTGTTTTTCATATTTAATGTCCTCCCTGGTCTTTGCTGCTGCTCTTCCTCATGTATGAGTGTGAAACAGAGAGGAAGTGTGCTCTCCCAGCCTCATGTCATGCATGCACATTGAAAAGCGAAACGTGACTCATTGCATGAAGATAATTACTTTGATTAAAGCGTTTTAAGCTGCATGTGTGATGGAAAATCAGAGTTTTTCACTTTGACTTTATCTGCCGGCTGATGGTGAAACAACTTGGGGGTGAAAGTCAGAGAGATTCACGGTGAGAGTGGGTGGAGTGATGACAGGGTTATGCACGGGCCGCACAGCTGCCCCCTGTCCTTTAAACCAACCAGACTGGATGAAATTATGAGCGCTCGTTTACTCTCTTACATTTCCTGCTCTTTTGTATTTGTTCTGAAGGTGACGGAGGATGTCCACCGCCTCATCACAGAGTACTACACCTTTGTTTGCCGCGGACAGGTGAGCGTGAAGGGCAAAGGTCAGATGCTGACATACTTCCTAGAGGGACGTCGACCAGGCAGCCGGCCGGTTCACAGCCAGCAGCAGCAGCAGCAGGCAGGCGGCTCGGAGCGCCGGTCCAGCGCCTTCAACCACGGCAGCGTGTGCACCAAACTGAGCCCTGGACCCACCGTTACGACCTACGCCTCCATCAGGACCCCCAGCCCTAGCACAACCAAACCGACCACGTCCACCAGCACCTCCAGGTACCTGCCCTCTGTTCCCACAGCCATGGTATGACGGGCGCTGAATCGAGAACGAGAGAGAGGCCTGTTGAGAGAGGATGTGGACACTCCTCTGCTCCGGATACAGAGAGGATGATCGCCCGGTGGGAGGCCTGGACTCGGATCTAGACTGTTTTTCAGGAGTCTGAGACGATCAGATCCTCACATACGGGCTCACAGGATGCTTTAGCCACGTTGCTCTGTTATCACGCAGCAGCCGAGAGCGTCTCCACGATTTCAGAGCCAGCTCCTAAAAACTGCATCCACAACAACGACGATGATAATAAACAAACGAAGAGTGTAGCATGCATCCGGAAAATTCCTTTAATGACTTTAGCTGACCCTTTTATCTCAGTGTAAAACCAAATCAGTGCTGTTGCCTTAGCGACCACTCCTCACAATGAGTTTCATGCCATTTTTCTTTTTTCTGTTGTTGCCTTTTCAGATCCTTTATTGATTTATTGGACGTGTTTTTTAAAGCCAAATGTACAAGTGTAAACGGCGGTTCGTAGTCAAAAGTTGCCAAAATACGACGGGGCGTTGCCTTCAGTTATTCCCAGGTTGGCGATGCGTTTACATGTCCTTCACTTTCACCCTCTTTCGGCACACGAGGTGGACTTATTATTATTATTTCTGATCTTGGATTCCTTGAGCGGGCCGCTCCGGCTCAGCGTCTTTAAGTGCATGATGCCACTGCTGCATTTCTCAGTCATGTTTGCTGTCTGTTTCCCTGTGATGCTTGACTTCCAGATTCTTCCTCGTCTTAAAAGTGTAGCAATAAGAAGCGGTTCGTCTCCTATCTCAGCCTCCTCACCTCCTGCATGCTGTAGCCGGCTGGATCCTCTTTTTTGACCTGATAGTGTATGTAGCCAATAGAGTGTGTGTAGCTAGCAACACCAGTCTGTATCTCTGTGGAGCATGACCTAGAAAGTTATTTTCTGTATCGTACGAGTGTGAATCCTTCCTAACAGGGGTATATCTTTAAAAAAACAACTTTTTTTGTGTTTGTTTATTAATAAGAACTATTTTCTATGGTTGAAATATTCAGTTTGACTATTTTTATGAACTCAAAAGCTGCTTTGGTCGAGAGGAAAAATTGCTGTTTATGAGGAGACACCCAAACCTCGGTGTCTGGCTTCCTCGTACAAACCGAGATGATTTATTTTATGGTACAGCATGCTACTCACAGTAAGGCTAACCACAGCCATTAACTCTCCTCTAATCTGTCCCAGCATGCACCGCCTGCAAGCCTGTGGCTCCTGCATGCATGCTTTGATGGAGCTAATGCGGGCCGAGCGGCGGCGGCGACGACTCTGTTTTAATGTAGTCCTCATGCATGCGCTCAAGGTAGGGGTCCTCTTGAATGTAAGGTGCTTTTTTGACCCGTATCTTCTTCTTCTTCTTCTTCTTCTTGAGTTTTTTCTGAGTGTACGAACATTTCGAGGACATTTTTTCAGGACGGTTTTAAAGACCAGGTGCGGCGCGGGGCGGATCACTCCTCCTCTTCCTCCTCCCCGCTCCTGCAGGTAGCTCGGTTTCAAATGTGCCAACCTATTTTCATAAACATATCAGAGTTTTTCTCGTCGAGCTGTAGCACAGATGAATGTGTGGCTACAGCTGTCGTTAGTTTGACTTTCTTTTCTTTCGCTGTTGTTGAATGCCTGTGTTTTTTGAGCCGTTACTGGACAGTTTTGTATCTTAAAATTATGGCAAGTGTTGAAATTCTGAGCGACTATAACCTGACTGAAACGATGTTGTTGTACTTATCATATTTAAAATAGATTTTCAAGTCTATACAGTAGCTTGATTGCCTAATTTCAGTTTCTAAGAGATTAAAAATGAGGATTTTTATACTCAGCTGATGACGGAGTTGACGGAAAGGAGTCGTGTACAATATTTTTCCTGTAAATTGGATATTTTCATACTGTATGATACGGGTTTCATTGTTATATGTAGGTATTACTAGCTATTATTGTACATTGTAGAGTCTTTTTCAGAGATATATAACAAATGACTCCAATATTTGTCAAGTTCTTTTGTTGCAGATGTATTTATTGAGATGTTTTATGTGAATGTACATTTTGTTAAAGATGATATTTTATACTAAGTGTTTGCACTGCGATGATATTGACGTATTAAGGTTATAAAAATAAAGCCAGAGGGGATGTGCCTTCTGAAGTAAGAGGGCTCTTCCTGTGCTTGTTTTAGCCACTGCATACACACACACACACACACACTGGACACAAACATATGGAGAGGCCATCAAACTCGGAGATAAAGTTACGTAACAGTAGAAAAACAGAGTAGCTGATGTAAGCAGCAACATCGGGGTCAACGTCAGCCCGATCGCTCCGTGTTTTTCAGGAGGAGCCTCACGCTGGTGTTATGAACATGTCTGCTACCGGAAAAACACGACAGCGGAGCGTGTTTACACGAAGAGGCCAGATACTGTACAACACCTGCAGATAGAAAACACAGTTTTTGTTATTTGCTGCTCATAAAGTTTGTGAAGGGAGGAGAAAAACAAACTTGTACAGTGAGTTTAATGTCAGCCAGGTGGCTTTAATACGGACCATATGAGTGGGTCTGAGAGTAAGACATCATGAGTAAATCTTCAAGTGGCTGTTTTATGACCAAAACAACATTCCCACTGTTGGGAACATTTCTCAGCTATTTTACAAAGTGTCCCTTCAGATGGACAAAAACATGTAGAAAAAAACAATAATAATATCGAGAAGATGAATGAAGTGACACATTTATTTAGAAATACGCATTTTTGTATTGAGAGTCATTACATTAGGGAGTAAACTAAAGCAAATGTGTTCAGAAAAAGTTCAACAACATAAATTGAAGGAGAATTGTGCAAAACAGAATCTTCAACTATCTAAATATATAGATCCATCTCATATTTACATGCTTCTACAGTAGCACAGGAGGGACAAACTTCTAACTTGCACATTTTTGTATTTAGTGAGTGGCCAAACTAAATGTAGAGGAGCTGTTCTTGTACACAAAATGATTTGTACTGACAGACCAATCTGATGGTAAAGACTTTACAATAAAGGATCATATTGAACATAAAAACAGGACATCATTGCTGCACCACCAGGAGGGGTGAGCAGGGGAGCCTGACTTAAATATTGCTGTCTTAAATTTGATTTATAAAATTTAAGGTCTTAATAAAAAGTCTGATTTTCACTTCTGAAAACTCCTACATTTTTGACGGACTGGTGCATATCTGAAGGTTTAATCAAATCCACACCATCTGAAAAATATTACATGGCTTTATAATTTTATTCGAGTTTACTTTCGCTTATTTGCCAGGGACCATGCAGGTGCCAGAGTCAGCTTTAAAAGGTAACGTATGTCCCAGGGGGGAAAGATCCAAAAGCATTCAATAGAAACTACTTCAAAATAAAATACACATCCAAAAAATAAGCTGTCAGACAACTTAAAACAACAGAACTTCACAAACAGTATACAACATATTTTAACTATTTTGTGTTTTTTCTGGTTCACATGACTGTTTCCTGATTTAATTCAAATGTTTTTCTGTTAAAATGCTACTCCTGGTGAAGGAGGCTTTTATTTTGAAAGCGATCGTCAGCGTTATTTTCCGTATCCTGTAATCCGTAATTCGCGTTTGTTAGGAGTCAGGTTTAATCATTTACAGACATAATTATAAACCACAGAACTGAAAGACCTCATGGCAGGGCATCACAAGTCCACCGATTTACCGATTTAAATCACATTAAAATAACTAAATTACACCTTTCTGATAGTAGCTAACAAGCTAGTAGCTAAATAAGCTAGCAGCTACTCGACTCGAGGCGGAGTCACCGGCGTCCGTACATGGCGGCCATCTTACCATTCAGGTACGTTTTATGGTTGCTGACAGAAGGTGAGTAATCTGCATGATCAAAAGTACTCTTAACTCGCTGAAATCTTGGCAGATTTACAAATGGTGTTGTTTATTACAGACCTTAATAACGTGGCTCTGAGTTGGGATGCTTGGACATATTAAAATGGCGGATTTTCTTTGAGAAAATAAGACTTAATCATGAAGCACAGTTGTTTCATAGCTATTTTTGTGCGCAATGGCTAACTTTGATTTGCTTTGCACGAGTTGTCAAGGCTGAGACCACAATAGAGATTTTCATTTTTTGTATGACAGAATTTTTTTTAAGACAGTCTTTGTGGATGTGCTTGTGTTTATCAGCTGTGTAACTTGGCTAACAGACTTCCTGTGAGTGAGACCACCTATTACAAAGTTGACCCAGTAATTTTACATCACTGGCAGAAATGCTCGTTCGATTCAACATAACTTAAGTTGCAAATGATTTCCAAGCTGTTTGGTTAAAAACATCTAATATGTTGATACATTATGATACAGGAAATTTCTGACTTTGTGTTTACAGGAATTTGTATCACAGTATGTATCACAGAACAGATCTACAGAAAGGCAACACGACAGATATTCATATTAAAAATAAAAACATGTATCTTAATGATATATGCTATTGCAGTTATCCTATGATAGAAATATTACTAATATAACATAAATGGAATGATTAAATGTTTCATATATTAATGATTTAATATAACTACTGTGCGTGTGTAAGCATATTGCTATTGCTCTACCCATCTGCCTGTAGATGTCTATTTTTGAAAGTCAGTGGTTGAAACTTTTCTTGAGTATGCAGGAACATAACTAAAACGCTGAGGTTTGTTAAAAACCAAACTGTTTGAACGTTGGTTTAAAATTAAGCAATTTATGGTTATTTAAATGCTACAGCCACCGTAGACTGTAATATTATGAGTGGGCTATGAGCTGCCTTAAGTCTGTTCAAATAGACTGAATTTTTTAGGGTCTTAAAGAGTTTTAAAAAGTCTTTTAAAAATAGTGTAGAAAATTTAAAAAAACTACAGGTAAATTAAATCACATCACCTCTTTTTTTTTTCATTTCATTGCAGTTAAGTTTTTCCAGACTCCTCATAGAGTTTATGTCAGCTCACTGAACCATCACTAATGTGATTAAACCCACTTGAGGATTTTCTGCCCTGAAAGGTCAGAGGTCAAGATCCAATGTACTGTTTCTCCCCAAAACCAAGTAAACAGAAGCCAGGACCTGTAGCTTCACAGCGGACTACACTGCGATTAGACTGACAGTTCAGAGACATTCAATAACAACACCACAGTGAAGGTTTATGTGCCAGGCATGTGGAAACAACAAAAACCCGTTTTCCAATTACATAACCATTTATCTGCTGTCAACACGGTCGGCACCTCAAACCACAACCCCCTTTGTCCCCCTTTGGCCTCAGATTTGGACTCTAAAGTGAAGTTAACAGATTTAAACGCATCTGAGGAGAATTCAGGAGGAGCTATTGTCCTTTATCATCACATTGTTTTTGTGTCATGATAATAAAGTTTTGTAAACACAGTTAAATGTTTGTTAAGGTTAAAATGATCTCAGCTTGTTTGTCAGATTTCATTACCCTTGTACGTCATTTACACTGTCCAATTATGTAAACGAAAAACAAGTCCATGTTGACCACAAACGGACCCAAGCAGGTCAAAGTCTGGTGCTGTTTGACCATCCAGCCTCTCTGACCTCTTCCCTGCACTCCTCTGAACCACATCAGCTTGATTAGATAGTGAACCCGAGGCCGTCAAATTAAGTCTTTTGGTGAAGGGACACTTCCTGAATTAGAATTCCAAAAAGTGTGGAAACTAGGGACAGATTTTCAAGCATATTCAGTAAAAATAGGTGACCTAGGTGACCTTGCAGGACAGCGTGTTGCTCCACTTTCCCTATCAGAGATGGTTGGGGTTCCGCAGCTCTTGCTCCACCTGAGACCCACTAATTTCCACTCAAGACAAATCTGAGACAGAGACTGACATTGGACTGATGTTGACACTGGACTCCTTGCTGCTCTTTGCTTGTTGTCTGGTTTTCCCAACTTGAACCAAGTGCCTCACGTGGCTGTTTTTCGCCGTTTGAGATTCATACCCAAGATAAACTTGAGGAGTGTAAAGAAAAAGACAACCAAACAAAGCTAGGGTCTGATCAGTGAGCGTGTTTGTGAGTCTGTTAAGTGTGAGGGGATGTTTAAAGTCCTGTCGCAGGAAGAACCAACCTCCAAACATTCATCAGTGATGTGAGAACGTGTTCCTGAGTGTTTGCTCTGAGTGTGTGTGAGTGTGTGTGTGTGTGTGTGTGGTATAGCAGAAGTGCTGTGGCATGTGCAACATCCTGAGTTACAGGTTGTCATGGCAACACAACAAGATGGTACCCTGACATGAAAAAAGATCAAGGTTGTGTTTTTCGACGGGTAAATGATGAACCAGTCGACCTTTTTTCTTCTTTGTGATTCATGCTGATTGTGAAAGGATGTCAATACTCAACTTCCAGCAGCCAATCAGAGTAGGTGTGTGAGTGTGTGATAAGTGTGTGTGTGATAAGTGTGTGTGTTTTCCACCTGCCGGACTATCTGATATGATCAAACATGCCCCAGGCGGTCCAGGAGTGCCGGTGTGCACACTCACACACTCCAAGATAAGCGAGCGGAAACGGTCCTTTTCAGGCGGTTTACAGCTGTGGTGAAGCTGAACCAAAGTCTCTAACCAGCCTGAGTCAGACCCCGCTGAGGGACATCAGAGTGGTGACGCAGCCGAGCCGGACTCTCTGCGGGGCTGATGACAGCTTTACTGCCCCCCCTTTGGCTCCTCCTGTGCACTGCTTACCCAATGACCCCGTGTGTCATAACATCCCTTACAGTAAACGCCGCTGGGATCTGGACGCAGCAGCGTGGGAGGACAAACATTTACCCGATTACTCAAGAGTGTGTTTATGAGAGTTTTCAAGTGTTTTCATCATTGAGCGTTCGTCTTTGTGCGCGTTTGTTTGTCCGTGTTTGTATCAACGTTCAAGTTCTTGCATTCTTGAGTGTGAGTGAAGCCAAACAGAAGCTGAACTTGCAGTTTGACATCAAACCTGTGTTATGTCTGAAGCGTGTACCTGAGAACAAACCGGAGGACTGGTTTATAAACTTCAGGTCAAGGCCAAAGAAAGTCTGAAGGATGAGTTTGTAGAGGGAAAGCCCTGGCTTTGCGAATTTTGAGAGATTTTTGTTACCTCAAGTAAGACTTTTTCTCTGAAAACTCTATTTTCGATTTTTTATCCAGTGACAACTTTACCAAACTTCACTTAAATAAAATTTTGTTCTATCATCTCTTAAAACAAAACCACTGAAAACGACGTAGTGCATATGCCAAACCAGTAAGTGGCGCTGTAACGCTGTACAGGAAATGCACAAAAGACAGAAGAAGAGTACAGAGCATGTGTATAAACATTGTTTTGTCCGGACACGCGCAGGCGCCATAAAAAGAGTTACGCTGTGTGTCACATGATCGTTTGCAGAGATGCAGATAGACATCCACACAGATATGAAATGGTAGTTGTTTACAGATTTGTGCACTCTCTAACCCGTTTTCAAAAAGTACCGTTTACAGTTACCTGAAACCCTGTTTTCGTGTAGATGCAGTGTTTACTGCAGGAAGGGGGGAGCCTACGGTGGCCTGGAGGCACGAGACATGATAGAGAGGAAAATTGATCTGATGATTTTAATTTTTTGAACATCTTTACAATCAAATAATACGATTATGATTTAAAATCGATTAATTGTGCAGCCCTAACCTCAAGACAAAATGCTAAAGAGGTTGTGTTTTCAGGACTAAAGATAGGATGAAGTGCCCCCTTTCATGAGAAAAGACAGGATTTCAACACCAGGAGAACAAAGTTACTCAGAGTTTACAAAACAAAAAATCAAAGTATTCAGAAATTTTGGAGAAATTTCTGCACAGAAGGGCAAAAAGGCAAAAAACAACATTGAATAGATGCAATTGCTGGGAACTCAAGTGGTCCTGCCTCCAAAACTTTCACGAAACAAAAAGACACTGAATCAGTTTGTCAAACAGACAGGGTTTATTAAATCTCAGGGAGAGATCGTTACACAAAAGGCAGTCAGACCAGGCAGAGGTTTCCAAAAACGTGAGGCAGACACACAAGGTTAAATACAAGAGGTAATGAGGGTGATGGGAAACAGGTGGGGAGACACAATCAGGCAGCAGGTGTGACAAAACGGGGGGAGGGCAGACCAGACAGGAACAAATCTAGATGACAAGGAACAAGAGTTAGAGAACTACAAAATTAAACAGGAAATACATGACATGAAACTTGAATGTGCAAAAATAAAGGAAAACTATCACCAGTGTATGTAGTTTGTTGCTGTGTCCTCAAACGTGGGTTAAAACTGTACCATACAAAGAAGAAACCAAATAGCAACATGATCCTGGACCTCTTGAAAACTGGGAAACTTTCCTTTAACATGCTAAACAGAATCTGTGTTAGTTCGGGATCATCAGAGTCCTGGGGCCTCATTTATAAAACCTGGCGTAGGATCCATACTAAAAGTGTACGTAAGTTGAAAAGCTGTAAAGTGCGTAGGCAAAAAAAAAATCTGATTTATAAAACCCTGCCTACGCACGCCTGCGCGCACTTTCCCTTTATAAATCACAGACCAGCTGGAAAGTTGCGCAGCAGGGATTTGATTCTTCCCCGCCCTCTCCACACCCAAAATTCACCATGTATGGTCATGCAAATTACCTCATGAATGTGATTTGCATGTAAATAAGCCTGGTGGATCCACGGCATTTCACGCTTAACCATGGCATCAGCAAGTCGTAGAAAAAGAAACTTTTCAGAGATCGAGGTGGAGGTTCTTGTAAATGAGGTGGCGGCGAGATGGGAGACCTTATTCGGCGGCCATTCGAGTGGCATCACCAATAAAAACGCCGTTGCCGTGGTGGCAATTGCGGCTGGCACTGAGCGCAGCGTTGCCGAAACAGTGTTGTTTTCGTCATATTTCGTCAAATATTTTCGTCAACACCAGCGTCAAAACGAAATATTTTCATCAACGAGAACAACACTGGTTGTTTTTGTTGACGGAAATATTTCCCTTTTCTTCCACGACGAAGACGTAACGTTGACGAGCTAAACATAAGTCGGAGATGACTAAAATGTGACGAGACGAAAGTGTGTTTACGTTGATGGGACGAGACGAAAATGACGACCAGAGTTGCAAAACTCAGTCAGTTAAACGCTAAACATACAGGAGCAGCTTCTGTCCGCTCTGACAGCTCTCATCAGCCTGCTGTGCTCCTCCAACACACAGACGCACGCGCGCGCAAACACGTGGAGTTTTGTTTTCGTCGACGATGACGAAAACAAAACTGTGCCGAAATCAAGAAGAAGTGGTCCGATCTAAAGGTGGAGGCAAAGAAAAAAGTGGCTTTACACCATCAGAGCGTGGCGGCGACAGGTGAGGATCAGAAAAAACAAGCACGTGTGACACTCGTGCATGTGTTAAAAAAAAAAACCGCTCCGTTATCCACCGCTGCTTATGTGGTGAAAGTTCGTAAACCAAAAAGATTTAGTCATATTAATCTTAAAACAAATGCATGTAAATGGAATTTGTTTTTTTGCACATTTGTAAATTCAAATTGGCAAACTATCTACACCGCCACAGTGGGGTCTATGCTTTCTGCGAGCATCACTGCCTGGTACGGCAGCTGCAGCTTGCAGGACAGAAAGGCTGCATCGAGTCATCCGTTGTGCTGAACGCATCACCCGGACTATTCTCACCTTGCTCCGATTGTCTCCAAAAAGTGCGTAAGCAAGGTGTGGAGTTTGCTTAAAGTTGCGCACATTCCTACACTAGTTTTTCTTTTATAAATCCCAACTCTTGCGTAAGAAGTGGCGTAAGCAATTTCTAGCCAGGTTTTGTGCGTAAGCAAGCTTTATAAATGAGGCCTCAGGTCATCTGTGAAGACTCCATTAATCCGGAACAATATCTTCAGGTTTTGTAGCATTAAGACTCTGTAGTTGGAGTCACTGCATGGCTTCATATCACTTGTCCATGAACTGTCCCGAGGTCTGGTGAATCAAAATCTAACGCTTTGTTGGAAAGGACAACTGGACTTACTTGAGATGTAAGTCCAGTTGTCCTTTCAACAAAGAACTGGAAAACATAGATGCTTCACCCTCAGTTTTGAACAATGTCTACAAATTTAGGAGCAATATCTGCTGCCATCTTGACCAGAAGACCTTCATATGATCCCAAACCGCTTACTGCAACAGCATGGCTCTGTGGTAGAAGAGTCCTGCTGCTGAACTGGCCTGATGCAGTCCTGACTTGTCCCCCTTTGAAAACATTTAGTGCATCATGGCAGTAAAGATTGAAACAACACTTCTGAGTCTCCAAGGTTCCTTAAAAATTTACACGGGTTGTTGAAAGAAAACGCTGCTGGCACCAAATCTACGATGAGCGTGTATTTTCCATAAGATGTGTGAACTGTCATATTCTGTTTTCATCAACCATCTATCGTAGAATCAGAGTTGAATGTCAAGATTTTAGACAAGTTTTGCAATTTCTTTAAAACAAGAAGTCCTAAAAACATTATTTTTGACAACATCTGTAACTGTCCTTTAAATCGTCCGTAAACACAATCATCGACCGTTAGCTGCTCCCCACTCCTTTATTGTTATGTTCTCCTCTGTAAAATCTTGGCAGTTACAGGTTCACATCTCCACATGAGGTCTTCAAAAACCATCACAATGTCAGCCGCAGAGGAGAGCACACATGATTCAACCTGATTCACCGAATTCTCCGTCTAATCTAACCCAGATGCAAGGATTAAAGCTCTCAGATGTGCTACGATTGTCCGGAGCTGAGACATTCTTCCAAGAATTTCAGAAACACTTCTGAGCTTCTTCGAGGACTCCGACCAGAGCCAAGAACACAGACTCCTGGATCCGGATTGTTTTTCATGAAGGATTTCCCCGCTGCAGCGGCGGTGTTATTCTCTGTTTTCAACCTTGTGTTTTGCTGCACAGATACTCACAGGGTCAGTGAACTTCATGTTGTGTAAGAACAGCGGTGACCCTCGCTAACCTTGTGTTACTGCTCCTGAATGTTTGGTCTCTTCTGAACATCCACGCAGATGGAATGTGACGAGCCGAGAGAAAACACCTTAAAACAGAGAGAGAATGTCATAATAACCTCCAAAACAGAGTGACCTGAGATAAACCCGTGGAAAACAGGTCTGGGTAACAATGCTCTGACCTACAGACTGCAGACATGTGCAGACAGACACGGGACATCCCATCGTTAAAATTACACAAGGACTTTATTTTCCTGTTCTCTCCTTGCTGCTGGCATCCCGCCCTGCGCACGGAGAGTTTGGGGATTATTCGCCCTGATTTTGAAAGTCTGTGCTTTGAACCAGATAAAAATGAGACAAATTAAAGAACATCAGACAGTTTTTCCAGGAAAAGATTATCCGGAGACTCGTGAACAGTTTTGGGCAACTTTCAGGAAATGATGGTCTCATCGGCAGGACTGATTCAACGCTCGTGTTATCGTGGAGGGAAGGAAGGTGTGCATGAGAGTTAGTGAGGTTTTGGTGCGAAGACCCAAGTTGGATTCCCTGCACCTGCTACTAACAAGACAAACTGTATGAGGATAAGACACTAATGCTGCGTTTGAGTTACCTCAGAGGTCAGTTACCAAGTCGGAAAAAAGAAAAATCGGAGGCCTGAAGTGCTTGCCTTATATTTGAACAAAGGCAAGCACTTAAATAACTTTCGTAGATGTATCTATCTTGTTTCTGCCTCCGATTTTGCTTTTTTCCAACTTGGTATCTGAAACGCTGGGCACTAGGGTGTGATGACATTTTCAGCTCCGACTTCTGACTTCTGGTAACTGAAACGCACCATAAGTCCACCCTGTGCACCCTTACCCACAAACTCCACTGAATGCAGAATGGCAGCGATTTTCACTGTCTGCCAAATCCTACCAGATACGTTTATGAGGCAAATTTCATGGCAAATTTCAGACAGTGGGAATCATGAGGACTCACAAGAATCTGCAAATTCACATGCAATTGCGCGATATCAATTGGCTATGGAATCCCATGTCATATTCTTTTTATGATTGTACTTATATAAGGGATGAGACAGGTCATCGATTATTACGTGATTTTGGACTTCCAGAATTAGCATCTCATCATCCATATTGCCAACAGGGTGAAATGACGTCTGAAAACCTTTCACTTGTTCGTCCATACCCACGTTTGCATGGTGTGAAATACGATCCGCCTGAAACACGTCATGTTGGATGTTTAATTTTGTGTCTGTGTCCGACTTCCTTTCCAGCATGGGCTAATCTGTGCTGAATTGATGTGGCATGTTGCGGCGTCCGGAAAAAACAGAACTCTGGCGATCGAGCCCACTGAACCGCAGGGGGCTGGAAAGAAACCGGTGGAATTTGACACATTAACTTGAATGGAAACAATCAGCGGCGATCAACGACAGCCTTTTTGCTGCCATTCCACATGTGGTGGAATTTGGTGGTGATTGTGGTTGGAATGCTGAAAAAACAGGACAATCAGAGGCAGGTTTCTATCACCTTTAGGGACAAATTAGGGAACTTTATGAGTCAGCTGACTGAGGTGCAAGACCTACATTCTGGCGGCTCAACATTTCATTTGAAGCTCATCCAGTCCTTGTAGTCATCTGTGAAAAATGCACTGTGACGATTATTTTTCCCTCATGGGGACTTTGGAGTTAATCGTAAAGTGAAACTGAGCCAAGTGGAGTCAATGACGCACCATCACAAAGAGAGTTCATCAGGTTGTCGCTCTTCCACTCACGATATGATCTGCAGTCTTTGTCGTGGATGTTCTGGACACACTGTCCTATTGTCAGCAGAGAGGATCCTCAGGCACAGATCTGATGGAGGGAAAAAAGGAGGAGCGAACAGAAAGTAAGAGTGAACTTGGATGATGGTGAACTTCGGCGTGGACTTAATCAAAGTAAATCCTGCAAACACAGCTCCCCTGATCCATTCATCAGAGTGTTTCAGTTTACTTTGCCAAGTGCAATCCTCCGGTTTCCTCCGGCTTCTCATTAGAGCCACGAGAGAGGGAAGCACTGCAGCTACACACACACACACACACTAGCACACAGGAGGAAGCTAAACACAATGGATGCTGGCGCATGGGAGCCTGGATTTCCTGGGTTTCCCACACACAAGTGTACAATCACAAGCCTGCAAACATATACACTTATTCGGAAACACACTAAAACACACAAACACACGCACACACGTGAACCATCATGCAACATGCCAAGACACCACAGCCTGATGAATAAATCCACCTCCCTATTCAGGGCGCTGAAGCGGTGGTTGTCCCTCTGTCATGGATGACCCAGCTCAGATTCAGCATTTCTTTCCCTGCCGGACTGAATCCACGATGGGCCGGTTTAATGAGACGTGGATTATCCGATTAAGGAAATCTTGTGAGAAGGAGGAGAGAAGAAAAAAGAACAACTTTGCCCGGGATTAGCGTCACTGGGCCCGCTCACAGCACATTCCTGCCTGCTGATTCTCAGCCCTGGAGGGGACGCTGGTAAACCAGAGCACGCCAGCGACTGTCCTCCTGGGACCAGAGACCGGACTGGTTTACGCACAGAGACCTGAGCTCCCATCTGGACTGGAATCCCAAACTCGAACTTCCATCTTATTTATCTGCGCACAATGACGCACAAATGCAATGACGTAAATGTGACCCACAAACTTGTTTTGCACGTCTAAACTTTTTTTTCACTAATAAATCTTGTGATTCAGAATTTGGACTTTCATAGTGCGCTAAATCTCATATAACTGTACCTTAAGGTTGAGATTTTCTCACTTTTTATTGACGTTACTGTTATTCAACTCAATCAAAACCTCACTCTTTCATGGTTTTTATTTCAAATGTCATGAAAACAAACAGGCCTCATAGGAAACTGCACTAAACTCAGATCTTAGTGAGTGTTAACATATAAATTCTTGAGCGTGTCTTTTCAGGGATTAACTTATGCCTCATTTACCTGAAAAGTCCAGAGAAACGTTGAGTGTTAAGAAGTAAAGTTTTGGCAATTTTTTTTAACCCATTACAAGCGATCTCGGTCTTGTTTTTGGTGTTATGTATTGAAATATCACATTTTCTGGACCTGTAATGTGAACGTGGCTTACATTGAGTCAAATATGATGTTGGTTTAATAGAAATAAGACACAAAATTTGATTAGATTCAATTTTTGAAGGTTGTAACTGCAGTTTTAAAGAAGTCCGTTTCCTGCAACCAGAACCTGACGGAGGTTCTGACCTGGATTACGAGCAATTTGTAGAAATGTGTTAGTAATACAAGATTAAGGTGCATATGGACTAGATGTCTGAGCATGCACCCCGAGGTTAAGCTTGCAGCTACTGTCCCACTCTCTCCTGTCTCATGTTCTGCTCTGTCCACTTTACCGTCCTGTAAATTAAAACTAAATATAAATATGTGCAAGAGTATTCTGCAGATATTTGCAGTTCTCATCTGCAAGTTGTTGTGCTTTGCGTGCTTTAAACTGACATTTTAAACATGCAAATGTCACCGTAATGCACCTTGAAGTTTGACCTCTATTACAGATGAGTGCGAAACAAATTCCTTGTTTTAAAAGATTCCTTCTGAGATGGAATACTCTCCTCAGCTGTTATCCATATGAGCGTTCACTGTCCTCAGGAAAATCTACATCAAAACAGAGAAAACGTTTGCAGGCTTGCATTTTGAAAAATTGACCAAGTGTGTTACAAGTGTTGACAAGACATCCTGGTTTGATTTGAGATTCACTTCACCTTTTTCTTTGCATGTGCGATGGTTGGAGAGTTTTTAAATGCAGCTCGAAACATTACAAAAAAAGGACATTTTTAAGTGCAACGAACTGGAGAGGAGACAGTGAGACACACAAGGTTAAATACAAGAGTTAACGAGTCTGATGGGAAACAGGTGGGGAGACACAATCAGGCAGCAGGTGTGACAAGACGGGGGCAGGGCAGACCAGAAACAAGGGTTAGTGATCTACAAAATAAAACAGGAAATGCGAAACATGAATGTGCAAAAATAAAAGGAAACTTGACTGACATTTTGAAGTTATGGGAGCCCACGGGGTACAATCAGGATCTCCAGCACAGAAACAAGAGGACTACTGTGTTAAGAGGCTAAGTGTCGACCGTAAATCAAATGATTGGAACAATGTTAATGCAAAACTACACCTCATAAACCACTTCAGAAGCATGTCATATTAAAAAAGTAACTCCAGATCTGCAGTAAATCATCAAAATAGCAGTTCTGGCAGCGTTAAAGCTCCTCTCCTGAGAGGGCTGCATGTATGTCTATAGGTTATCCTCAGAGAACCTCGTAGTTTCAGTCGTATTCATGCAGGTGTGCATTCTTTCTGTGGGTGTGATCTCAAACAGACGTGTTTTTCTGAGCTCATCTGTCATAGATGCCCCCCTCTCATCGCCCTCCAAAGGGCAAGGTTTAAATCACCATAAATGGGACCTGGAGGTTGTGTTTGTGTGTGTGTATATGTGTGCGTCTGTGTGTGTGTAGGTGGGTGGGTGTGAGCCGCTCCTAAGACAACAAGACTGTTTTCCCCGCTGCTCTTGTCAAAGGTAAACATTCCAGTCTTGGGACGTTCAATGCCAAGCGCCGTTTGATCTGCATCATGTGACATCTGAAAGAGATGGAAAATCCTGCTTATCATCACTCCCCCAAACACAAAACCCTGCAGCAGCTTTATGGGGGCTTTGTGCTGTTTTGTGGTCGGGGTTTTTTGGGGGGCTCTGATGGAGCCTGCTGTGTACATGTGTTTTTGAAAAAGTAGGTCTGTCCCTGACCTGAGATAACTCTGTTCTGTTTGAACGCTGGGCTCTGATCTGACAGCACAACACGCCGTCAGGAGGACTGATCACATGTGGTTCTTCTTTCTTAAGACAAACACACATGTTTTAATCCCTCACATCTCCTCGCCTTTGCATCAACCTGCTAATTTCGTAGACAACTTTGCTCTGCAGCAGCCAGTCAGCCGTGTGTGAGGCTGCATCATAAGGTCTCATTGACAGACGGAGAGGAGCGCAGGGCCTTTATTATGCAGCAATAAAAAGAGGAGCAGAACATTTGGGTGAAAGAGAATAAATGTCCTGACATGCAGTATCCAGTCCGTGTTTCAGCTCCCAGCGGCCCAGGGAGTCCACATTCCCTCGCAAGGACGCAGACTGCAGGCGTCGTCCTCAAATCGCAGTTCAGCTGAGGACACACTGAGCCAAATTTACTGCATGTGCACCAGGGAACATGTGACTGACTGCAGTTGTAAAAATTTAACTTTTACCACTGCAGTGACGTCAGATAAAAAAGCAGGGGTTCGGATCATTTACTCATGGGGGCATGTTTTTATACAGCTCAGACTTATGTTTCCACATTGCTCACAAAAAGCACTGGTATGCAAACTTCATTTCTTTGCTCCAGAAGTCTTATTTTCCCCAAATGTCATTAAAATCAGGAGGTCTGCTAAACCGGGGAAGAGGCGTTTAAGGACACCGCTCCCCCCCCTGCTCGCCATCACCAACAAAATAGAGAGTTCTGGGAGCTGGTATCATCGGGAGCAGCTGCTCCAGATGTTTTAAATATTCATGAATTCAAAAGATCTTAATATTAAGCTTTCCATGTCATGTTTAGATTGTCGTATGTTGTGTTTTGTGTCTAAAAAGTGTTCATTGTGCTTCTCCTGAAGATTTTTCATCCTCCTAAAGCTCTTTTATAGTCGTTACTTCAGTAAAGAATGAGGAAACTTGCAATAAGAGATTTGTTTTCATGCATCCAGCGTGTATTCGATTATTTTGATCCTGGTGCAGTGAGAGTGAGAGAAAACAAACATTCGGACATCCTGTAGGACAAACTGTGCACGTGCATGTGCAGAGATCACATGATTTCTGAACAGCAGGGACTGAGTGAAGGTGGGTCAGGCATCACAAACTCACCCTGTGCAGACATATTTTGGTCAAACACACACAAATGCACCACTTTCTACAACGATACAGAAGTTTTATCTGGAGGTTTGACTCTGCTCTGCGAGCTCCCTGCCCTTCCACAATCATGTTTGAGATGGTGAATCCTGCAGCAGGAACAGCACACCTCCTCTGTTTCATGAAAAGACGAGACAGGGAGATCAGAGCCAACATCAGTGACCAAATATATGACAGTAGTTAGATCAGACATAGAAGAAAAGAAACAGTGCCTTCATGACCAGGGTTTAGACATCAGATTAGACCTAATTAAATAAACTCAGATTAAATGAACCTTCATTAACTCCACTGTTACAGCTGTTTAGTTGCTTAAATGCAGGTTTGTGTTTAACGACCGTCTTCCTGCTGACGAAGAATGAGGAAAAATAAACTGAGGGGCTGCACATGTGCAGACGTCACATGATTTATGATGAGCATGAGCTGAATGAAGTCTGTGTCTGTGATTCTCTGTACATGCATTCAGTCTGTAAACATTAGTTTTGCACTAACCTGCCATAACATTAGGAACACCTGAAACAATAAACCCCACTTTTGTGTTGCTTGTGTTGGATAACTGGTTCACACTAAAGTACATCAGCATTTCTGTCTCCTAAAGAAATGTGATCATGTCAACTAAACTTTAAAGTTGAGTAAAGTTGTTGTTCTAGAAGGCATTAGATTTGCTAAAGGTGTTTGTAAAGTTAAAGCTGGTTGGTGTATCTGATCATGAAAGCAATCCACTTAAAGCTCCTGTCAGGGACTTTTGTTGGCCCTGTCTGAGCGGTATCTCTTCTGTCTCTGTTGGTTTTGTCCTCAACATCCAAAAACGGTGCTCTCTGCTGTGTGAAATGTCAAATAAAGACTAAATAAAGTCACAATTTTGAATGTAAGATATCCAAAATAAAACACAGCATCATGAAGTAAAGAAATCTGCGACAGCTTGTTGAATCACAGCTCAGATTGTTGATTTTAAAACCTCCATCTTCACTTTTTCTCTGTACTGATACTGTAAAATTGTGTTTGGGTGTCCTTGGTTTGCTAATCTTAATATGTCTAGATTTACAAGAAATGTTTTGACCATCGATTACATATTTTTGCATTATTTTCTCTCTCTGTGGTTGCACAATCACTTATTTTCTCTCTCTTAGCCCATCATGGTTCAGGATTTTGGAGCAACTATCTCTTTAACCTTCTAGATCCACCTTTGTTCACACCAAAGTGGATGAAATAATGAGCATAAGTGATGTTTTAAACCATTTTAATAGCTAACAAACTGCTTTTTGTTGAAACAGTTGTAAACCTGAGCTTAGGTTGTAAATAAACAGTTAAAATTGTTGAAAAAAGTCCTGCACTTGAACAGGGTGGTACACTTTTTATCCAGGCGAGTATTAGGAGCCACTTTTCTCTCTGGAGGCTTAAAAATGAAGTTGCATTGACCCTTTAACGCCGCTCTTGATTGTAAGTACTTAATGACTCTTTGTACTATAGGCTGTAACCTGCACTGCTCGCTCCAAACGTGTGTTTTAAACGGACAGAAAGCACCTTGACACACAGATGAAGATGTCAGTGCGCCGTGATGTGGGGGGGCAGTGGGTCGAGGAAACACGCCACATCAGATTACACTAAAAGCTTTACTTAGCCCTGCAGCTTTGAGGAACTCCGTTAACAGCAGCTGACAGATGATGCAATCCCATAATGCAATTGCATGGACCCACCATGGTCACACAATGCAGCTCATTGCATCAGAAAAAAAGTCCATAAATGAGGTAATTTATTCAGGAATTAACATGTAAATGGATGACAAAGGGGGGTGCAGCGAGAGGGGCACTAAAGAGGGATGTGAGGATGTTTGTGTGCAAGATTAAGATTTATTAATTTATCCTTATTAAGACGTTTATTATTGTTGAGATATTTGATGATATATCCTTCTTCATGTGTTAGCTTTTACTACACAATGTCAAGGGTCGTGTCTTAAAATACACAAACACAACCTGTAAATTACACAAAAAACAATTCTCTAGAATCCAAGTTTGTTTTCATCTCTAGGTTACCTTGTTAGGCTTCCATATACATAAAAATATTGATTATAATAGTTTTTGGTGGGGGCCTCTGGACCCTTCTTTGTCTGCATAATTGATCATACATGTCCGGACATGTCCAACGTAGTTTTCTGTGCAGGGAAATACATGGCAAAATGAGAGTTACCTAAATCTCACAGGATTGAAGGAGGATCTGACTGTCAGTGCACTTTTGATTTCAGTTTATTAGATATTGATCTAAACAAGTCAACAGTGACTCTAACACGACAAGTGCCATGATTTTAATAAGAGCATTTTATAATTTAGTCAATTTTTTATTTTCATTTTGTTGAAAAAGGTTCCTAAAAAGACAAAAAGTCTTGATGCAAAAACAAAAAAGCTCATTTAAGTGTTTCTTTTAAGCATATAAAAACAAAAACAGACCCTGACACAGGAGGAGGGTGAAAAAAAATGTTCCTAAACTTTTAAACTGGACTAAATCAGATCATCTGAGTTCATTATGCTGTTTTTTGCTAAAGAAAGGACACATCTGTGGTCTGCAACCTTCAGAAACATAACCTCATCATTTCACCTCCACTCTCCTGTCCTCCTGTCTTCATGGACGTAAAGCAGGAGGACTCTGAGGTGCAGAGAGGAGCTCTGGCAGGCAGCTCCAGACTCGCTGAGGAGGAAACTTGGAGTTTCTGTTTCAGTCTGTTCGTGTTCTCCCTCTCGTTGTCGTGTACTCATGTGTGCGTTTGTGACTCAAACCCAAACGGAGGGAATTGCCCGGGACGTGTCTGCGGCCATGTCGGCGCGCAGCCCCCGTCCACTCCAAAGCTTTGGTCTATTATTGTCACAGGAAACGTGTACTGGACATCTCCTGGACTGAGCCCAAAGCCGGCTTCAGTGCGCGCGCTTTGGGATAGAGAGGGATCACATACCACCGAGTCCCGACCCCCCCACTCTCCCCTGACTCCCAGGCGTAAACGGTGACCCTCATTCGCGCAGCTATTTCTGAAACCCCGGGTTTATTTTCCCTCTGCGATGCACGAACGCACGCTTTCTCATGTCCCGGTGGAGGTTTGGGTTCTCTCCCAGCTCGCCCACGCGCAGTGCGCACAGCGTGGGCGTGCGTATTATTGAGCGCTCATTAATAGTGTTTCCCAAAGAAGTTGTGTAAGAAGTTGGACAATTAATAGAAAGCCCGCATGAATAGAAAGTACTGTCCTGGAAACAAGGAGGAGATTCAATAAGAGAGGAATCGATGGAGTTCAGCTCCAGAGCGCCGCTGTGCGAACTTCTCTTTATTACAACTTGTAAAATCGATCACAGTGCAGTCGGTGTAAAGTGAAGTAGTTTAGTGTAGCACGAGGGTGAGAAAGGGGGTCCTCGGTTGGTTGCAACACCAAACAGTGGTGTCGTCAGCGGTCAGCGATACGTGCCGGCACTGCCTGTTCCAAAATAAATATTGACGTGATTGTTATAGGCCCTAAACAAATGAGCTGCCGGGGCGCACAGAGGCGGGCCAATCACAGCCCATCGTCTCATCACACCTTCTTTCCAGAAATCATTCATAACGCCGATGCGTCAAACACTCACTGAGGAGCCGGCTATAAATACGGCTGCGCGCAACGCACAGTTAGACATTTTCCCGAAATCAAAGGAAAGAGAGAGACAGCTGAGCAAGAAGCGGGATCCGGCGTTTACCTTTCATTCCTCTCTCTACCTTGCTCTACATTTGATTTTCTATCTTTAGTATCCAGCTGATCACCATGTTGACCATGGGTGGATTATATTTGCAGCACGTCGTGGTGGCAGCGGTGTGCTCCTCGCTCCTGGCCACAGGCACGTTAGGGTCCCCGGTGGTGGGACCAGAGCCGATCCGATGCGCCCCGTGTACTCCAGAGAAGCTGAGCCAGTGTCCAGCGGTGGCGCCCGGCTGTGCAGAGGTGCTCCGGGAGCCCGGCTGTGGATGCTGCCTCGCCTGCGCTCTGACTGCTGGGGAGCTGTGCGGGATCTACACGGCGCCGTGCGGCTCCGGACTGAGGTGCACCCCGAGACCCGGCGACCCCCGGCCGCTGCACTCCCTCACCCGGGGACAAGCCCTGTGCACGGAGAGCATAGAGCCGGCGACCACCCCCGAGCCACAGAACCAAGGTAGGCCCATAACCTCCAGATTTTACGCATTTTTCTCCTACATGCAGCAAATCTTCATCCACACTTGACACGTCTCTCATGGAGAAATTCCCACTCTCATCTGCTTAACATTCATTCATTTTCACCCACAGATCAGGGAGAGATAGAGACGGAGATGGAGAACGCAGCCATCATCTCGGACCTCGGCTCTAATCCCTACCTCCCCGGCCACACGAAGCCCTACGACCCGCGGGCAGCTGCGGACGCTCAGGAAAGCATGAAAGCCAAACTCATCGCCAACCGCAAGAAACTGGTGGAACAGGTGAGAAACAGAGAGAGAGTGTCCGTGTTTGCTGTGTGCTTTCTCTGAAACCCTCAGTGTGACATGTTAGGAAAAGTTTTGGGGGAGGTTTAGAGAGAGGGTCGAGTCACCACAGGGGGGCGCCCGTGTGCTGTGTCTGAGGAAGAGGGGCTGTAGTAGAAGATGATGATGATGATGTTGATGGGGATGCTTGTTATTACAAGTTTTATGAGCACTTTGATGCATGTTTGCAGATGAGCTGAGTTAACCCTTTCCTCTCTCTCTCTCCTCAGGGTCCCTGTCACATCGAGCTGCAGAGAGCTCTGGACAAAATCGCCAAATCTCAGCAGAAACTGGGAGACAGATTAACCCGCTTCTACCTCCCCAACTGTGACAAACACGGGCTCTACAAATCCAAACAGGTGTGTACCTTCACTTCAGTGTTTCTATGAGTGTGTGTCTGTGTGTGTGAGCCAAGATTGTGTCAGCTTTACGATGAGTGTGTGGGTGAGGCAGGGAGAGTGGTTGAGTTTCCGGTGTGATATCACCTGTTTGCAGGACTGGACATGTGTGTGTTTGTGTGTGTGACCTAGTGAATGAAAATGAAAGTTTACTGATGTGTGTGTTTGTGTTTGTTCATCTGCAGTGTGAGTCTTCCCTGGACGGACAGAAAGGTCGATGCTGGTGCGTCAACTCCTGGAACGGGAAGAAGATTTTAGGTTCGATTGACCTTCCCGCGGACGCCGAGTGCCCTTAAAGAGATCAACCACTGATGCAGATCTCAGAGAAGAAGAAGAAGAAGAAGAAGAAAGAAGCCACTGATTTCCTTTATTTTGATAGCTGTTTATTTATTGATCTTGTCCATGGTGGTGTTGAATTCAGGTACACTGTCATTGAGGGGCCGTCGGCGGTCCCAGCCACCCTCTCCCCCCTCCCTCCTCTCCGAACACCCGTCCCAAAGAGAAAAAATCTATTTTTGTTTTTCTGAAAAGGAGATTTTTAATATTGATGCATTTACTTTTACTCTTCAGCCTTATTTATTTCCATTTTATTTCATTTTATTTGTAATTATTTCATAAGTATTTATATCTTTTATTTTTTGCCTTATTGTTATTATATTATTATTATTATTTGTATGGTTGTATAAAGTGTATATATGTATCTTGGCCCTGAGGAACTCCACGGCTGAGTTGAGCTCGCTCTACCCTTAAGGAGTTGTCTGGAGGTTTGGTTTTTGTGACGAACCAAGCAAGAACAAAAAGCACTGAGTGACCAAAAGTCATTTAGAAGTATTTCTAAATGTTGTTTTTATGATTCGTTTTCACATTGCTGCCATTTTTATGTCTTTTTTTGTTGGTTTTACTGATGTGACACATTACCAGAATGCAAAACTCTCAGTTGGGAATCCTGAAACAGTCTCAGAAAACATTTCCCATGATTCCATGGGTTTACAGATAGCATGACGGGCGTGCGCTTTTCCACGCCGCCTCTCAGACGGGTATTTCTACATTAACCTACCTCCGATATTTATGTGTCTGCTGTCAGTTGTGTTGATGTATGTGTCAGAAATGAAAAAAAAAAGAAACAAGACTTGCTGTTTTACTTTGTGTCGCTGTTCTCTCTGACCAAGAACACATGACCACGACGACCACGACGACGACGAGCGAGCGAGTCCCGCAGTGAACCCTGCAGCTAGCTCGCCTCCATCCACATGCTGCTGTTGGAGAGAGAAATATTGTTTATATGTGTGAGTCTATTCCAAAGTGACTAACTGCTCACTCGTGTGTATGTACACTTTTGTAATTGAGATGTAATGTAAGAAAAAAAAGGTGATATATTTAATAAAAACATTAACCTCAGTTATGCGCTCCCGGCCTCTCCTTCACCTCAAGGCGTGCTCGACCTGCGAAAAAACATCCATAGGTGGCGAAACATAAGGATCATAACAGCGTCTTTTTTGACGGGGACGTGATTATGGAAGTCTGTGTATAGATGCACTTCTAGACCACATTTTTCTATATTGGGCGTGTTTGTGAGCGGTGTTATCACGGCGATCTAAAGTGGGGCTCCTGCGCTAACTTTAGACGCCCAGCTCTTTGACCCGCTCTCTGTTTGCCTTGGTCAGGGCGCAGGAATTCGCCTCAACCTCTCATGCCCACTGCCAGCCTGCCTGGCACCACCAGATTTATTTTTATTCTTTTTCACAAATTGAACCTTTGCTTTATCCTTATTGACACATTCCAGCGCCGAGGGGGGGAGCAGATCTGGGTCCTGATGAAACATGAGAATAAGAATAAAAACCTGAGACGGTGTTCTTTAAAATGTGTTCACTTTTTATTTAAAAAAAGACATTAAATACAAATTATACTTTGAATCAAAATCATTCCTTCCTCAGAGAAAATAATAGCTGTGTGATTTCTAGTTTAGTATCATGAATCAAAAAAAAGAAAAACTCTTTGAAGGATAAACTCGAGAAGGAAAACAAAATACACTTTTACCCGTGAACAGAGAGATTCTTAACGTGACCAGAAATATTCAAAAGTGACATTTTATTACAGAAGTGTGACTGTGGCTCTGCGCTAGGACAGACTGAGGCGGGATGGCGCAGTGTGCATGGAGAGAAGTGACAGACTGAGAGGTGAGAGGTTCACTCTTCCTGTGAAGCAGTGAACTAAGATGACCAGAGACCTGAGTGACTGACTGACACAGATTTCTTCTTTTTTTTTTTTTTGCGCCCCTGAGGCTGAAAAAAAACTGGCCTGCAGGACGCTGAGCTTAAAAATGACACTGCTGAGCAACAGAAGGAAGAGATTCATGAAAAAATAACACATTCATTAGTGATTATATTCCCCAAAATACACTGAATCATAGAGACTTTGCTGTGCAATCGGTGAGTCACTGAATTGTTCATAAGAAAACCTAGTTTGGATCAGCTTATATTCCTTTCTTAGATAAATAATTTTCATTTTTAAGTACTGTACATGATGTCTAGTCAGACACATAGCTGGCCAGGAAATAATAATAATAATATATATATGTATATATATATAAAAAGACACACTTACAAATATTTGGGAGGGAATAGCTTAAACATATTTGTACGTATGTTCCTCCCGTTACATCAAGTCTTTGAAACGATGGGGTCGAGCACCAACAGGCTGGTTTTGTGAAGTTGCTGCTGTCTATCAAAGAAAGTGTACAGAGCCGATTTTCATGCTACCAAGCTACTGGGCAAGCATTCTTAGTCGGCACTCTCTCCACTCTTCAAGTCTTTACACAGAATGTGGGAGAGCATCGGGGCAGGAAGCCGCCTCCTCCCTCGGACCCCCTACCACTTGTGTGAATGCATATTTGGTGCTGTGTCCACCTCGTGGAGATTTGTTGGCATACGATCATACAAGCATTTTTCAAAGAAACAAAAACAACAACAACGAAAAAAAAAAATGAAAATAGTTGCATTGAATGGAAAATTTTCTGAGGGGTGTTCGCTTTACTGTCAGAAGTCCTGGTGTAGTTTTTTTCTCTCTTTCTCTCTTTTTCCGTATTATTGTTTTCTTACAGTATCACACTGTTTCATCTGGCGTTACCTCCGAGGAAAGGTATGCAGATGCAGATAGGTCCAATTGTCTTTAACTGCATGCAATGACGAGTAGCGGCGCAGCTAAAGTGCTTTAAGTGCTTGTGCTTGAAGCAATAAGGGGCAGCTGGCACCTGCAGCAGGGCGGGCCGGTCACACCGGGCTGTACCACCCCCTTCAAACAAGACTACACCAGGAGGCACCCCTGACAGGAAGAGGGCTGGAGGAGGGTTAGTGAGGTTGGAGACGTGGACGGGATCAGGCACGTGGACAAGGACAGAGCGTTAAGGACGAAAGGGAAGGACGTGAAGGGATGGAGGAAATCAACATCGAGACGGTGAGATGGAGATGAGGACACAAGAGAGGGACGGGGACATGATGTGGACGAGAACAGAAGGACTGATCTAACTTCAATAAACTCTTGAAATCACCCAAAAATCGAGTTTTTCTGATCCGAACACTCGCCTCGTCTCTGACGTCTCAAACTTGGTCTTTATCGAGCGCAGCAGCTGGAGTTAGCTCAGACAAAGAACTGCCGTATTAAAATCCAACATTGACTGACAAGAACGTTCTTGTTCAGCCGATCGAGTCTCGAAGAGTTTCACAACATCCATCGCAGAAGCACAATCCAGCTCTTTGAAGCTCATTTGTATCTGAGGTCGGCGGTCTGAGTGGCGCTCCTTATGATAAATATTTGTTTATATAATGAAGAACAAACTCTGGGGGGACTCGACTCGGACAGTTTATTCCTCGCTCTTGCACAGAAAAGTGACGTATGTATTCTTGTAGGGCTGCACGATGTTGGCCAAAAATAAAATCTGAAAAAAAAAAAAGTACCGTTTAAAGTCACGCAAAACGCTGATACGACAAAAAACTTGAGCGTTTCCTCCTGAATTCGTTTCCGTGGTGACGGGTTGATACCGCCTTCAGACAGACTTTGCAGCGGGGAGTGGTTTACTCTTCGTCCGAAACTGTGAAGTCGTACCAATTCAACACGACTGACTCGCTCTTGTCCTTTTTAACCATGAAATTATCGCCTTCTTTAGCAAACGCCATGTTTGTTTACACTGGTGTGTGTGGGAACTGGAGAGCCTATGGTTGCCTGGAGGCACAAGACATGATAGAGAGGAAAATCAATTTGACGATTTTGATTTTTTCAACATCGTCATCATCAAGTAATCTGATTAGGATTTAAAATCGATGAATCGTGCAGCTCTAAGATGAAGGTTCAGCTCCATCTTGGTTGAGCAAATCCTCCCATTATGAAGCTCAATGATCCATTTTAAAAGAAAATTTCCATCAAATTAGCAGGTAAACAAATTAAATCCACTTTAATTCACACCGGCTTGATTTTCCACAATTCTCTCTCAATTCTCAGCGAATTTGACTCCGATCTCCTGCTAGGAAAACAAACTTCAGTTTAACGAGTCAGTAGGGAGGCGAAGTCCGCTCCAATTTTCCCATCTGGAAAGAGAATTTCAGCTCACTACTCCGTTGGAAAAGCATATGCGAGCTCAATCCAATGTTGGGTAACAGGTTAGGAGTCCTTTTGCCTGACAGGTAAGAACATTTCAGCCCAGGGGAAATTCCTCACTGGGTGGGCTGGTATTAGTGTAAAATATCGGCCGTGTTAGCTCATCAGGAGTTATTTTGGCACGGTTACTATCCTAAACCGCCAAGTAAAAACACACTTGTATATCTGCGAGACTTCCAGCAGGAGTGAGGTGGATTACGCTCTTCATTCAGTCTTCTTTCAGGGTACCGTAAGTCTGAGCGAGCTGCAACTGCTGTTCTCAAAAAAGACGCCACGTATCTGAGACGAGAAAAGGCGGATTTTCAGGGTGACGGGGAGGCGTGGACAGATCTGTTTTTAAGGCACTGTAACTGCAACGTTCTACCAAGAGAGGCAGCGAGGATGGCCCTGGATAAGAAGAAGAAGAAGAAGTCAAAGCCCTGCTATCCCATAATCCTTCACTTCAAAATGGACCCTGAGGCGGAGAGTGTTTATTTTTTCTTCTGCATTGTTGAACGGAGCAGGGCGAGGGGAGGGGCGGTCGGACATCTCTGCACTGAGCTTAGTGACATACAGTATTTACACAAATAAACACTTTTGGGAAAGCGCACACCATCTTTGCATGCCATCTCGCACAGACATGCAGCTGTGCACACGTATGTTATGCAGGTGCTCACATGTTAAGACACATACACACACAGACAGACACGCACATAGACTCACAAACAGACAATAGAAATGGTGGTGGTGCGTTTTTTTTTTTTCGGGTCACAGTCACAAACAAGTCCTCTTTAAAAAAGTGAGTGGAAAAGTCCCTCCTTCCTCTCTCTCTCTCTTAAAGAATAGTGCAGATGGTAGGAGTCTCTCTCTCTTTCTTCCCCTTCTCTCTCTCTCTCTCTCTCTCAGCTTATTTGTTTGTTTTTTAAAGAAAGGATAGAGGTTCCCTAAGCACGGGACAGATAGCTGTGATGGACAGGAGGCTCGAACCCTTCGCTCGCTCCCTTCCCCTCCCCTCTGTTATCTCTCTAACTCTCGGACAGAAACGGGACCTGAACTCAAAAAAGGTCCAGACCCCCTTCAAATGTTTACACAAAACTACATGCAAGAGCAAAGTCGACTCTTTTCCTTTCCGTCTTCTCTTCCTCCCCCGCCCTCCCCCCACCATCTTCCCTCTGTCCTCTCATTTGCTCTCCAGGTTGTAGCACTGCGTCTCGCCCCGCTCCCTGCCGTCGTACCCAGGAAGAGACTGCCCGTATTTGTCCACGCACCAGCAGTAGCCCCGCCTCCTTCCTTTGGACGGACGGCACTGCAAAGAGAGAGCAGAGAGAGTAAAATTAGCATGCGGCTTGTTTGCTTTTATTAAACACTTAACAAAGATTAGCTTTTTTCGCAGGTGTGGCACGTACAAACATCACTTCGACTTCCATCTTTAGTTCCGAGACGGGAGCGCGGCCCGGGACTTATCACTTTGAGACACATTGTGAAAACAGATTAGCGTTTCCAAGGTGAGGACTTACCCTGACATAGCTTTCTCCTCACCACCTCTGAAGCGCATGTGTGTTTTATAATAAGACTATCCGTCTCTCTTTTGGCTCTCGGCGTTCGCTCGGATGCTTGTAAGGAGGCCAAGTCGTGCCTCAGCAGAACTCTAATAAGACAAACATCTCATCGATCACGGCAAGGAATGCCCCGCTGTCTGGATCTGTCGCGGAGGTTTTATGAGCAGAATCTATCAGAGATAAACACCGCAGATAGAGCGGCTGCCGGGACCGTGATGAATGTGTGAAGATCAGAACAGGAGAGCCTCGCTCAGGCATCCACGTGCAGCCGGCATGCTGCAGCCGCTGAGCCTGTGCCATCTCTGAGCTTTATTTATCAGGCTTGTGTGCTCCTGACCAGCGGGGCTAAACGATGAAAAAGCAGATTCTTCGGGACGGCGAGGGGCGGGGGGGGGGGAACGAGGAACACTCCGAGTGAGTGAGTGAGTGAGAGAGAGTGAAGGAGTGTGAAGGTAAACATGGAGTTGCTAAAATATTTGCCAAGGCCAGTTGGAGGGCTGCAAGGAAACCAGCGCTGCTATTCTGGGAAGCTGGCAGACGCTCAAAATCATCTGGACCTGGTTATGGCCCGGGCGCGCACGAGAGCATGCGCGCGTGCACGCATAAACACACATCAGCAAACATGGAGGCGCGCACAAACAGGAGTTGAGTGTACTGTATGTATACATACCCCCCACCTGCTTACACACACACATGAACACACACACACACACACACACACACGGGTCTGCAGTAATATCAGATGTCCCACAGGGGGCCACACTTTGTGGAGTGGCAACTTTATGAGCTCCATTTGGGGTTCACATGAAACGGCACAATCAGCTGGGCCAGGCTGAGCTCTGGCTCAGAATAATCCTCCTCCTCCCCGACACCACCCCCCCCCACACCACCCCCACACCGAGCCTGAGGAAGAGGAGGAGGAGGAGTGGGAGGAGGAGGAGGAGGAGGGGGTGACAGAGTGTTGAGGTGACCGGCGAGTGCCAAGACACGTCTGTCCGTCTCTCTGTCTCTTTGACCGTCTCACCAAAAGTCATGAATGCTGTCTGCAGTTTTTCAGATCGAACGACCACATGAATGAGGAATACGCACGACCCTCTGAATACGGCGCTCTATAATCTGGATTATATTCTCAGATATGGATGTTAGAGCTGAAAATCTGCACAAAGATCTTCAGGATCAAGTTTTAATTCCAACTCCTGATGCTGATGGACTCACAGAGCAGACAGACAGAGTGTGACCAGGTGTCTGTTTCCGGTGTAGTCCACATCCACGTGCAGCCCGAGAGAACGATCAAAGGCAGCTTTATAGAAACAGAGGCCCATTAAAATACCAACAACTACTGCAGCAGCAGTCTGGGGGCAAATACTCGGGCCGACACGCCCCATTCTCACACGCCAACATCATCGAAGGATTCTTTTCGAGGAACACGCTTCCCTCTACCTACCTCTCCCTCTCTCTCTCCTCCTCTTCCTCTGTCTCACTTTTTCTTCCTCCTCTCCTCCCTCCATTCTCCTCCTCGGTGCCATCGTCTGACTCTGCGGCCAGCTCCTATTTTAGCGCTGACCCAGTGGACGAGACCGCGGAGAGGAGCTTAACATTGTGTTCCTCTACTTTGGTTAATGATGATAGAGTGCTGTATGTGTGCAGTGTGTGTGTGTGTGTGTAAGTGTGTGTGTTTGAGGGTTGAAAAGCCAAAGAGAGGAGAGGACGAGCAGAATGTGCATGTGTGCATTCCCCTGTTGCTTGGCTACCTTTGAATTTCCGCTCAGTCTCTTTCATCTGTGAACTATTAGCAGTCATCGCGAGCCATCCTTTCTTTACTGCACACACGCACGCACGCACGCACGCACGCACGCACGCACGCACGCACGCACGCACGCACGCACGCACACACGCACACACACACACACACACACACACACACACACACACACACACACACACACACACACTGCTGACATCCGCACATCTGCTAAGAACTGATCGTCATGTCGCGTTGCACCTTTCCAAGAGTTAAAGTTTTCGCTCTTTAACTTCTTTTGTTCATATTTAAGTCTCAGTTTCCAGCAGAGATCTACACTCTCATCACGGCTGAACACTTGTCTCTAAAGGAGGCAGTTTGGTTTGATTTATTGAAGCTTCAGTGGATTTATCGTGTTGAAAAAACGTAAGAATAAAACAGGAGAAACTTTTGAAGAAACTTTTCCAAAACTTTCCAAAAGTTTTCTTTGGTCTGACAGTGAGTTTGAAATGATCACAAACATGGCCTAATGTGTCCAAGTCAAAGTACACCTGGACTACACGGATCTGCGAGTGGACCAAAGTACAATTACTGGAAGAAATCACTCTAACACCTCGTCTCCACTTCCACAGTGTCTGTGTATTCATAGATAAATGAGTGATGCCTCTAGTGTCCAATGCATGAAAGTGCATTTCTTTACAGACTCAAGGAAACTGTCAAATCTACCTGCAGGTTTTTATCTGAAAATCTGACTGTATTTAATGTCAGACTGACGAAGACAATCACTACGACTCAAACCACAGACTGTGTCGCCAAAACTCTTTTTTTTGTTTTGGCTTACTGTGTCGGTGGTTTTCTATGTTTCTGCAGCTCGCCTCAAGCTGAACTGCAGTTTTTTGCATTTCCCCAATCTGAAGGCCGAGGGTTGCCCGATTAAGATCTTACCAAACAAACTCCTTAAAGACCCACTCAGATGAAAATCATGTTTTTCTTGTTGTCTACATGATTATGACATTTCTCTGATGTTACAGGACATATCATGAGAAAAACAAGTGCGAAAATGCATTTCCAAGTATCTCCGCTTTCAAATTGCTGTGAATCTCTAGCTCAGACAGAGTGAGATTTCCTACATCACAAATCCAAGCTCCGCCCCCAGAGCCCTGCCACACAGGCCAGACTTGGAGAAGTAGAGAGGACGATTGTGGAACAAGCGTGTGCGTTAGATTACAATGTTCGTAATAAAGCTAATTATGATATCAACTTTCATCATGTCCCCAAAGACATTAGTGTCTGAGAGCTGAATAACTTCTATGTTACCTGCTACTTCTACTACACTGACAATGTTAGGCTACAAGCTAACGTGAAGAGGAGTGTGAAGAGCAGCGCTGTCTCCGCCCACGACTCAGAGGCGAAGTGCTAATGAGCTGCTGGAGCTCTGCAGAAGAAAAAGCCTTAAAAATGACACAAGAAACGTGATTTTGGATAAATTTTCATAATCATAATTTAAAGACTACTATGAAAGCCTCTCAAAAAAAATGATTGGAGTGGGACGAAGGACAAAGCAAAGAAGTTGACAGAAGCAGCCTCTATAAGGGCCGAGAAGGCGAAATACTTCTTTTCAATTTTACAATTTCACCTCACATTCCTCCTGAAGTCTGTTGCCAAAGTTCAGTTTATAGAGCACATTCAAGTTTTTCATGCAAACCAGATATTGCAGAGATTCACATCGGTCTGCAAATGTAGGGGTGCAAAAAAAAGCAGTTTTGTAAACTTTGTAATTATTGTCACATGGTTTGGTTTGCATGTTTTGTGCTTTATGCTCTAATTTGTCACCAAATAACCGGTCCAGCCGACTGAAGATGTAAATGACGCTGAAACAGATTTCTAATTTGAAACTGATCACCTCTCGGTTGTAACGCGTCCGTCTGAAACCGACCGTTTGTGTCTTTCGGGAAAAAGCCAAACGAACCTCTCAGAGCGCCTTTGAGCGCAGCGAGGTGAGAAGTTGATAATCAAAACATGTTTTTTTGGAGGCGTACTCCTCTGCTAATCCTAGCACCCTGAACCACAGAGACCAAACCTCACCTCAGGGGTCACCTCAGACCTCGTGCCCCATTTTCCCAGCCTTACACTGCCCCTGCGTGGTCCACACAGCCGTCTCCAGAAAAGCCCATTTCATCCGCCCTCCACATTCATAATGCGACCTTTATGGCGTGTGTGTTGTGCGTATGAATGCGTGCTCTTGTGATGCCGGTCTTTTCGGCTAATAGCAGCGCCGCTGGGCTTCACGGACATTAAAAAGAGCCAGGTACGACCACAGGATAAACATACGCTCATAAAATGCAATGTGTATGTGTGTTTGTGTATAGGGGCGCATGTATATGTATTTGTGCGAGAGAGGGTGCATCTGTGCACGTGTTTGCAAATGCATTCAGTGGAGGGAGTCACTGCAGGATATTGCTTTTTCTGGAAAAATATAACTAATGAGCGTCTCAGTGGATTCAACTCCTAAAAGAAAAAACATGTTTGTTTAAGACGAATGAGGCCGTAAGAGCTTTAAAAGAGGAGCTGAAATAATCAATATCAGTCAGGACTGGATGAGAGGAAAGTCTTAAGGACACTTTCAGTGACTGATCTGAGAAGATGCCAGGTGAGGTTTTCATCAAGCAAAACTTTGAGCCTCTAAATATGAACATCCCCTGATTTATTGACATCTATTTTAGCTTTAAGAATCGGACTGACAGGCCAAATTTCTATTTAGCCATCAAAAACCTATTTATGATGCATCGGAGCCACCTCTTGTTAGATCAGACCCACTCCTATTGCTTAATATTCATCCACATGAGTCAGGGTGATCATATTCTGAATCCCAGAAAAGAGGACATGATTATGTGGTGGTGAAGTCACAGAGTCATGTGTAGTTAATTTTGAGAGTTTTCCTGGTCGGGTCGAGAGTTTTTTACGCACTTCTAACTCAGTAAGTCCACGCGACACAAACTCAAAACTTCCGTACAAACCCCAGACATTTGAAAGATTTTATAAACTCCCCCGGACAAGGCCGGACAGGCCCTAAAAAGAGGACATGTTCGGGTAAAAGAGGACGTTTGGTCACACCACATGAGTGAAACACTTTTCAGCATTTATCAAGTTACAGTGGAGAGGAAGAACTTCCTTTAACAGGCAGAAACCTCGAGAAAGACCAGACTGATGTTAGACAGACATCTGCTGAGACTGAGAAAGAGACTGATGCAGATGGAAAGCAGGAAGGTCCAGCGATCCAGAGGAACCTACAGGATGATGGAGCTCAAGGACTCCTAGAAAAGGCTGTGTGTAGAAGTTTCCTCAGTGTCGAGTTTGTTAAAATGAGCATACTCAGAAAGGGCTGAAACGATTCCTCGAGTACCTCGATTACAAAAAATGACGGAGGAATTTTCTCTGCCTCGAGTTCTCGTTTACAAGCTCAAATCATCCCTATTTCGCACAAATTATTGAAAGGATGCAAGAGTTCTGACATTTTCAACATGTTTTAAGGTTTTGAAGATCCTCCGTTAGGTGAACCACATGCAAAAGTCACGTGTAGAAACAACAAGTGGCGAAGCATTAGCAGAAATATGAAGACAGTGCAGTGAGATGGAGATATCAGACAGAGAGAACGTTTGTGCAGCTCTGGTGTTAATGTCCTTTGTGATGTGTGGAACAGAGACGAGCAGGACGGACTGTAAATAAGAGAAATGTTGGCGAAAACTGCCATTAGTAACCTGCCTAGCCTCGCCACTCTTCTTCACAGCATCGGCATACTGGTCATTGGTCAGTCTGTCATGTCTGACCATCATAACAGACAAAAACATGGAAGCCTGACCTCGCCATACAAGAGGAACTGCTTAGAAACAGGTGTGAGAGGAGGCAACTAAAGTTCTCCAAGAGCAGACGGAACATCAAGTTTCAATTTGGGTTCAAAACAGCTAAATTTATCAGCGTGCGTCCATGTGATCAGCCGATACCATCAAAAACTCGTCAAACTGACCTGAAGGTTCATTTTCTGAAACCATCTATGTCGTCATTATCCGTGCAGACGCTCAGGTGTCAAACCGACGTACACCCTGCTATGAAAATTACGCAACAGCAGATAAATCGACTCCATATCCCCCAGAGAGAAAGAAGGATTAGAAACCCAGGGTTAGGGAAGAGAGCGAGCGAGAGAGAGAGAGAGAGACAGAGACAGAGTGAAAATAGCTGTCTGGGTCCCTGAAGGTTGGCCAGTTATTATAAAGCCATTGTGGTCGGTGTGTACGTTTCCACAGATCCTTCTGAGTCACGCTCAATAAGTCAGCCCTTATGGGCCCTGGCACTGTGGGGACCCAGGGAGGGAGGAGGGAGGGATCAGGGTGCAGGCACCTGGCTCACATCCTTAACCCACTGCCTCTTCCTCCTCCTCTTCCTCCTCTTCTTCTTCGTCTTCTTCTTCTCTACACTCTCCAAACTCTAAAAGAGTCCACACAGAGAGGAGACGCAGACAGACAGACAGTGGCGTTCCTTTCACAGGCCCTCTGCGGGGTGATTCCTGGCCAAACAAGGAAGGAAAAGCCAGGTGGGCGGAAGGGCAGGATGGACAGAATGATGGAGCGGGCAGGCAGAACAAAAGACGGGTGGATGACTGTAGGCAAGGCACAATGGGGGTAATGATGGGTGGGTGAAATGATGAATAAGGGAGAGAGAGCCTGAGTGTAACAGAGAGAGAGAGAGAGACTGTGAGGGGTGTAATGAGAGGGTCAGTGTTGGGCATGCATGGCCTGAACTGGGATACTGGGCCAATTCATATAACTGCTGCTAAAAATAGGCTTCTGTGTCGCCGAGGTAACTCCACTCAAACTGCTGCTACAGTCCCGGGGAGCTCATTTTACCAGAGAGCAACAAACACACCAAAAACAACACAAGCCTGTGACTAAAAACACGAGATATGAACAAGATTTAAACCGCAGAGTTCAACGGTCTCTGATACGAGCGATGATGAAGACGAGTCACCGAACCACAAGGCTGAGTCAAGTCCTGCGTGTGGAGGGGGGCTGACTGCAGAGTCAGATAGTACGGTAATATTCAAGCTGTGTCACTCAGTTTGTTAGAAAATAACATTGAATAGACTGAAAATGATCTTTTAAAGCACGTGACTCAGTACGTTTACATGCACAGTTTAATCGGACTAAGCTAAAAATTCGTTTTTTTTTTCTCTCCTTGTCCGCATAAACATGCAAATAAGAAAATTAAATAATTGACGTGAACGTGTCCTCCTCCCCAAAACTAGGGGGTGATATGGGTCTTTTCAGCGGCGCTGTTTCCGACCCCATCCAACCGTCAACAACAACAGCAGGTCGGTGTCAGACGTCAGAAGTGTCTACAACTGCTGCTGGGCATTTTGGAGAAACAAGTAGATGGAGCATCGTACAGCGTTGATTTTGTCCTACATGATGGACGCACTACTTTTTCTGCAGATGAGACGAACGCTACTCCTCTTCTCTGGTGTTTTAGTTCCAAGGTTACGGGGCGTGGCGCACGCACGATGCATTGTCCTATCATACTCCGACTACGCTGGATACATGGTAGAGAAAATCAAATTCCAATCATATTATCTGGGTGTCTTAATCAACGTTCGAGGATTCCAGTTCTCAAACTCCGATTATAGTTGGCTTAAGTGTTTACATGCACTTTAGTTTTCCGGTCTCGATCGGAGTAAGGCACAAATTTGGTTTTCTCAAGTATCATGTAAACGTTCTGACTGACACAAAAAGTTGCAGAATTACAGTCTTGAACCTGAAATATTCTCGCTTTTTAGTGTTTTATTAGTTTCCTGCTAAAGTTGAGCTAATGTGGCCTTGGTAAGTGTCACATTTGAATGCATGGTTGATAATAAAACTGGTAGATCCTGGTTTTCCAAGAAAAAAAGACCCAAATGCAGAACAAAAAAATGATTTATTAAAAGAAGGGAAAAAAAGCAACAAAAACCACCAGGAGACGAAGGATTCATTCATAAAAGATCACAGGGAACAGGCAGACACAAACAGACACAGACATACAATGAACCAACACAGAAACAGGGGAAGACGGGGACTAGATACACACACAGGGAAACGAGCAACAGGTGAGACAGACGAGACACAGGTGAGACAGACGAGACACAGGTGAGACAACTACTGAGGAGGGAAAACTGAGGAAGTAAAACCAGACTGGAAACACAAGGATGGACTACTACAAAATAAAACAGGAAGTACTGAAAACTGATCTACAAAATAAAACACAGGGAACAGGAGGGAAACACAAACTGAAAACTCACAAGATCACAGGAACAATAGGGAACAGAAACACGAGGGAAAATCACAGAGAAAATACACTCAAATAAAAACACGAGGAGAAAACTAATATTCAAATTGAATATTCAAGTCCTCGTCTATAATTTTAGAGGACTATAAGAGTCGATGCTCGGGACAGAGTCCAAGTCAAGCCACGTGTCTGAGTAGGGCTGGGTGATCTGGCCTCAAATCAATGTCAGCAGCAATAGCAGTTCACCTCGATAACGATAAATTGATAACTACTCCACAAGCTGCTCACCCCCTTCCACATTAACTTCGTCTACTTCAGCCGCTCCAACTTTCTCTCCGTCCTCCATCTCCTCACCTGTCTTTCCCTCTTTGTTACAGACTGGATGGGTAGGAGTCACGTCTCTGACGTAGGACAGCGTCTTAAATGGACATGAGACCATAACCTACCTACACACATCCAAAAACAACTTTGATTTATTTATGTTTTTGACATGGAATATACCGATACCGAGACGACTGGGCCAGTTAGCAAAGTTCTGGGTCACTGACAGACAAGACTTCGACCTGGACAAACTAGTCCGGTCTCATCACTTTAGAGAGGCGGTTTCTTACTCTTGAGACCTTTTATGGAACCTTTTCATGCACCTGCAACACCCACAAACACGCTTCTCAAATACGATTGCCAGCCTATCGTTCCAGCTAAAGGTGATCTTCAAATATCGCCGTCACCCTCTGATCTACGATACCGAGAAAACAAACACAAATGCACTAAAGAGACAGTCGAGATCCTTCATTTCCTGGAAGAAGGTGGTTGAAAAGCTCGTTTGGTTGCCGATTCCATTCCCGTATGAAACATGAAACTTTATTGGACTCTTCTCGAAAGTTCGTGACGGTTTGAGATGAACGGGAATCAGCCGGGGTTTGGTGTTAGGACTCTGGGACAGCTTGTGTATCATGTGGATGGTTTTGCCTCTTTTTTCCTCCGCTCAGTCCTTCACCCCCCCCCACCCCACCTCCCCATCCTCCCCCCCTCGCTCCCTTCTTTTCACAGTATTGTCACCCTAGACGGTTCACACGGTCTCCTCTTCGCTCTGCTTCCGGTCATAAATCTCTGCAACACACCGTGAAGGCACATCCCCTCGGATGGATTTAACACACAACACCCTGCACCCCACCGTCTCGCTGAGAAAAGGGCGACAAGGGCTGGCACGCTGATGCACACACACACTTTTACACACACACACGCACACAGACCAGAACTAACACTTTCCTGGTAGATATTTGTTGACAAAATCCAGGAAAAGGAGAGAGTCTGATTTTAATGAAAAGCAGTAAAAAGGCAGTTTGAGGTGAAAATCTGAGAGGATGATTGTTTTCTCTGAGAGTGTGTGTGTGTGTTACAGTGTGTGTGTGTTACAGTGTGTGTGTGTGTGTTATGGTTTGAGTTGGTCTCTGACTCATGGTACTTGTGGGGGGTTTTAAGTGACTCATGCATTTCTTAGAACGGCTCAAGAACCCCTCCGATAAGGCCGCCATAATCAGGAAACTGTTTATTTGACACGCCGTATGCTTCACCAAAGCGCCACCTCCCCTCCCCTCCTCCCCTGTCCATCCATCCGCCACTTTTTCCCGTCTCGCCCCTCCTCCTCCTCCTCCGCCTCCGATGAATTTTAGCCGGCTATGTATGGGTGGCCCCAGACTGCTGCACCACGGACGAGAAAAACTAAACCAGTGACAGCCTGTTTGTTTTTTTTACCTCACCAACAGCGCCCCACACCTACACACCCTCACCAAAACTACCGCCATCAAACAAGCGCCATACATACACTCCCCTGCCGCCACATCTACCGTGCCACACACACTCCCAGACCGCATTCTTACCTCCCTACCCCCCACACTCTCCCACACCACACACCCACAAACACACCTGACCGACTTCATTTCCTGTGAGGCATGAGTCAGCCGGCTGCAGTGCACTTACCGGAGTAATACATGCTTATTAGCCATTCTGATAATATAGTGTTGATGTGGCTGTCAAGGCAACCTGAGCTGCACAAAAAAGGGGGGATTGTGTGCGTGTGTGGGTGGGTGGGATGAGTCGCCGAGGATTCTTTGGAAGTGTTCAGGCATGCGGTGGGTCTATTTGCATGTTTGCAGGTGTGTGTGTGTGTGTGTGTGTGTATTAGGGGGACAGAGAGACAGCGGGGAGAGCCACTCACCTGTTTTTTCTTGTAGAAGCCCTTTCTGTCACAGTTGGGTATGCGGAAGCCTCTCGGGTTGAGCACGTTGCTGATTTTAAGGCTGCTCAGGATGCTTTCCATCTCCCGCCGGCACGGCCCCTAGCAACGCGGCAAACACACCCCGACGACACAAATATTACACACTCATCCTTACACAGTCACAGACACGAAGAACATGAGGAGCGGTCATGCGATTATAAGTTTGAACATCAGAGTCTGCAAAAGTTCACTTCCTGAGTGTTCCAGTTCAACCGAAAGCGGTCGGAGAGTTGGGTAAACCTTTTTCACCACACCGTATGATGACATTATTTTGGTATCCGTTCTGTCAAACACTTCACCGAGGACGGGCCGCACAAGACAAGCGGACATTATGTTCACACTTTTTAATCCGGCTGTTTTTGGACACCGTAGTTTAACGGTTTCCTAGCGAGAGGACAAAACAAAACGCAGACTTTCTGAGTCTGACAGCAGAATTTAAAACAAAGATTTATTTTGGGACTTTATTTGACCGAATAGGACAGCTGACGGTACAGGAAGGAGGAGAAAGATCGGCATTTTTCAGACGCATTTTAAATAGTTTGTAGAAAATTAACCTGAAAATGTCTTTTTCTCGATTCATCAGTGAACAATTCAAACTAACAAATCTGTGAAGTTTGCATGGTACACTTTTATGCAGTATTTGTGGATGTGGCCACAAACTTTTGAGCCCATGCAGTGATTTTCACTACAGAGTCATGTCTTTTTTTAATGCAGTCGTCCTTTCTGTTCAGAGATTTCTCAAGATCCCTCTGATTTTTTTATGACACTCTATACATTCCTGTCTAACATACCTTTAAACCAGGTCATGTGTGACTCACCTGTTGAAAATCAACCTGATGGATGAGTCAGCAGATGACGTTTCAGGGGATTTTTTTTTAGCATTGCACAACTTTTCTGAAACGTGCCGCTGGCCTCATATCTAAACTGTGCATTTAATATTCAATGTTTAATGTTTGATACTGTGTCTTTGCACTATTCTAGATTAATATAAGGTTTGATTTGCAGGTTAAATGATTTGCAAACTATTAAAATCTGTTTTTTCTCTAAGTTTTTTACGATGAACATTTTTGGAACTGAGTTTAGTTGTGGTGCAGTCGCTGTCGCTCTTGTTAAGGGCAGCCCTATTAATATTCTGATGCATAGATCAGGTAAAAGAGAAATTACAGATAATGAATATGAAATGAAAAATGAGTTTAAAAGATTTGTGAAAATTTAACAAAAATGACAAGAACTTTCAAGCTTTCCTACAGAATATAGAACTTTTTTCTTTAGGTTGGACAGTTTGGTGTGAAGTTAGATTGTTTGTTTGGTTTCTTCTCTTACATAATATTAGCTCATTACATGTAATTAAATCTACCTTATTTAAATGACACCACACACCACAGGTTGACCACCAGTTTGATGAGCTTTTGAGAACAAATCAACGACTCAAATCTTTAGATGTAATAAAATAACACCTGTGAAGTGATGCTGAATGTACAGAGGAAATCTTATAGCACATAAAACACCAACAGGTTCCTTTAAGTAGGTGCAAAACATGAAGTATGACAGCAGAACATTTTCTAACTTCAAGAGTAGAGGTTCAGAAAGACACTTTGCTTTTGTTTTTGTTGACACTCAGTTCTAAACTAGTCGTGGAAAAGCTCATATGGTGTTGACCACGCCAAAAAGGTTTTAAAAGATCCAGATTTAAAGCTGCAAGCAGCGATAAACAGGCGATCACATCATGAAGCAGCAGGATCTTCACTTTAAGCGATGTGAAGTGAACAGAAACTTTGGTTCTTCCTGTGAATATACCTGTCTGACTGTAAACACGAGGTAGGCATTGTAGTACTGCCTTTAACCTATAGGGGGCTCTGACTGTTAAGCGGGTACAGCCACACCCTTTGACTTCCCTAAATGGCAGACTTCCTGTTGAGTTTAAGGTATCGGTGTAAGAAGACTTTTTGTAAGTTTTTGCGTGATACACGTGTCCGGCCAAATTCATGCGTGTTGGATGAGCCCTGTGTCGGGGCAGAGGTTCTGAAATTTGGACATTAAGGGGAATGATGTGGAGATAGGAGAGTTTGCAATGATCTAATTTTTGCACAAAGAGCATAACAGCAACTACATCTGGTTTTCTTTTGGCTGAAGGAAATACAGAAAGGAGAATAATCCTCAGGGTATCAATAGTTTTTGCAGCATCTGTCTTTATGAACCCTGACTCGAAACGAAGACGTTAAACAGACTCTTTTTTCACTTACATACTCGGTCTCCCTCTTGCTCTCCAGGGAGAAGTTGTGCATGTCCATATTGGCTCCTCCTGACACTGATTCCACCTTGTAGCTGTGAGTCTTCCTGTTCTGATCCTTCTGGATCAGTTTGTTGTGCAGCTGAGGCCTGGTGTCCATCGACCCTCGGCTGTGCCCGCCCTTCACTGTCCCCATGCCGGGCAGGACGGTCGCAGTCGTGGTTCCGTTGGCACAGCCTTCTTCTACCTGATTTCCAGCATTTTCTGTTGGGGGTAAAAGTGACGCGTAAGCTTTGAAATGTTTTATAAATCTTTAAGAAATCAGAGTTATCAATCAGCTGGTTGTTTGAGTAGCTGTTTTCACATCTATACTTTTGGAGAATATCAGATGGAAGGACCCAAGGATGTTTTTAAGCCAATCACAGACCAGCTCCTCCATAAACCTGTCAAATCTGGACCAGATCACCCCTCAAAAGCTGCTCTAATACACTTACTATACATTTGTCGAACGAAGAACAAACCAAGTGCTTTAAGTGGACCGGTTCACTCTCCAATTCTAAATTTAACCCTTTAGTGTACACGGACTTTCTCTGCATACCCAGATATCGGCTCTTCCCTGTCCTTGATAAAACTGAGTTTTTCTCTGAGGATTCATAAAAGCACCGAAAAAGCATCATCTATCATGCATTATGTGGTGCCCATGTCTTCTCAGTTGTCCATTTTGGGCAGAAAATAATGTGGGATTGCTCAAGTCTGTAACAACAAATATTTTTATGGTTTAATTTTTAATGTGAGTCAATGTCAACAGTAATTATAAAATTTCAAATTGTTATTTCTTATACATTAAAAAGCAGATTTTTCACCTTTACGATATTGATATCAGATATCGGTCCAATATCAGCAAAAATGTGTCTTATATCATCTAAAATCTTTGATATAAGCACTCCGATACAAGCAGTCCATTCCAGACTCCACTCCAGCACCTCTATCCAGCATGTAGAGCCCACAAAATCACAACAACAGTGTGAACTAAAGTACAAACAAAGTAGCAAGGAGTAGGAGTGATGTCGGCCATGTGGCAGGATTTTTCGTTGAATTCCGAAAGAGAGATTACAACTGAGTGCAAAACTTGTCATACACAAGTTTGTGCCAATATCGGATCAATATCGGTATCGGTCAGTATTGAAGGCTACAATATCGGTATCGAATTGGAAGTAAAAAAGTTGTATGGGGACACCCCTAGTTTTCACGGCTTTCGTAGACAGCCCCAAGTGGACATTAAAGGAACTGCACCCACATCGGCCTTGATCAGAAGTGGAAGCTAAAATTGTGTCTCAATGGCGCCTCCTTTTTTAGCGTTTGGGTGATTTAATTGCAAATTTAAATCTATCAGAGTCTTATCAAACATTATTTTATATTCCTATCAAGAAAAATAAAATCACAAACAGTAATAATAACAATTGATTTATCAGCCGGCCCTACTCTACAGCACTGATCCAACAAGGATGAAGGAAAGATGTGGTGATGACGTGATGCAGAGGTCGTTTTTTAATCAAAAATACACAGCTAACATGTAAATAAATGGAGTACCTGCACAGCTACACCCGCTTCCTGTTTTCATAAGACGTTTGAAACGTTATCTCAGGTCGACTTAATGATCCCTTTCACCTCCAGGATCAAGTTCGACTCTGCAGAGAAGAAGTAAACTTGCCCTTATTTGCTCTCAGAGCTAAACTGAAGGCTGCACAAGCCTTAAATTAGACTTTAATCATATCTTAGGACATTTCTGAATGAAGCAGAGTGCTTTTTCACAACTCTGTGCTCCACAGAAACAGGCAATCAGCTGCTAAACATCATCATTTATTTTTCCATTAAGGTTGCCCTGCAGCAGAGTATCAGAATCCCACAGTTGTTTAAGTTTACAAGTCTGATCAAAACATTGTAATACAGGATGATGAATGCCTGCTCCTCCTGATCCAGCGGAGAGCTCTCCACTGTCTAACAGAGGTCTGTTTAAAAGACACAAAATAACGTGAGCTCATTGCCTTGTGGGCTGTTTTGGAGCCAGAGACGAAGCCAAGTAATAAACAGAAACATGACGATCTCATATCCACAAATTTCCACAGCATGCCGACCAAGAGATAGAGCCGCAGAGAGGAACTGAGTGTAAACAAGACTTTTTAAGGACACTCTGAAGAAGAGCGTGTTTTGTACGTGTTTATGAGAGTCGGGTGGGGCGACGGGGGTTCGGGGCAAACAGAGGAGAGGGTGAGGGCAGAGAGAGGTAAAGTGGGAGATGAGAGAGCAGGTATATTAATAGCTCTCGGTGTTGGCAAAGATTCCTGTCAAATCGTTAAAGACAGACCATCTGACTGCGAGGAAGAGAGGAGGGGGGCGCCCGACACCCTCCCTGATATAGGAGAGGATTAAACCACCCGTCATGTGCCACCCGGTGAGCCACACCGCCAAAAGGCCACAGTCTGAGACGTCCCGGCGGCGATTGGAACACACATGCGGCACACAGACACACACACACCCAAACAGTTTGGAACGGTTAACTCGAAGCAGATCCTGCGTTGGAGAGCTGCGGTGAGGGCGGCGGACGGGCATGTAGGGGTGTAGCCTGTGTGGGCAGGCAGGCTGGCAGCCCGCCCCTTTTCTCTCTGACCACCTGATCAATTAGTGACGTGGTGGGGCTCCACAGTCTCTCCACAGCTTACAATAACAACACGCATGTCAACAACGGCGTCGCCCTGAACCCCGACCGTATCAGACGCTCTTCAGCTTTCTCACGGTTTTCTCAAATCTACAAAATCCATAAATGTCCAAAAGCGAGGACAATAAACGGCGCTCTCTGGAAGGTCTCCTGCGAGCTTTAATTTTTATTGTCAATATAAACTTTTATATAACCTTTCAAGGAAGTCTGGGGCGTTTTAGGTAAACACATTACGCAATTTGTTTGTATAATGGCACAGAGGTAAACAGCACAAACTGCGGTTGAGGGGAGCTTGTTAATGTCTGGGAGGAGAGGCTGCTGAGGAGCTGGGACTGATGGCGGTCAAAAGCACAGGGCCGCGCTTACACATTGCAACCAACAGGGGCGCTGTGGATCATTTCCTACTTTTTTCCCTCCAAGCAGCATGCATCCATACCTGTCTGAGGGCTGGGATCAGGTTGTTTACAGTCGACCTCTTTCCCCTTAAAGTGGGAAATAATTCAGAGTTCGTCTTAAATGACAAACTCTGAGTGAAACTTGAAGAAGTTTGAGGAGGAGAAGAGTTTGGAGGAGCTGATGTTGGATGAATGTGTGAATTCATTTGTGTGTATGACATTGTTTCTGCACCGCACACATTGCAGAGGCCAAACCAAATACTCAGGAGAAGAAGAAAACACACACAGAGGCTCCTGGAGGCCTGACGTCAGCAGGGCCCTAAACACACAACAGTGTGTATTCACATATAGGTGGCATGTGTGCCGTTTCACCAGCATCCGCTCACAGAAACAGCACACAGATATCAAGTCTCTGAGGATGAGCAGAGAGTAAAATGAAGGTTATTCATCATTGATCTGTGATCGTCTGTGTTGGTCACTCAAAGGGAATCCGGAGAAATGATCCCCCCGCTGTGTTTGCCACACACTCTTGAGATCTTGGCCCACATCCTGGACCAGGAAGCAACAGTACATATTTTCATGCTGTGTACAAAAATCCCTGAGCTTTACTTGAAGGAAAAATAAGGACATTACAGAAGACAAGGACATGGTCTGCACTCAGCCTCAGCTAAATACTGTATACTTACAGTATGTATGTGGCATTCCTTAACTATTGGTTTGAGGCAGCCAGCCTCTGTGTGTCTGTGTGTGTGTTTCTGTGTGTGTGTGTCTGTGTGTGTGTGTCTGTGTGTGTTGTGGAGACACAGAGATGGAGCACTGTTGCACTTTTTTTTTAAACAACCATTCTGCAAAAACCCCAGACGACAATCTTTTCATTTCTTAAATTCAATTTCGTCCTTTACGCATGAAGTTCCATCTCTGTGCGCACATGGAAAAAGTGGCCGCCTGGTGTGTAAGCAGCGATTAATTGCTGCGTAAAGCTCCAGCCCATAGCTGCTGTTATCCACTTAAACTTTCAGGAGCCTATGGGATTTGTTTCGCCTGCGCGAACACATCCCTGCGCAATGTCAAGCCTCTCCTCTAATGCCCCGCGGCGTGGAATGGTGGCCACGATGGAGCAAGAAAAGCCCAGATACTGAATATTCAGCATGTTTAACGAGTTCATTAGATAACTCCGAGCATCTTTATCTCATCCACCATCAATGAAACGCTCTTAGTCGTTTTTTTCCACTAGCAGGGAGCCCCCCAGACCTGGCCACTAAAGAGCAACACCTCTCAGGGGGGAGCGCCTGTCATAACACTCGAGTAAAAATCGCAGCAATGAATCCACAAAGCATGAAAATCTTGGTAAAATCGCTTCCTACCCTGTTTCTGCGCCGGTATGAGAATGCTGTGGAGCTTTTTGGATGCAGCGCTGGAGCACACTCCCCGTCCCTCCAGCAGAGCTTGCAGGGGTCGGCTCTCCCCCGGCTGGTGCTGGCAGGTCAAGCCGGAGCCACAGCGCGCCGTGTACACTCCACACGCCTGTCCCTCACCAAGGGCGCACGTCATGCAGCAGCCGCAGCCGGGCTCCCTCACCCGTTCCGCGCAGTCCTTCGGCAGTGGCTTGCACTGGAGGAGCGCTCCGGCGTCGCACGGCTCGCATCGGACCACCGGACCCACGGTGCCGGCGAGCCGGGTGAACGCAGCCAGCGCGGCGGCCAGACAAAGCACGCAGAGACCGGGCATTCTGCCGATTGAGCTGGTCACAAAGGGACAGTATGTGAGTTGTCACGTAGGCTTAAGGGGACTCTCTGTGACACAGCGAGCCGGCTAGCCTTCTCCATCTGTATTTTCTTTTACGCGAACTTCTCGTTTTATACAGGCGGAAAAAAGAGCCAACAAGTCACACCCTCCTCCGTATGAATAATGTAAGCGGAGAGCCCCGATATGAGGGACCGCTACCTCCAGTCTGAGGAGAGAGCCGCCGCTCAAACACTCCACGACTTTAATCCTGTATAATAATTCACCGAGGGCTGTTCATGCTCTCTTTGTGTTCAGAGAAAACACACAAAGGTGTTTGTTTCATCTGGAATCGTGGCCCCCCCAGTCCAAACAGAGAGAGTGAGGGGGGGCTGCAGATGGCATGCAGCTTTCAAAGTCTTGGTTTCGTTTCTGTTGACTCTCACTGATAGGAATCTGATTTTATTCAACAGATAAGATGCACATATGTAGATTTTCGACCAGAGAGGGTGCTAAAGTTGGAGAGCGGGCACATTCAAACCTCTGCAGGTTTCCACACCACCGGCCACATCCCCTGCTGCCATCACTGGTATGTGAGTGGATGCCATTGGTGTTACCCCCCACATGCAGCACTGAGACACATTCCTCTGGGCAGGTGTGTAGGTGGCCTCCATATTAGTCCATTAGAATAATAATGTCTTTGCATAGAACCTGTGTGTATGCGCGACCACATGCTGAGTGCTGGGGAGTATTGCCTTACTGCGCCGGGTTAGAGAAGCTGCAGTGTTTGGATGTCAGACAGAACCTCAGCCGCAGCCACCGGGCACGTGCAGACCAGTCTGCATACCTGACCCTTTTGGACGAATAGCTTCAGGAGCAGTGCTCACCTTTCACATATCCTGAGCAGACCCTGTTCCCCCTCCTCCCCTCCCATCCCATCCAGACCCCCTGCGCCTTACCTCCTGTGTACGTCCACATTCGACCCCACAAGATTTCAGAATTATTAGAATGAAAATGTTCGGATTCTGCGGGCTCAGCATCGCCCCCCTGTCCCGCATATCCTCCTGTTCTGCAATAACAAACGCGAGAGGGGGGTACACACTGAGAAAATAAAGCAATCAGTATCGGCCATTGTGTGATTTCCACCACAGAAGCAGAAAAAGTGTTGAGACTGCATTATGAAAAACAAGCAGAGGGTAAGGAAACACCCCCGGAGTAGCAAGAAAACGTCTACGGCCAAGATTAGCTTTCGTATTACTTTCTCGACTCGGCGGTAACACTCTGCTCCTGACCTTTGGCTTGTTTATTATCCGCCAGTCCGTGCAGGCTCCGACTTACCTAAAGCGCCCTTACCGTTCAAACAAATCCAGCGAGAAGACTCTGGGGAAACTGTGCCCCCTTTGTGTGAGTACAGTACGGTAAAGGTGCGACTGTTAATCCTGAGAAAAGATGCTCTGCACGGAGATCGATGTGACAGCCTCCCCGCTAAAGACATTTTTGCGTGCTTGGATATCATGCAACGCACAGCAGAAAACATAAGGGACAGATCAACCAATCAGGACGATACATCTTGTCCTGCATATAAATTTGGATCCTCCAGATGTCGAGTTTGCAGAGTCAGGACAGGGTGTGTTGTAATTTGTCTGGGGACACTTAGAGGGATGATAAAGCAGATTTACAAAAAAGATGAAATCAAACAGAAACCTGCACAACTCTTTCCTCAAACCATATGTCCAACCTGTTCAAACTCTAATACCATCCATCTTCCTGGACGATCGTGTCTTCATCCTGCAATAACTCACCTCCTCGTGTAAACTGAAACTCTCGTTATTAATCCGTCCTTATTTTCGGCGTCTCAGGCAACATTCCTCTGCGTTGCATTCCCACAATGCAGCAAACTTTAGGCTGTAAATCACTGATTGGAAACCAGAAGTTGATGACGGCCCTCAGTAACACTGGCACAATGCACTTTATAATTTGTGGTTCCGTGGGACCGAGAGGATCCGGGTAGATTTATTTGTTTCCTTCCTCCACATGTGACTCCAGCAGCAAATTTTCTCGCTGTCAACATATGCTGTCCTCATATGTGAGCTATACCATCTGCACGCGACGCAGACTCATACTTTGCATGCATAGCGGCGCGGATTGTGCTGACAGTCCACTTATTCAAGGTTTTTTATTATTGGATGACACAGTGAACCACAGCTGGTTACAGTATGCTGGAGTAGATATCATCACAACTCAAATTATTAGAAACTGTGAAGGGTAGATTCTCGGTAGATTAACTTCAAGTCAAGTTTGTCTTTTCTTTCAAAGAGACGGTGATTGACAAGTTCTGCTAAACAGATCAGGGTTTTCTCTGTTTTTAATGTTTCTAGTCGTAAACAAGTCAGAACTGTTTGCGTACCGTGCTGTCGTAATATAGGGTGATCATATTCTGAATCTCCAGAGAGAGGACACGACTACGGGGGGGCGGAGTCGCGGAGTCGTGTGTAGTGAATTTTGAGATTTTTTTGGGTCAAGTCGAGTGTTTTTTACGTGCTTCTAACTCAGTAAGTCCAAATGACACGAATTAAAAACTTTCATACAAAACCGCAGACATTTGAAGGATTTTATAATCTTCTACAGACAGACCGGACAGCCCCCCAAAAAGAGGACATGTCCGGGTAAAAGAGGGACGTATAGTCACCCTGTCATAATAAGCTGTCTCAATGGCAACATATCGTCGCTGTCCAATAAAAAACAACAATCTCCAAAATTAGATTTTTTCAGGCACTTAAAAAAACAATTTCATTCATAAACTACCTTACAGAATAAACCCAAAACACTGTTCTTAGACACAATTAGGACTTGAAATCAAAAGCCATATTTACACACAGTCATCAGTGACCTTGTTATGTGCTTTGCATTGTGAGTAATACGTGTTTTTTTTAATAATGCGCTTCAATGACATTCAGTTATTTACGAGTATCCTGTTTATGTCCTACTATGTTGATAAACTATTGATAGTGGGCTTTCCTACATTTCCACGTAGCACATTAGTTGTTCACTTTTTTGAGTTCATTAGTGTCCACGACCGATGCAGATATACTGAAAAACCAACAAAAAATGTACTTGAAGTTCTTAGGCTACTAAATTAATTGTTTTTTAATAAAATTCTGTCTCTGATTTCACTTAAATACCAGTGGAGAAATTAAAAGTTAGCGGAAACACGACTAAATGATTCGATAGTCAACAAGTGTGAGCGAGAAAACAGCAGCAGCTTTCCCTCTGGAAAAGAACTTCGGCTCAAGAAATCTAACGTTCAGGTTAGCAGCACTGTCATGGTTAGAAAACAGTTTTAGGTCGACATCAGTCGATGTGAGGACATTAGTGTAGCGTTACCCTGGACTGTAATGAGTCTGTAACAGTGTAAAGACATGACAACGCAGAGCCAGGGCGGGAGAGACGTGCTTTGTTGACGCTTTCGACACCCAATGGAGATACTTGTTGAAAAGATGATGTTATAAAATGTCTTTCCATCGGTCATTTGGAAACCCGAAGCTACAGATCTTTAGGGAAGATTATGGACGATGCATGTATTGAAAAAAGTCCAGATCACTAAAAATGGAGATTTGTGTTTTTCATCAGACAGTGACGATATGTTGCTCCAAAACTTATTCAGCATTTAAGGTGTCTACAAAGATCCCCACACTATCAGGGATGCTGGTTTCTGACCTGTGGGCTGATAACTAGGTCTACGAGAACATGGTGTCCTTGAATTCCCAAAAGAATATAAAATTTTGATCCATTACATCACAGATCTGTCTTTATCAACATTTTAGACGATTATTGTTTTTAGGTCATGATCGAAATGATCGCCACTGCAAACACAAGATCTAACACGATCACTCAAACTTGAGCGTGGTCATGTATTTCTCACATCACACTGAGATTAGATAAAGCACTCCTCTTTGCAAAACCCTCCTGACACAGGGTTAAATGATCTCTTTCTTAAAGCCTCTAAATTAACCGTCTTCTCTCTGAGAGACGATCTGTTGGCCTCAGCGATCGTCCCTCCAAGAAGTCGTCAGCTTTGTCCTGCATTGCTTTCATTAATCAGCTCAGCCAGCACATCTTTTTTTCTTTACACAGTTGGGCTGCTTCCCTATCACGAGAATGATTAAAATGTAATTTTGTTGAATGATGTTGACTGTGGCTTATGAGTTAAAAGCATAAATAATATGTCCTGCCAGTATCGTGTTGAGGAAAATCATTTGGAGCTCCTTAACTCAGCCGGGGTGCTGACAGCGAGGACAGGCCTCGTCCGTCATGGGGGGAACATGACGATCGACTAATGAAGCGGCGTTCATCTCTGCTGCCTGAAAACTGCATCAGGAATGTTTGGGAGCGCTTAAACGACACTCAGCAGTCTGTAGTAAAATCTAGAAAACTTGCGGTAGAGACAGCGTCCGCAGATGGCTGTTGGGAATCTGTTAGTCCCATCATAATCAGAAATGACATCTAGCATTACCACCTAATCCTTTCAACTGCTTTTTAACTTTAGCAGAGCAAAGAAGATGGGTATGTACGGTGCCAACTTGGGTGGTAGACATCTGCCTCTGTTAACCGCCATCCTCAGACCCCATTAATTTGGCAGTTTTGAGGTCAGGACTGACAGTTGAATCGTTTTCCAGAAAGTTCAAGGCCTATACTTGTTGTTATTACAGTATCTGAAATAGTTAGAGGCTTCTTCAAGGTTTTCTGTACATTTGAAACCGTTGCGATGCTTTGACCGAGGAGCAAATATTCGCCAAACTCGGTCACGACGCTGTGATTTTAGTCTTTATCGATCGCCGTAACGTGGGGCCGCTCTACAGGAACGAACTCTTCCTGTTGTATCTGTTTTCAATAAATCGGTGGGATGAACACGAGCCGGGCTCTCTCTCTGTCACCGTCTGCGTGACAGGGTTAGAGAAACATCTGGAGGCAAGAGGAGGAAGACAAAAAGAGGAATGCAGAGGGCTGGAAAGGTGAAGAGAGAGAGAGCCCGAAAAAAGTTAACTAGCTGTAGGTTTTTAATCAAGGCAGCTGCATGTGGGAGCAAAGGGAAGCAGAGAGGTTAGGGTTCGAGCATGTGTTATGATGTGTTTGTGGTGAAGCCTGTGCCGTTTGTTTGGGCTGCAGGAAGATATGCCTGGCAGCTCCCAGCAGGAGGTCTGAGTCCTGCCCAGCAGAGGCTCACTCTAATTGGTCAAACAAGCAGTGTGGCACCTTGGATTGAACTCGTGCCTGGAGGGCAGGTACGGCATACTTAGCAGCACACTGAGGAAAGATCAGAGTCATGTGCACACACTTACCGACTGTCTTTAGGTCAGCAATCCTCACACGGCTGTCCCAGGCGGAGGAGGAAGAGGAGGAGGAGGAGGAAGGGAGATACAAGGATAGACAATCTCGCCTGGCGCTCTCAGGTTGAGCAACTCAAGTGACACTTTCCTGAGAGAGGGCCAATTTCAGCCTGCTAAGAGGATCAGTTTCCCCTTCCTGTCCTGACACACATACCCAGCTAGCTCGACTCAGAAGTCTTCAGGCTCTCTACTCACCAGGTACAGCCGCTTCAAACACTCGTCCACGCTTTCTGAAAGCCATGAGGCCCCCGCGGCACGGGCGGGATCACCAAGTGTTTCACTGCAAAGACAAAGTCCTCGCTAAGAGGATTGAGATCTTAAACCTAACTCTGACAAAGTCCAACTGTAACTACAGGTAGGCGGGAGACGGGTCAGCAGATCAGGCTGAGCAGGCTCAAACTACGCAGATATAAAAGTATTTAAAGCGTTTTTGGAGGAGAGGAACGGGGACTGAGACCAGGAGGACTGGAGGAAGAGGAGCAGAGGGAAGAAAAGCATGACACAGTGGGGGAGAGACACACTGAGAGGTGTCTAATCTTAGATCTTGGAGTGGCCGGGCTCGCTCCGAGCAAGTCACATGTAGTGATGTCACCTCCGGAGAGTCAGGCATGTGTTTCCCATCCTCTCGAAGGATCTCAAAGAATCTGTGAATGGGCGCGCCGGAGGGGGTCGATTCAGCCCAAAAGATGAAAAACTCTCAATCCGTTTAAATCCTGAGCTAAAACAAACCTTTAAAACAAGAACCAGGAGGGACCGCATGAGACACCAGAGAGGGAACCGTGAAGCAGACGGAGAGGGGTAATGTGGATCAAACACGGGCGACTCAAATCGGGCATTAAAGCGAACTCTATAACAAAACCCAAAAGGGGGATCGGGTGACGACTGGGACCTGGGAGCAGCTTTCTGGAGGTCCTTGATGAGCCAAAGCTAACTGACACTGGTGTAGGGTGACCATATTCTGACCAGGGATGTCCACCACATCCTGAACGGCTCAAATTTTCGCCATACACCAATTCCTACCAGATCTGTTGGAATCTGGAATCGCGAGAATCACTAGAACCTGCGGATTCACGTGTAATCACGCGATAACAAGTTGTCTATAGCCACATAGGTTAACCATATAAGCAGTAGATTGTGTCCTTCCAGAGGAGGAAATCTACTTCTAGACTTCTAGAATCAGCATCTCCTCATCCATGGTGTCATCGGGGTGAAATGACGTCTAAAAACCTTTCACTTGTTCGTCTCCGCCCGTTTGCATGGTGCGAAATACGATCCGTAACACGGGGTATTTTATTTTGAAAAGAAGCCGGATGTTTTATTTTGTGTCTGTGCCCAACTTCCTTTCCAGCACGGGTTAATCTGTGCTGAATTTATCCGCCATGCTCCGGCGTCCGGAAAAAATAGAACTCTTGCAATCAGCGGCGGCGGAGTCCGGCGATCCGCAGAGGAACGGAAAGAAGCCAGTGGAAATTGACAATGTTAACTTGAATGTTTACGATCAGCTACGATCGGCGGATACAACCTTTTTAGCCGTTCCAGACGCGGTGGAAATTTGGTATTAATCCCCAAAAGGAGGACACTACTACGCAAGGCAAGGTTGCAGAGTCGCACGTAGTAAATTTTGAGGGTTTATCAGGTCGGGTTGAGTGTTTTTTACGCACTTCTGACTCAGTTAGTCCATGCTACACAAACTCAAAACCTCGGACATTTGAAGGATTTTATAAACTCCCCCCAGACAAGGCCGGACAGCCCCCCAAAAAAGACAACATTTCCGGGTAAAAGAAGACATATGGTCACCCTACACTGGTGGTGAATCTTCTTGCCTACATCTCCAGCATTTATCGCTCAAAAGTGACACTGACCCTGTCTTGCACACACACTCTGAATTTCTAAAATCTAATATCACAACAGAGACTTATCTTGTCTGGTAAAGAGACAGGTGTTAAAGATGCTGAGAGCGCCTCTAAAAAACCCAGAGATCCGCCTGTTAGGTCTGAGAGTAACCTCTGTGTTTCTGACACTGACACTGAGCAGGTGTGTACCTGAGTGGACTAAAAGGCAGCATGTCCCACTCACCGGCTTCACAGCGGCTCAGGCTGAACCCATGCGCCTGACACGCTGTTTGGATTGCGGGTGACTGATTAAGTCGTGATGTGAAGACCTTCCAACACAACACGTCCACGCCGCAGCACTCAGGCGGCTAACAGCTGCTCTGAGCTGCACTTCGCCGTGGCCTAATGGACCGCCGCGCTGCCGGACATGTGGAGGGACTGACAGGCTGTATACAAGCACAATTTATGGAAGGCCATGAAGTTTGACATGTAAGATAGAGCGCAGAGCCACTTCTTTAACCCCGACTCCACCATATTCTACCGTTAAGTAGTTTTAAACGAGACATGTATAAACACGGCTGCAGCTCAGATCATCACTGTCTGATTTACTGATAATAAACATTATGCAAGAATCGCCACTTTTTCGGACTCTGCGCTGACACACTTTTGGATTACCCTCTTTGCAATGACGTAAAGGCAGCCTGAGATTTACTCTCTGGCGCCTTCTTTAGCCTCTCTGGCATTTTGAGATGTGAAATGGGGACGAGAGAGGCGCCATTCTCTCTGTTGAAAAGTGTAGGAGCTAAGTCTAAACTTTAAGATACTGAGATGCTTGACCCAGAGTAACCTAGCTGATGTTTCATACACTACTGTGAGTCTTTGATGATCTGTCCCAAATCATCACCAAATCCATTTGCAATTGACATCAAACAACACTGAATAAAGAAAAACACCGGCATTTAGCACCACAGCCGTCAAAGACCTTTTGCCCTTCCAGGTCAGTCACCTGCCAACAACAGTGACATGACTACCTTTACTCCTGAGCCCCAGATAACAGGACAGCAACACCTTAAGCTTACAAAGTAAACAGCAACTCATTTGAGGTTATCATATCAACATATTTGACTCCTACAGAGAGCGAGTCTGAAAAACGAAGCCGGTGCTGAATGATCTGAAAACGGCGTTCGTCGAGATGTCCATCAAGGGGCGCCTACAGAGGTTTGGGGAAGAGGTCTAAATGTGCAGAATTCGACACTTTACCATTTAATTCTGGTCACGGTGTTTTTATCAACGGCAGCTTAATGTTTATTTTGTGGATAAAGTGTTAATGAAAACAAGGGGTGGTCTTTCCTAAAATGCCTCACAACTGGGTGAATTACATTTACTGCAGAAAAAAAACAAGTCTGTAAGACTCAGCGTCCAGTCTCTCCATACTTGTTCTTATTGAGAAATATTTGCATGTCCATCTGAGTGAGAACAATCATGTCGCTATCACTTCGGTGTTAGAAAACTCACATTCGGACAGCATCAATCTTGCCCGCATGCACAGGTACTACCTTGCAAGTCTGGAGGAACTCTCTGCATGTCGGATTTTGCAGGTTTTGCATCTACACTGTGTGCAACATCTTCAGCCACATCTCCAAGTCTTGATTTTTTTCAACTATCACTTTCTCGATGCACAATTAATTGTTGGATACCGATAATTACATCCCTCATTTCTACTCACGGAATGTAAGCGACAATCCCGGGTTAATACCTCGCTGCAAATTGCCAAGTTCTCCCTGTAAGATTGGGATAGTTTGAGTTGGCAAATGCTGAGTATTGCTTGACAGTGAACTTGACCCAGACTGACCTGAACCTGAATCCAGTGTTAGCTGAGATCCAGTATCTCCTCCAGGATGTCCAACAAACTGAGATGATGCCCAAGCAGGTTCACACAAAATATCCAGGCGTTCAAATACGAGTAAATAAAGCCGGTTTATCATTTTATTTGTAACTGCCATCCTAAATAACTTGAGTACCACATATTTATTCAGAGGGAATGGGTTTTATATGACCAGGAGGATTCAAATAGTACATCTTTCATTGAGTGTTTGCACATAAAGCAGCTTTAATACGTGCACACACACATCTAACCGAGCTCCTCGCATCAGTGAGTCTGTAAAGGGCATCCCCGGCTCTGCATATTGTTGAAGTGAAGGGGGAGAAATTAATGGTTACTCGCGCCTATCGCTGGGTAGAGAGGCTGAGCGAGGCGTTGGTGCTGGTGAGTGGGGAGGGGAGCGCCGGTGAAGTAGTCTGGTGACTGAATGACATGGTTTTCTTCTGTCAGGGGTGGAGAAAGAGAAAGAGAGAAGGATGAAAGTGAAACCTCTCCTCTGTGAGACTTTGAGAACAACACATTTCCCATCAAACGGCGGATTAATCTCCTGGAACTCATGCGTGGTCACATCCCGGTATGCTGGCAGTGCCGGGAAGCCTGAGTGGGAGTCTGCGACAGAGTGATGACAGGGGGGGAGAAGATGGGAGGATGGGCTCAGATCGTCTGATTTGTGGGGAGTGTGGGGGGAGAGAGAGAGAGCCATAATAAAGATCCAAGGGGGGGAAGTAATATCACTGTCTGGGCCAGCATCTCTCTGAAGAACAGCCTCCCATTGGTTGGGTTTTCATGACACCTGCTCTGCAGTGGAAACCTGCAGAGCTTCGAGCAGGTTCATGCAAACCTGTGAGGCAAAAAGGTGAAAAACTGAGAAATGCAGATGCAGAAGAAAAAAAGAGAGAGGTTGCTGTGTGCTGAAATAAATATTTTAATAGATGTTTTTGACAAATGGTAGATTGTACGCATCCTAAGGGGTTCTTGTCCTGAAAGGCCACTGTAAGATTACTAAGAAAAAAGGTGAGCAGGGGAGCAGGTACTGACCTCTGAATATGGTGAAATATCCCCATTTTAAACACACTGTACCTGAATCCTCTGATGAAACCTGAGATGTGTGTGACACAGCAGGAAGTCTAGATCCATCTGATGAGTCCAGAGTCAGTCCTGAGACAGTTTCATCTCCAAGAGCGAGTAAAATCATTCGCACGAATGAATTACATGTTAAGTCAATGCAAAGACGCGATTAGACGCTCCTACTACTCTGGCGGCATGAATGACGCGAATTGGGCATCTTAACTTGAGCAGAAATTCACGTCGTGATAACCAATCAGCGCAAAGGTTGCCGGGTGACGTATGAAAATAGACAGTTGTTAACTGGTGTCTAAAATGGAGGACAAACTAATCATGTCAGTGTGTGGGTGCCCTGTATTAGATGATACCTTTTCTTTCCATTACTGAAACCAGAATAAAAGGAGGTCGGATTACCTGATAAATTGTAAAAAAAGCGTTTGTCTATCACTGGATCTTGCTGGTTAAATTGGTGGGGATTAATGTTGAAATTAGCATAAATGGCTATAAACGCGTGAATGAAGCGACTAAATACTATTCATTCATGCGAATTAAGCGAGTAGATTATTTTACTTGTACTCGTACTACTCTGGCAGCGTGAATGATGTGAATTTGGCGGGAGCTGAAGATGTCTCAACTTGAGTGGATATTGGCATCGCCAGTTGAATTGGTAGTGATTACTGTTGAAATTAACCTAAACATCTATAGACACGCGAATGAAGCGAGTAAATACTATTCATTCACGCGTCCAGACTTGCGCGAATTAAGCGAGTGGATGATTTTACTCATGCTTGGTGTAAGCGCCCCATTGGACACCTTGCATTAGTTTCAACCTCCTACGGTGACCATATTCTGAATCCCCAAAAAGAGGACATGGCTATGCTGGGGGTGGAGTCACAGAGTTGCGCAAAGTAAATTTAGAGTTTTTCTGGTCGGGTCAAGTGTTTTTTATGCGCTTATAACTCAGAAAGTCTATGCGACAGAAACTCAAAACCTCCATACAAAATTCCGGACATTTGAAGAAATTTATAAACTCCCCTGGACAAGGCCGTACAGCCCCCCAAAAAGGGGACATGTAAAAGAAGACATATGGTCACTCTACAAGTTACAACCTAAAAAATGATATTAGCAAAAGATTGTGCTCATTGTGTGCACGACTTTGAGAACTTCCTCGGAGATAAGTTCAAATGCATGAAAGAAGAAATAAAAGAGGTGATAAAAACCAGTTTATCCGTCAGAGCGCTGTACTAAACTCTGCAGAGTAAAACTGGGTGACACGGTGATGAATGCTCTGCACTGCTTCTGCTCGTCTGTGAACAACTCGCACATGTCAGATTCATATTTCTTGTCCATATAGTCTAATGTATTTTTGCCACGACCAGCCGCGAAATTCCTCATGCAAACTTTATTTCTCACACAAAATATTTGGGAGCTACTCGACATGATGAAGAAGAGAAAGTGAGCGAGAGAGTGAAAAAAAAAACACACACACACACTGTCATGCACGCAAATGGGCTCATCAGGCCTCATACGCTCACATATGCACATACGTCTCCTTTCTTGGAAAGCCACAAGTTTCTAATTATATCCTGGGTTTCAAATAAAAAGCGTTTACAGCCAATTCGTTTGCGTAAATGCCATTCCTGTCTGTGCAGAGAGATGCAACCATTTCTACCCGAGACAATAAATAGTTTATTGCTTTTATTTGTCATGGCTTTATGTTGTATTGCCAAGCCCTCAAAAGAATAGAAAAAAAGCATATTTTCCCACTAATGACTGTGTGTGATTTATAGAGTCTGTCTTTGACATGGGGGTGTCTGCGCGCTCAAACCGAGCATAATTAGACCTCTGGAGCTGCATGCAGCGCAAAACACATTGGACAGAAACGCCGCGCTTCCCAAAGAGAGAGAGAGACTCTGCCGTGCGGTTTGGGTATAATGCCGAACAGTCGGTGCATGAGAAAAACGCCCGGAGGTTTCCCTTCCAAACACACGCACGGGCACGCACACGCTCACGCACGCACGCTCTCAGAGGTCAATGATATCTGAAACAAACATAATGATTGGCTTTGACACACTTTCAGAATCAGATACAAGGGGAGAAGAAAGAGCATATAGATTGGCTCAGCGGGGATCCAAAGAGTTAGTCAAGCATGAGCTGTTCCCTGCCGAGCGGAGAAAGAGCGGATTCCCCTCCCTCCTTCGTCCTCACTGACCCTGAATGCTCACAGAGTGATTTTAACAGGTCACAAAGGAGCAGGAGTTCACACTTTTTCTGACGCCCCTCACCCCCTCTCACTCACTCACTCACTCCTCCTCCTAGACTCTTCTCCTTCTTCCTGTCTCTCTTTGTCTGCCTCTCTCTGCCTGTGAAAGAAAGCGGGTAAGATGAGCTGTGACTGACTGGTTCTGTTTCGGGTCCCCGTCAAGTGATTTCTAATGACACACTGCTTTGCCCCCACAACATGTATTTTGGAGTAAATGAATCAGGCAGAACACGGCCTCGTTAAGTTGAAAGAGCCGCTCTGTCCCCGCAAAAGTACATGGTGCTCTGGAGCCGGGGCCGTTCACACCGAGAGAGAGGCAGGCAGGCAGAGAGGCCGGGCTGCGACGCCGACTTCACACACATGCAAAAAAGACAAGATGAAAGTGTGTGTGAGTGTCCGGCAACGGGGTGAATCAGCTGAGAGGTAATTTCACTCCGCTTTGACGTTTGTTTACAGGCTGCGTTTAAGAGCTCAAACACTTTGCAGACTTTGGCTCTCAGGTCAAAGCGGCTTCACTCGATTTGTTCTGGGCCCGGAGCGCAAAATAAACAGTCACGTGCGGGACCTTCGGGGACGCTTAACGTCGCTTCAAGTTTACGCCTAACAACGTCTGGATGTTTGCAAGATGCTGCTGACGTTTGTCCAGCTTTCTATTTCGGTCTCTGCAAGAAAATGTCCAAAGAAACGGAATCGAAACAGAGCAAAGGTTGGGACGTGTCGCAATGGATTTTGTAGCTTCAAGACCCGGTTTCATCGAGGGTCGTTTCCCCCGTCAAACTGATCTAGGATCTGTCATTCCTGCAAACAGTGGAGGTTTGAGACTGTGGCTGCGGCCCTCGGAGGCTGAAAATGAACAGAGAGTTTCCAGATTACTTCACATTAGCGAACTGGTCTGGCAACGCGAGCTTTCACGTAAACACATTAAAGAGTCGAAGCAGATGAGTGTTTTATGGGAAATCATGAGCTGCAGATGCTGGTACATGAGTCCACATTCACAACTCCTAAATCCAAACGACTCGTCATTAAACCTAAACGGATTTCAACACGTTCAATCGACGTTTTCTTCTATTTTCTTTACCTTAAAACACCGGTCACCGTCACTTAGACGTCTGTGATTTCAGACTCTTAGCTCAGGTTTCTGGTTTGCTGCTTTTGCAAAGTTTTTTATTGGACTTAACTTTTGAGGCAAAAACAAAAATGGCGTAAATGCAACTCGGAGTGGGGCTCGATATGACTACGGCGGTATAAATGTGCTGACTGGTGCGATAGAGAAGTTGATAGCTGGAAAATACGATAAGACGACAGCAGGATAAGGTGAAAGAGAGGTGGGAGAAAAGCTGAAAGAGGCGCAGATTTTTTGGAAATTGAAAAGGAGAAGGGTTGGTGTAGGATGCTCTCCTGCAGAGAGAGTTAAATGACGAGTATCACTGAAATTACCGAAAAGAGAAATGGAGATGTATTCTTCCCTTGATGCAAGAGACTTAGTATTCCATCAGCGTTGCATGTTTCGCAGCAAATACGTTCCCATTCTAATTGGAAGCCTCGCAGCACATCTCAGCTATATTCCAGAAGCGTTCAACGTGCTGCGACGCTGAAGATACACTCTGAGTTTATTTTTGACGGAGCACGCATCATTCAGAAGATTGTCCGAGACAGGATATCTTGCCTGGGAGAGTCGCATGTCTTCCAGTAGATTCAAAACTCAAATACCATACGTTGACCAACTATTTATGATTGTGTAGATGAGAAATACTTCCTGTTTATGGATTTATGGTTGACACAGAACGACCACATGGCCAATCCCTGATGGACGCCAACAGGACTTTTATGTTAACTCTTTCTGAAGGTAACAACACAGCGTAAATGAACAGAGTTTACTTTACGAAACACAAGTAAACCTGCAAAAATCCAAACTATAAAAATCACGCACGAGAAATTCAACAGTCACAGAATAAAAACCAAATTAACAGGAAATCGACCACAGAAGGACGGAGCAGCCTCCAGACTCCAAACTCGCCTCCAGTGGGCGCTAACGTTCGCTGTCAAACAGAGCCGTGAAGGGACGGAACACGTCAAACACACTTCCTTCAAGTTAACAACTTAACACTAGCACTGACATGGCCGTTATTTTACTGAAGAGTAAAGGCTGTAGCCATCGAATCAGCTCTTAAAAAGGTACAGTACATCCCAAATTTATACCCCAGTTTTAAAATTAAAACATAGATGAAGTTAAAAACACAAGATGGTTATGAATGTAAGGCACTTTGATATAAATTTGATTTATGCTCTCATTATAAGAAACATTAACCTTTCTCCTTTTACAGTGGTTTAAGTTCGTTACTCTGTAATTTGCCTTGAAAGTGGACTTTTGGTTCCTCCAACCTGCTTCAATCTGATTGGATGATTGTCTTTGAATATATAATCAAAGTGCTGCTGATGTATTATTAACAATATTGTTAAATCATAAGTTTTCCTACTCAAACAGATCATTCTGAATGACTAAATCTTCTTCCTGAAGTGAGTTTTCGTGGCATGAAAGCTCATTTATGCTCCCCTTATGTACAAAAATAGCAAATTCAAGCTTAATTGAGCCTGTAGATGTTTAAAAATGATGCATCTTTCTGCTACTATAATAAATCTGGTAAATATGATTAAACTGGAGTCGAGCCAAACACCTTGAGGACAATTTAAACAAACCCAGACACGTCATTTTCAGCTCCTAACAGTTCTATTAAAACATCATCTAATCCCATCATGTGTGAGGAGAAGATCATCAAAACATCAGGTCTGACTAAGACGGATTTCTTAATCGGATGAAATCAAATACTGTACATGATGTCAAAGAAACCACAAACTACGCAGCAGCAACAGCAACAGACTGTGAGTAAGGACATTAACCAGACACACACACACACACACACACACACACACACACACACACACACACACACACACACACACACACACACACACACACACACACACACACACGTAGAGACACAATAGGTGGAGAAGGCACTGTGTTTATTTCCCGTCGAGGATTATTTACAAGGTACTTTTTCATGATGAGGCTTAATTGTGCTGACGAAAATCCCACAAAGGGGAAAAACAAAAAAACATCACTTCATGACGTTTGGAAGCTGGTCGTGAAACTCGAGACGTCACAGATCTGCAGTTTGTGCCTCATCAGAGCTTCAGATGATCAGATCTGTTTAATAATAAGTCTGAACCATCCAGAGTTTATGAGGCCAAGAGTTAAAAGGACACAAACAGCTCGTAAGTCATCGATTTCTACAACTCCCTGATAATAAATCTGATCTGCAGGAAACCACAAACAGGCCGGAGAAGCTGAATTTAGACCAGGAGTAGAAAAAAAAGGGACAATTCACTGCGTTCATACATTTCAACTCCCCATTAGCAGGACAGATCGTCAGGACAGATTGATAACATTGATTTTTTGCAGCTTGTCACAGTCACCTGACTGGCGAGGAGTGGTGGAGACGGATCAGGAGGTTTCAGCGGCCAATCACAGCCCGAGCGTGCGGCCTGTCAATCATGTCAACACAACCAATGGCTCAGTGTGCAGCTGGGCTGAGGCCCTGCCTCCTGAGCTGAGCACTCAAAGGGTTAAAAAGAAATCAGATCATCTAAAGCCTCCTCAGCTCTTTCCTAAAATATGTAAAATGGACAGAGGATGGGGAGATCATCCGGGGTCATCAGAATAAAGTGAGTCGAAGGTTTGTCTAGTTTATTGACCTTTAGTGAAAGAGTTAAGTAATGCAAACCAGTGCAGTCAACAGCATCTATGTACTGAAATCTATGTCCAAGTCTAATTATGTGTTTAATTTTAAAAGCCTGCAAGCAACCCCAAAAAATGTCGAAATTTCAGATGTTTAAAATCATAAGGTAAAAAGTCGATCAAATTATGACATTATTCTGATTTCAAGAAACTTCTCAGTAGATTTTATAAACTTTGGTTTTTAATACCTTAGAGTAAGACATTTATCTGGACTTTAAGGGTGGTTAAAGCTCGTGTTACATCTAAAAATACTTTTATAATCAGAAAAAAAGACTAAAACACTCGGTTTATTTTGAGGTTTTGCAGTTTAAATGTCATTTGACCATAAATTTAAAAATCCATTCAAGAAAACTTGGACAGATTACTTTGTTAGAGCTCGACAAATATGCAGAGCTGCTGGTTTGCTTGGAAATTTTTTAATAGATTTGTAAAATGAAACAATATTTATTCAGTTTTTAATCCGATTTTATTAAAGCAGTCAGCTTCAGTCCTTTTAAGATGTAAATCTCTGTTTAAGACAGCCCTTCCAAGCAAAACTGCGGTGCATAAACTAATATAAAAGAGGGGAAAAAGTGCAAAATGATGGAAGTAAATTCATGGAAAATCTTCAGTTTTACTGCGTGAATGGCGGCCGATCTGTTCCTGTACGAGTTTCATCTTTCTAGAACATAGCATTCATTCCTGAGAGTCCTGCCCAACGCGGATGAAAAGACGATAATTAAATAAAGCAGAAAGAAAATAAGAGGAAAATTTTGAGTTAATTAAATGAATTGAATCCAACAGCTGCTCGCACGTGTTGAAAAGGAGTTTAAAAAACTAAAACGGTTTGTGTCAGTTTACGCTTCAGCAGGGTGGTCTCCTGAGATCTTAGAAAAGTGGCTAAATTTCCAAAAACACAAACTGGTTTTATTCAAAGAGTCTCCATGCATGTCCCAGTCTGAGTTCCAGTCCTCCCAGTAAAGGGCAGCCCTGATAAGATGATGCAACTCCTCTCTGCTCTTACAGCAGCCTCTACCTGAGCTGCAGCCATCAAAGGGTTAACCCCTCCATACACACATACATACATACATGTTGTATTGCACAGATCATTAAACACATGTTAGCCACGCATGCATTTACCCCACATCCTCAGTAATCCTGCAGCCTTCATGTTCCTTACATGTCTTTATTTTAATACCGTCCCTCCCCTCCTCCCCTCTCTGAGCTCCACCACCCCCACCTCTAACCTAAGTGGCAGGTGGGACATAAAATGTTGGGAGGTCTCGAGCTCAGGACATCAAAAGGATGCATCATGAGTGAGTCACCCCCACCGGCTCCAGATCTCTGCCTCGCATCATGAAAACAGGGCGGCTGTGCGTTAAACGGTTGTTGACGGCGGGGAGAACGGCGAGCGGGATAGGACGGAGAGGAATGTAATCAAAGAGAGTTTAATGATGTTTTACACTGCGGCCCTCACCGCACACGTCATTCCTCTCAGTCACTGTTTGTGTGATGCATGCTGGCTTTAATTCTGGAGTGTGTAAGTGTGTGTGTGTGTGCGTGTGTGTTCAGATGAGTGAGTGCACATTCCTCTCATTCGTTGCATGAGTGTTCTGCATGCCTGCATGCTTTTGAATGTTTTGGTGAGAGAATGTCAGACTGGGCTGATGTTTGAGGCGTTGGTCATACATGAGGGGCCGACAGAGCCTGTTTGGACTCATTATGAAGACAAATATATAAACTTTGGGCTCCTTTATTCCAAAAGTAGACTTATCTGTCAAAATCTTCAATCGCTCTTCCTGTTTGCCTGTTAAAGTCAATCATGGCGTGAAATACATGTGCATACTAGGTTATCGACAATGTTTTTGAACTCGCTAAGCAACTAATAAAAGTTCAAATTTTAGTGTTTTTGTCTCATTTCTTGCAAACAGTGTTTAATCAGGTTTAATCAAAGCCTCATTGACCCAACAAGTGCAAGGAAAAATAGTTTTTCAGAAACATTCGAAGTTGTATCTGTTTGCCAGAAGGTTTAGTCAGGATTAATCAGCATTTCCAGAACAGCAAACATTCTGAGACTGAAGTCATGTTTACATGTGCAAAGTTTCTTGATCCGATTAAAATTCTGAGGGATCGGAAAATCTGAATTCAATGTTTATATGGACGCAAAGTCAAATAATCCGATCATGACGTCTGGATCGGACTATTGGATCGGAGTTGTCTGATTTCACTAAAACAACGGCAAAAGAAGAAGAGTTGTATTGACGACTGTGCTGTCAACAAACCAACAATCATGGTAGTGGCTCACTTCATCCAATTCAGGATTTTTCGGAGGAGCATGTACGGCTCCTGCGGTTGTGTTAATAATGAAACCTCCTGTACTGACCTCAATAAATAAAGAGTGAAGATCAAGCTAGGTTAGAGAGTCACGATCAGATAAGTCTTTACATGGATGCGTTTCGGAATAACAATCGGCATAAACCACCGCTCTCGATCGGGTACAATTTTTCTCTCAAATTCACATTAAAATCAACGTTACTGTAATTATCAGCTATCATTCGACTCTCCTTCTCAAAGCTTTGCATTCAACACACCTTTAAGAATAAAAGGGGCAGAAGTTTCATTTGTAACTTGGAGATGCACTCACCACTTTTGTTACCCTCTCTTGGATTGGTGGAGAGGATCGGATATTAAAAAGTTCATCTTGTAGAGCCTCCTACTTTATTGAGTTGACATGACATTTGACAGTCAAGAGAAAAGAGACTTTTCAGATACTTCTTTAAAGTTTAAAACTTGATTTCAGAAAACTCCATTCATGGATTTCATGTTGGCCATGATGGAAAACACAACGATGAGTAATTCTAAAGAGAGTTTTTACTGATGGAAGCCAACGGCTGCCTAAAATGATGGTAAACCAGCTGATTAGCTTTGATGGTTTTATGTCTAATTCCACATGAATTAGGTTACATCTCTAAAAAGCTTTGGTAGACCATAATGTACATTTCAGTCTGACATATTTTAAACATAAATATCTGAAATGATAACACATTCACATGCCGATCTTCCACTGCAAGAGAAGTCCGGGCCAAACCTCAGACCATCCTTCTTCCATTTATCTCCATCATGTTTTGGGATTTGAGTAATGTTGAATAGAGCCTCTGAGATAACAGAGGATATGAATCACATTCTTGTGACACACCCGTCTCTGATACTCATTAAGGATGGTTTAGCATTTTTTCCACCCTCGTCCTCCAAGATGTTAGTCAGCCAAGAAGGACAGAAGAGTTTAGCGATAGAAAAGAAGAAGAGGAGAAGTAAAACGAGGCCCGGGCGAGTCGTGTTTGGATACCGACTCCTCTGCAGAATACCTTTCACATTCGCAGAAGGGTTTCAAGGAAACATTTTAAGAGCAGAGGGTGACAAGCTGTTGGTCACCTTTCAGGGCAAGCGGCAGAGGGTGAGGAGGAGAGTGTGACAGCTCCACCGAGTGAGAAATGAGGAAAAGGGGGGGAGGCTAATATGGTAGGAATCCAAAAAAGCCCAAATATTTAAAAAGGTCCTCCATGTCTGAACGCCTGTGCCTCTTTGACACTACACATACTGCCCTCTGCATATCCACAGCAGACTCTTTCAGGCATACGCACACAAATGCCACGGAGAGTGGAGGAGGGTGACAGAATGAGAGAGGGAGAGACAGAGCGGGCGAGCAAAGGGGGTTTAGACAGTGCCATTTATAAAGCATGGCCCTCTGCCTGCCTCATAAACTCAGCATTATTCTGGGAAAGCAGGAAACCGGCTGGACTTCAGGAGGGAGGGAGACGGAGTGAGAAGAAAAAAAAACATTTATATACAGCACTTTCCTCTCTTTTCACTGCTCCCTTTCTCATCCACCTTGAATGCCTTAAAAGCATGTGACCATAATTCACCCTCCAAAACTTCACACAAGACGTATGAACAGAGCCACTGCCCGTGACTGCAGCTGCAGAAAGAGTTCTTCCAGTGTCAAAATGCCTCCGACCAAGCCAGAAACTGTCAAATCAAGTATCACTAAGAGCAGCCAGTCCAAGGACTGACTGATCGGATATAATTCACAAGCCTGGAAAATCCTCCAATTGAGTTACAAGATGCTGGATCTTCCTCGCAGCGGCTCCAAAACAGAAGCTGGAAATGAAAGTTGCCCTGTGTTTCCACCATGGGGATGAAAGCTGCCCGCTTGATTAGACGCAGCGAAGAAGAGCCGATTATTGATCGTTTGTGAAGTAACGATGGCGCAAACTGTTGAAGACGTTCATCTGTAGGAATTCGATCAAGCATTGGTACCAGCATTGGCTTTGACCAAGCAGAAATGATCTAACAGAACTTTCCAAAATTAGGACTCACTGGAGGCAACTGAGCTTAAAAACTTTTGACACCAATTTGTTTAGACCCAGTCCAGTCAAGTCTATGAGGGGCCAGAGTAAAGCTGCTGATCTCCTGAATCCAGAGGAGGTAGAGGAGTTTCTAGTAAGTATTTAAGAAGTTTAAAAAGTTTAAAAAACACACCTGTAAGTAGGGTGACCATACGTCCTCTTCTACCTGGACATGTCCTCTTTTTGGGGGGCTGTCCGGCCTTAACCAGGGGAGTTTATAAAATCCTTCAAATTGAGTTTGGGTAGAGTGGACTAGTTAGAAGCGCGTAAAAAACACTCAACCCAACCCAAAAACCCCTCAAAATTTACTACGAGCGACTCTGCCTTGCGTAGTCATGTCCTTTTTTGAGGATTCAGAATATGGTCACCCTGCTGTAAGTGAACCTCTTCCCCTGCAGACTTGCAAGAGCTTTCAATAGTTTCTACAACTTCACAGATTGTGTGAAACGTGGACTAGATGACATTATCCACTGGTTTTGCAAAGAGTTTCTTTGATGATGGTTGAGATGTTGGAAATGCTGACAGAAGTTCACTTTCAGTC